ATTAGTATTTTCCATTGATTGATTGTCACGTGATCACTGATCAGCAGCTTTCGAAATCATTAAAAAGAGCGCGTCTTATCAGTAAGCCAGTAAACAAGTACCCTGCTGTGAATTTGAAGGGGCATGTATGCAAATTTGGGATGTTTTAAAAGGGGTTTGGTGGCCGCCAAATGAAACATCCTGCAGGTGCACTGCTCGGCAGGTGCTTCCGGCTTTGGTCACCCGCTGTGCCAGGGTACAACGTTCTCACGACATTTCAATTCTAGAGTTTCTTTGTCAGAAAATGAACTGTAATGTCCCGTTTTTCCTCAAGTTCATGAATCATTCTAAGCAATCAGTTCAATTTTAGACACCGTATCTCTTTACCGCCAAATAAAAAATTGATAAGAGCGTTCGTTTTTCCGTTTTTTTTCGTCCCATTTGTTCCCCGCAAGTACATATGTTCAGTGTTCACACGAGCGAATCCCTTAAATAATAAATCAGTCGACAAGTTCATTCTTTTTATCTGTTCCCTTCTCTTTACGTGACGGTTTACGCAGATAAAGGATATCAACAAGGAACGATAAGGGTGTTCGCGAAAGAGGTCATCGCTAAATAAATGACCTGGACGCGTAATCTGAAGGTTCTTTTCGTTCTGACGTGGGGAGATAGCGGGGCGAGCGTTGATAGCTGTTAGAGGAATAAGATAAATCCTCCATCTCCACCGATTTCGCCCAATTCGATAACGACGAGAACTCCTATCTCCTCCTAATTGAGCTAACCACGCTATCTTCAACAACTCGTACAAATTCAATCTCGCACGATTGCGATTGAATCACAGTCCACGCATTCTTTCTTTTTTTAGATTCTAGCGTTTTCGATGACAAGCAAGATAAAGCGCCTAAAGAATAGAGTCGACGATAATCATAGCTTTGGGAAAATGGAATAGGACCTGTCGGAAGTGGCAGAGCTGGAAAAGAGAGCGCGGAAATGATTAAATATTTTAAATTTTTTACATATCCGATATTCATTTTTTAAACTAAGGATTTTTAACCCGAGGTAGGCAAAGTATCTTTTATGCGAATAGTTCTAGCGTCATAAGCGCAGCGGGAGACTAAAGCTTTGGTCATTTCGCCTTATCACAAAGGCTAAAGAACGATAAGGAAAAAATTGAAGAAAGTCCCAAAACAAAAAGTTCCTTCCGCTATAGAAACTTATCAAGAGGAGTTCTGTTTTATACGCGCTTATCAAAGTGCATGCAAAACAAAAATATCTAACCGTAGAATCGAGAATTAGCAAAGTCGTCATTTCTTGAAGCTGAGCTACAGTAAAATCGTCTTCGTTGGCTGGCTCGAAGAAACTTGTTTGTCAAGTTTGTTCTTTTCGATAAAATCTCAGTGGCCAAATAGGAAATGGTACTTTACTCTCGGCAGTTAGCTAAACACCACCGTCTCCACCAGAGTGGAGAGCAATTTATGTGGGCCGCGTTATCTCCATTTGCGGAAATATTTTCAAATAGGGCTCGAGAGGAGGGAAACTTGGGCGGCATGCGCGGCGGTATGGATAAAGAAGCCCGAAATCACACCTAAGTTAAACAGTTTACTGATAAGGCGCAGCGGGTGTTTAGCCGCGGCTCAACAAGGGCAAAAAAAAGGGTACCGGAGAAAAACTACTTACGAGTAGTAATGGCTTGGGAACAAGGGTTTTTCCTTTCCTCTCATAAAACACATGTTCTGGTGTTATCTTTGGAGTTGGTGGTGGCGGCTGCGCCAAAATTAAACCACCATTGCGGGCATTTCTTATCTTCCTCAGCGTGCCAAGCGCCGCCAGATTTCTCCAAAATTTTGACTCCTTCGCCCGAAATTGCACCTCATGAATCTAGCCCTAGCACCTGCTTTAAATTTTACAAAAATTAAGGAGCCCCCTCAATCAAGAGAAGCCCTAAGGGAGGATCTTCTATTGACTATTTTAGTGATAAGCCTATATGTTGGCTAGTTAAATCTTTAAAATTTACGCAAATGGAGAAAAAAAAAACGATTTTGTTTGGTTTGATAACAGAAGCTTTCCCGCGGTTGGCGGTTGCGAGAGGGACCACGTGATGGTCCGAAGTCGCGGCGAAGCAGCTCCGGAGTGATATCTCTACATTTTTGTTGCCAAAACGGCTCCTGAAACACTGGCTCAGCATTATCTGATTTCCCATAGAAAATGAGCCAAAATGAAAAAGAGAAAGAACCATCATTTTTCCTGTAAAAGCGGCTCTTTCGTCGCTAGAAAAATGTTTCCCCTTCAGGTGTAGAAACAGGATGGAGCTTGGTTTTATGTTTGGCGCGAAATTGGCAGGAACCGGATTCTGACTACTTGACTGCTGCTTCTGCTTATCAGCGGTGCTTTATTACGTTAGAAATTCCCCACGGCGGAATTCTAGCCTATCCTCCGCGGCCGATCACAGGAGCGCCGGATGAAGTCACCGTTGTTTTACCTATCCGCGACATTTTGCCCTTTCCTTTGTTGCCGAAAAGAAACTGCTCTGAAAAGAAAGGTACTCTGTGTACTCTGTATAGAACTGTCTGTAGATGATTGTGCTTCCTGTCCAGGGTCGTTATCAGTAGCAGAGGATGGTCAAGTGGCTGGGGACATTTTTTTCGGTTATCAGTTGGAATTCTCGCGAGGAGCACCTGCCCGTAATGGTGTGACACAACCTTATCAGAAAGCCGCTAATTCATTTCCTCCTCCACCACCTTATCGATAATCACAATCAGCAAAGGCCATGCTCGAAAAAATAGCGAAACCGATCGAATTCTGGTAGAACAGTTCTAGTTGCGGATGCAACCTTCAGAAAATTAAGTGGTCCCTCCTCAAGTAGCCTGTTTGATATCTGATCTTTTCAAATTTCGATCGGCGAAGTGCCCCTACCGGAAGTGGAAGTGCATACTATCGATGGGTATCACGTGACAAAGTTCCTTCCTCCGATGAAAACTTCCGCTCTTAAAACTGCTACACAACAGAGAGACCCCATGCTCCTTGAGGTCAAATGATGAAGCTCCAAAGGATCATGGAATCAAACAGATTCAAACAGATTTAGTTGCTGATGAAAAGGGAAGTACTGCGGCGGAAGTACGTTTCACTGATTGGCTTAGCGCAGGGTTTTTCAGAACAGCGCCCCCTATCTGTTCCGGCGCACTATCTCTCTTAGCATCTTATCGCATGATCTCGCTCCTGATTGGCTGAAAGAATAGCACCACCAACACCACCAAAGATGCGTTTAACACTTTGGAAGATATCATGTTGATACCCTTAAGAAAAATAGCTATAAATCGATGGAAAAAGTGAGATTTTCATGATCAAATGACAATTTTAGTTTATGAAATATCATTAGGCACCGGGAAAACTACAGTCAATAGCTTTTCGAGCTCTTTTTCTGGAGTGTTGACAGCACTTGCTCGGGAGGCGGCACAACGTGCAAGATAAGGAAACGAAGCCTAAATATCGCGAGCAACATCATCAACCGCCAGCTTCACTCAAAATTTCTCTTATCACCTACTTTGAGCGGAAATTAATCCTCAAAAACGGATGGATTAGAACTCGCCAAACCCTTCGCCGATTCCCTTTTTGTGGATTTCAAGTTTTTACGTTTTAAAAAAGTCGAGTCGAAATTTGGATAATAATTAGGCCTGGGAAAGAATTAAGGTCACTCGTTCGTCTCTGTAGGGACTTCCTGGCTGCTCCTGTTTCCGGAAACGGGCTCGATAAGATCGAGTAAGCCCATGCTTTTCCCGCCTCGGCTGATCCAAACATGCCACTTTGGGCTGATTGATGCTTGATCCTGGCACGTGATAAAAAGTTCTAATGGATGTCAGCTAAGTGTAATGAGCTGTGAACGCAGCTCAAACGTACCAGTCGGATTATGATGCAGATTTGAATCTGACGCAGTGAGACTTAGTGACAGTCGAATGAATCAGAAATTAGCATCGGGAAGGACCCACTTTGTGTGGCTTTCCCCTTGAAGCTATCAATATTGAAGATAATTATATTTGACTCTCCAATCTTTTCGTCATACTTTCTGAGACCAATGGTATTCATTCCCGAATGAGAAGAATCTAAGCCTTACACTCCAAGGAAGGTATAAAGAACTACACGGGAAAAATGCCTCTGGGAAAAGAAATGGAAATCTTTTGTATTGAATCTTTGCATCTGATGATGGGACATCAAGGCTGATTCGACCAAGACTCTGGCTAACAAAAAAAAAAGAAAGCATTGGAAATTCCAGCTTAGAACCTGGAAAAATCCGTGTCGAGGCAGTCTGCCTTTACTTACTGCTTTTACTCATTTTTTTTACATTTTGTGTGTCTTTGAAGCTATTTTTTCACTAACTGGGATATTTGATAATATCTGCAAAAAAAAATGAACAAGGCAAGATTCAATTTTAGGCAAAATATTTTATTACTTTAAATATGAACAAAGCATCCATTTATTGGCTGCTACTATTCAAAATTGTTGAATTGTTTTACATTTCAGATATTTACAGTAGATATTACAGTGGTAGAATTGTTTGTCCGGGAAGAAAGTAGTGTTCTACGGAGTAATATTTTTTTTGACAGAAGATATGTTTATTTTTCAACGAACACTTTTTGGGTTGTTTGAAGATAAATCACACAGCACCGGATCTCCGGAGAGAAAGGATGAAAAAAGAGGAAGAAATTGAAATTTACATACTGCATTCAAACTTGAGTTGCTCACGTGAGTTATTATTTTTAAAAGTTTGTGAGTAAATTATTTAGAATTAAAATATTATAATCTCAGGTTGTGGCTAGTGGTCTGATACAAAGGTAAAAACGAAATACGTAATAGAACACTTCAAAAGCACAAATGTAATTGAAGATTGAGTCTTAACGAGGCAGCCAGGCAGCGGAGAATTGACGTCGAAATTGCTCGAGAAAAAGGTGACTAGAGAACTAGCTCAAGTAACCTTCAGGAGCGGGAGCGGGAGTCAACGCACTCGGGTGCTGCTGACCGTCCGCTAGTCATCCAAAAGCCATCGAACTTGGCGACGATGGGGAAAGAGCGGAGCTGGCCTGCCAGAAGGGACTGAATCCGCCGGAATAGGCGGCAGCGGCGGCAGTGGCACTAGCCGAGGCACTCGACGATTGCGATGGAATCGCCCCGTGATGAGCCATTGGCGGCGGAGGGAGAGCCATTCCGGACATTGGTGAGGCAAATGACGTTGGTGGAAGTCCAGGGAGACCGTGCTGCGGTGCCATGGAAGGAAAACCCGGATGAAAGGCGCCTGGTGCCATGCCGTACGCGCCGCCCCAGGCGAGTGAGCGGTCGAGGAATCGGAAGTTCGAGTCCAATCGCTGATCTTTCTGGGCCTTTTTCAGCTTCGTCGAGATTTTTCTGTTTCGCGTCTGGATGCCTTCTTTTTTCATTGTCAATGGTCGGTTAACCTGAAGATGAAAAGGTTAATTATTGACCATCAAAAAACGAGCAGCCCTGATTTGGATTAGATAACACCTTCCTCCATAAATATATGGAGGAAGCGGAAAATTAAAGCGAACGCAACTTGTTGCCACGGCCCATTAGGAAACATGTGGATTGGGCTTGGGCGGAGGATGAAGGAGCGAGATCTGCCGGTTGGTTGCGCAAATGAAAACCGGAAAGGAAGTTGACTATCGAAAAAAATGTTTTTCAAGTTTGGAAAATCTCGCCCATCCTTTGTAGATTCGATCATCCTCCGGAAATGACCCCCTAGGTCACGGAAGCTCTTTCTTTAGCTCTTTTAGCCTTATGAAAGGGGTGTTTTGTGATGGGGACTGAGCTTTGATCAGTTTGTGTTTACTCACCCCGTGCAGTTTGTAGTACAGGCCACAGGCATTACAGACTGGATCTCCGTTGGAATTTCGTCGCCAAAGCGTAGTCTGCGTTGTATGGCAGTTGGAACAGCTCGTACCAGCACGTCGTGCAGCCGACTAAAAATGAGAATAAGAACTTTGAAAATAGCCAGGGCGCCCATTAGTCTAGACATGATCCCTATTTGACGGTCCACTTGCGTCAAAGCTCATTCTCATCCCACTTAATCCCGTCTTTTCTTCAGAAGGAGAGATTCTAGCCTAGCAAGTTGAGAATTCGAAACGCTCTCTCTATTTTTTATCAGATGACAAATATTTGGATAGGGGCGCTATGCGGAAGTCGTGTTATGATTTGAGGTGTTTTGGTGTTTGGTGGTGTTGATTGCACCCTTCGCTAGTTAGGTGAGGCCCCGAGTTTCGGGAGCTCGAGTGCTCACTTCCGATTGTTGCAGGTGCCACTTCCACTTGGCTCTGACACCGGCGCGATTCGGATATCCGGATTAGCCTCCCTCTGCGGTAAAAGCAGAGCTAGGGGGCTATTTAAAGCATGTACAATGTAAATTGCAAAATCCAAGTACATCCGGGGCGCACTTCCTGAATTCCTTGTGGTCGAGCTCAAGGTTACTCCTGTGGTCGTTCTAGTACCAAGAAGACTTGTAATTGCCGTGCAGTTGACAATTGCAAAGCGGAAGAAAACTATCATAATTGAAATAAATTCCAACCACGATAAGGCGCATAATTGATGGTCCAACCCTGACAGGCCTTCCATCATTTTCCACGAGGAAGCTGTCTGCTTTACGAAAAAAAAATGGCAAAGCAAAAAAAAAAAGCGTCGGCACATGGCTTGAGCTTCAAGTTTCTCAATTCAAACGGGCGCACCGACGATGGCTCGGATGTCCGAAGCGGGTAGCGTTCGCCCAGCGCCGCCACTTCTAGCACTCGGAAGGGGGAACCCACCCATCGAAAACGATTTCGATGCTACCTTACCAAACACCGTGTTTCTTATCACACTTCTTCATCAATGAAAAACTTACCAGTCGCTTCTTGGGCTTGATGAGTGGCCGATTGTGGCCGTTCATCTTGTGGTAGAGGCCGCATGCGTTGCAGAGGTAGTGCCCAGTGCCGTCCCTTCGCCAGAGCGGGGTTGATGTTGCGCCACAGTTGACACATTCGCGTCCCTCTGAATTATCTACTTGAGTGATAAGACTGAACCGTCAAAAGTATGTTCTTCGCGAAGGCTCAAAGCCCTCTCCACACGTGACAGAGTGCCTCGAGAGCACCAAAAAGTACCAAAATAATAAAAACAGGCGCCGACTGATTTTTTCGATCGTGAAAGCGGATTTTTCAGCTTGTAAGTAGAGTTGGCGTTTGGCTTCGCACCAACAAATCACCTCCTTGGGCGGAAGGCGTGCGGATAAATCTTACTTGATTCTCCTTGGTCCGGATCCGAGCCTTCCGGAAATATGCAAAATACATTTTCATATTCTCCCCCGTGGAAGAAATGTATAATTCTCCCTATTTCGGCATGTCATGCGGTCGAAAAAAGGATGAAGAGAGGGAAATTCCGATCGAAACCGAGCAATTTACAGCAGGAGGATATTCCCACCAGCTTCATCAAAAATGAATGAGATTAAGGGCAGGGCGCGCTAGTCTGAGAAAACTTGGTGGAGGTGTCATTTCCTCCGCGCTTGACATGCGGATATTGTTACTCCACCAAAACTATAAGCTGACGTTCTTCAGGTATTAACTCTTCTCTGCACATTTCGCATTCAAAGGGCAACTGATTGCTCCTGTGATTCGCCGCCACGGAGGCAAAATTATATTTCCGAAAGAGAATATCGGCTTTAGAGTAGGGCTCGCCAAGGAAACTTAAAACTGTCAGCAGTTATGTTTTTCTTGTTCTCCATGTTCTAAAACCCAAAACTCCCCATATAACCATACCCTTAAAGTCAGGCGAAAAATTTTTAGAGCGAATTTTCGATAAAAATGGCTATTTTTCGGGTACTGATTGGTTTTCTATAAAAATGATCAAACAAAATCTTAAAAAAGGGCTTTTAATTGACTTCTACTTGTAGCTTAGATTCTGAGCTTCAATTTAAGGGTTCGTTGAGGGTCTGATGACAACATCTTCTGAAAAAATTTGGTCTTTTCTGAAGAAAAATCGAAATTTCAGATATTTTTTTATCAGTTATTCGAATTTTTTTCATGGTTTACTTGGATTCTCCGTAGATCTGAGATTAAAAACCTATAGAACAGATCATTGCGCTTAATTTGCGCCCTTTGCCGCGCGGGGCGAATTGGGGAACTCGAGATATTTAAGGTTTTCTAGGTTGAAACGAAGCCAAAAAAATGGTGAATTTCAAGGATTTTGAGCAAAGATTTTTGGTCAAAATCCTGATTCTCCCCTTGAAAGTACCTAAGGTAGCTTATTTAAAAGAGCATAAAAAGTTACGCTAAAAAATTGAAAAAAATATTGAAATTTCCGAATAGATGACGTCATAGCACGTAATTGAAGTCCAAAAACTGGAATTTCGGCCTAGCTCTAGAATTTTCTCCCCAAGACTTACGAGTGACATAAGCATATCATTTGAATCAGAAAAGAACGGGGATCATTTTAAGATAAAATTCGTAAGGGAGAATCGACATCGACTTTTTTTTGGCGAGCCCTACTTTAGAGCTCTTTTTCTCTCTCTTGAATTTTCGAGCAAAAATAATGATTGTTTACTATTGCTGGAAAAATGGGCGTCTTATTCCGGAAACGGGAATATGGTGCATTTTTGGCTATTTGGAAATGTTAATGATTTGTTTACTGTTTCTGAAATCGTGGAACACAAAATTCCAGAGCTGGCCTAATTCGCGGCACGCTTCCTGCGGAAAATCGGACAAATCCGTTTCCGCTCTGGAAAGATGGAACTTCCCAGAAAGCGATCCGTGCCACTTGGTCCTCCTAGCTGCGGCGAACAAATGGTCAATTAGGAAGGCGCTTGTGGAATCTCTTTCATCCCGGCAGAACCGGAAGCGCGAACGTATGAGGAAGGCCGAGATGCCGTCCAAGATTAATTTTTTTAAAAAGTGACATTTTTTGAAAACGCGCCTTTTAGGCGGCGCTTCCGTCGATGACAGCCGAAGTTTCTTTTTCTTGCTGGGGAGGATTCCGATTGATTCTAGAGCCGAAAAAGGCATGGGAAGGCTTGAGCCTTCGCGAGTTGAACATGATGATCTGGTGATTACCTGGTTGTGCGCCTGGGTAAGGAAGGCTGGAGAGTGAGGTAGGTGGAGACATCTTTTTGCGATCGAGATCGGAAAGGTTGGGTAAGTTCATGTTCATCCCGTAGAAGTCGGGCTGGCCGGGCATCGCTCCGTAGTAGGAGGGGAAACTCGAAGTTGGGGGCATCAATGACGCTTGAGAAATAGTCGGAGACTGCTCCTGAGAAATGTTGTTAGCATGGAAGTTTCAACAACGACGAAAATTGCATTTAGAAAGTAGTGCTTACCACGGATGAAGTATTTGCTCCGATCAATGAGTTCTCGGCGGAATTCAGCGACGAATTGGGATTAGATCCGGACGGAACTTGATGTTCCATCTTTATCTGGTCTGGAGAATTTTCTATCTTAGGGACCATCTGAGCTTGTTCGGATTCCGCTGGAATAGTGACTGGTTCTGTTGCTGATTCCGCCACTGCGGATGGGGCTTCGACTTTATCTAAATCTTTTGTTACGATTATCTCTTTTCCAGAAAGATTTCCAATGTTGGATAACATACAAAAATGTAGTCATTGAGTCTGAACATTTACCTTTTGCTTCAACTGCTTTTGGCTGAACTGGAGAGCTGTATGTTTCCGATGTTTCGGCAGGCTGGCCATTGTAAAATCCTGGTGATTGGGTCGGAGGAGTTGATGGCTTAGGCCAAGCAGAAGCTGTCGAGTAAGGGGATTCCTTATTGTCTCCTTTTTCCGGGTTATTCATATTCAAAATGCACTAGCACTCGTATAATTATAACTCTTTCCAAAGAAAATTATTTAGCCCGCGTCTAGTACCACTAATTATGCTGCGTGCTGGGCGACTTCCTTATCTCTAGCACGGGCGGGATAGAAATTACAGCTTAGCTCAAGCAGAGAATATGAATGACCCGGACCTTCCCACCTCAGTGAGGAGTACTGTGCTGCGGCAGCTGCTTGATAGTAGCTTGCTGCCGAGTAGGGATCGTAAGCAGACTGTTCTGTGCCAGTATTTCCTGGCTGGCCTTCCATACCAGTCGGGTAGCCCGCTGGAAATTGGGCGCCCGTCACGGCAGCGGCCATTTCTGAGCTCTGTCCGGCAACCCCGTACATTCCGTTGAACATACTTAATAGATTTCCCCATTATCTTATCTAGCATTGTCGTTTCTTACCTTGATTGGGAGTCGTTATCTGGCGAGTCCCGCAATTGTCGGCAGCAGGAGACGAGATAGCTCTATTTTTTGCTCTATCGGACAAGGACGGCGATATCTCTCTGTTCGGTTAGGTGACGGAATATCTAGAGTGGTTATCAGTGGAGATGGTGGTGTGAATGTAGCTGGCGATTTCGACGCCTAGCAAAGACAGGCCGGCGCCAGGACACGGCCACCAGGAGAGCGGCGGTGCAAGCGGCGCAAGAGAGACTTCGCTGGGTTCCACCGAAGCGACACCACCAACCCTTTATTATTGAACTTATGTATGCGATACTTTAATTCGATTGATAGTGCTTAGTCTGATTTCATTTGTTCAATAACTGTCCTGTTATTTACTTCTGATAGATATGATCTTAGCTGTAGTCGATATGAAAGTATTCAAATTTTTATTTAGAATCAAAAGTTTTTCTCTCAATATGAGTTTTATCCTGCACTATCTACTTTTATATCAGACACTATGGCGGACAGTTACATTTAACTCCGAAAAGCCAGACAATATTTCAGGAGTAGATTCTTCAAACGTCGCCTTTTTCCAAAAAGTTTGGCCTGAGATACTTAAGCTAGCTTTATTTTGCCTAATTTTGAAAGCTTGTTATTTTTGGATGAAGAGTGCAACTAACAAGGTTATCATTATTTCGACGCTTCTTGAAGAGCGATTAATTTAGCTCGGAAAACAGATGAGGATTCTCATTGATTTAAAAGGAACCCGACTTGTCGAATGCGAGAGTGATAACCTTTATCTCGCGACAAGAGAGACAGAGTTAGAGAGCGAGCGATCGTGATCACTAGAATGAAGTGGCGCGCGGGCTCGCTACCGCCCCACGCGTTAGCCAGCGCGGCGACAAGGCAGGAAGACAACCAGTCGGTGGTCGCATAAACCGATTACTAACAGCGATTATCTCCATCAAACTCCATTTAAGATCTTTTCAGAATAAAATTTATGCTATCACAATTCGTAAAGCAATTCTGAATTATATAATATTATATATATTTTCGACTCAAATAAATTTCTATTTGAGATCACTTCTGACCTGTAAGTCATGAACTGTGACTTATGTACACCGAAAATGCATGAACAAACATTTGCTCTATTTACGCCCACTATGATATTTTCCAGGCTCTTCTACGTCGAGGCTCGTCCTTCCAAGTACTTTTTACTAAAAGAGAAAATGCTCAGGAAAATCCAGGCTCGTCTTGCCAGACCTCTCTCCAGGGCCTATTCTGACAGACCAGAGACATGGCAGATGGACAAATTGACGGACATTGGCTCGAGGAAGATTTTCACGGAGGAGCACGATATTATGAGGGAGCAAGTGAGAAAGTTCTACGAGTCTGTTCCGATGGAGCGGAAGATGAAATGGGAGGAACAGGGTCATTTGGACAGAGAGTTTTTCAAGGAGTGCGGCAAGCAGGGACTTATTGGCATCGAACAGTCTGCGGACAAGGTAATTTCGATTATGTAAGATATTGTCATATGAATTCGACTACTGGTACAATCAATCCTTATTCTAGCACGGGCACGGTTTGGACTTCTATTCGAATGTCATCCAAATCGAAGAGCAAATCTACGGCCTTGTTCCTGGATTGATGCAAGTTCAAAACGATCTGGTCCTTCCATACATCTGCAGCTACGGAACTGATGAGCAAGTCGACCGAGTAAGAGAATTTGAAGAGAATTCGAAACTGAATATTTTAGTATGTGCCTGGAATAAGGGATGGAGAGATTATTTCTTGTCTGTGTATGACTGAGCCAGGAAGTGGATCCGACGTCCAGGGTATTAAAACAAACGCTATTCGAGACGGAGACGACTGGATTCTCAACGGTTCAAAAGTATTCATCTCTTGTGGCTATATGTCGGACATGGCGATCGTTGTGGCTGTTACAGACAAAGACGCGGAAAAGGCGGCGTATGGAATCTCTCTCTTTTTGGTCGATACAAACTTACCAGGGTTTGAAAAAGGTAGATATATATTTCCATCCTGTAGTTCGTAAATTTCCTGTAAGGAAAACTTCTGAAAAAAATCGGCCGCGCAAGTGCGGACACGGCGGAACTTTTCTTCAACGACGTGCGTCTTCCGGCAAACGCGGTGTTGGGAGGTGAAGAAGGAATCAACCGAGGCTTCCAGTTTTTGATGCACGATCTGGGTCGAGAACGACTGCTTGTGGCGATGGGATGCACTGCACAGCTTGAGAAGGCTTTCGAATTGACGAGAGAGTATGTTCATGAGCGAGAGGCATTCGGAAAGCCACTGATTGCCAATCAACAAGTCAGGTCAGTAGAATATTAGTGAGCGATGAATATTGATGAATTCTTTAGGCATACTCTTGCTGAAGTGAAAACAGAATGCATGGTGCTCAGAACAATCACTGACAAACACATCCAAGCCTACGCAGAAGGAGATCTTGATCAGCAGAGTGTTTCTATGCTCAAGGTTTGTAGAAAACGAACAAGAGATTCTAACAACGCTTTCTAGTATTACACCTCCGAAAAGTGCATCGAAAACATCACAAAGCTCCAGCAACTCTGGGGCGGCTATGGCTACATGCTCGAGTACCCCATCGCTCAAATGTTCTCTGGAGTGAGAGTCGAGTCGATCTACGCTGGAACAACAGAAATCATGAAGGAACTCGTCGCGCGAACTTTGTAAGACTCGATCTTACCCCCACTTAATTTATTGTCAATGAATAAATACTTTAGAAAATCAATTTTCAAATCGTAGATTCTGTGCAGGCAGATGATATTCTCGATAAAAACTTGATATTTTTGAGCGGATTGACTTTCGGGGGCAAATCTGTGAACGCATTAAAATCTGCTTCGTATCCGTCCAGTTCTTTGCCAGTGAGTCGTTTCATCGTCTTCGAGACCAGTTCTCTTCGTTGATCCGCCATCATTCTCTTCATCGTGTTGAAATGATCTATCGCTCGATAAGATCGAAAAGGGAGAAGGCTTTACCTGAAGATGTTTCCAAGTCTTGCTCAATAATGTCCTCGTAAATCGTGTGACACCACCTAAATCTGAATAAGATGGAGTAGGATAGGGGCATTTTTGACGACCTTATTGATTCTTTGAGCTTTGACTGAAGTGTTCGCAGGAGCAAGTAAATGTTCTTCGTCGTGATCGTATTCTTCGAACTGCTGTACCAAGAGAGCTGATTGCCAACAGCGATCAGAGCATTTGCATCGTCTTCAGCAAATGGGCAAGGAATCTGACTAAAACAACAAAATAGCAGCTAATACCGTCTTTTCACGCATACATCATTTTCCCAACGATAGTTAAGTGCTTAAGATTTTCAACTCCAGAGCTATAAATTCTATCACCAGAACGCTTCATCTGCTTTTTTCGCTCTGCGCTTTTATTTTTCATCAATTTTTTCGCGAGCTGCAAAAGTCGGTAAGTCGATTCAAACTTTGCCGTTATTTTCTTCCAAGTTAAAGCGACATTCAGCAAGGATTCATGTCGCATTTTGTAATTATCGAGGGCTAAGGGAGAACGTAATGGATTGAAAGCGAACAATTCAGATTTAGATGTGGACCTGTCTGGGATTCCTCTTCATTGTTGGATGAATATACACCGCCAAACATTTCCAATAATGTGTTTTCTATCGTCGCCTCGAAATCGGTTCTAAAACAAGACTTTAGTAAAAGACGCCATATTGAAAATGCGTCAGTATCCTGACAAAAAGCGCATTAGAAAACAACGATAGTCTATTGGAGTCAATTGAGTCCACGAGTTCTTACCTGAGTTGAATCTGCTGCTGCACTGAGGCCCGATCTGCTTCGATTTTCGACAAATTTGAATTTTCCTGGAGAAATTTTTCTCGTTGTGGTTGAATTTCATCTTCTATCATTTGCACCAGCAACTCGGATTTTCGAACGACTTCAGAGTAAGGCTCGTCTGAAAGGCCAAAGTTGACCTTTTTCTCGTCTTTTATCGAGTTCCTGATTGAAATCAAGGAAGAATACCAATAATTTGGGGCAAGATTGATTGCGATTTCTGGAAGAACTCGTTTCTGGAAGATTTAAGAGCGTGCTCAAATCACTCTTCGCCTGGTTCAGCTCGTCAGAGACATCCTTCATGTCTTCTTGCGCGAAGCTGGGTAAGAAACTCGATTGAACTTAATCAACTCGACATAATCCCTACCGTGCTTGCTCAGCAACTTGCTCTAATTGCCCGTCAAGTATTCCCAACGCAGCCTCGAGTTCACGCGCCTCGAGCTCCTGGATAGCCGCCGTCGCGGTCTGATAAATGTTCACCGTGTTCAAAAACCGCGTGCCATCCCATTTTTCAGCCTTGGAGTTAAAAAAATGAACCACTATCAAAATCTTACAATTTATTTACAGAATATTTATTTTTAACTCGCTTTGGCAGAAGACTTGTTGATTTCTCCAAAGCGCACTCGTTTCTTGGGCTTTTGATCAGCAATTTTCGTCGCCTTTTGGTCGATGATTTTTAATAAAGAAAAAAGGGTTTATATTTTTGCTTAAAATAAACTGTCTCTAAGCTGCGGCTCCGGCTGACAACCGCGCTCAAAATAACCAATAAGCGAAATTAGAGGTCAACTTTAACTTCCAGAAAATGAAAAACCAATCATCCCTTTCCTGGCAGCCCATGCGACGGTGGAGGAACCTCTAGAAAATCGCTCGATCTCTAAAAAAACGAAGAAATAAGAACGAAAACAAAAGACGGAACTCATCAAAAATTGATATTTTTGGAAAAAGTGGCAACTTACTTTTTGTTTTTCGTCACCAGCGTCACTAAAATTGAAAAATGAATAAACGAATGGGAGGGAAAATGCACCTGGAAGTTTCTTTGGGAAATTTTTCGATGAAAAAGATGTACGCTTTGAGACTATGAATAGTTGTTATCGTACAAGAGCCAACAAAACCAACACAAAGCTAGAATCAGAAAGAAATAAGATGGATGCATCGCAGACTTACTGGAAACACGATAAGAGCTGTCCGATCGAGGAGAAACATCAGACTGACTTTTTCAAAGATCAAGAATCAGAATTTAAGTCAAACGGATTTACTCTCGAATCTTGAGAATATCAAGACCTGCCCATAGAAATCAACGCAGTTATTCCAGAAACGAGCCCGACAATGAAATATCTTCTGAATTTTTCCTCCTTGAAAACTGTTAATTTCTCCATTTTCCTTTTCTCTGGTTACCTTGAAAGTACTCTTGAGATTTTCAGAGACCATTTTATCTACTTTAACTTTTCAACTCGAGTTTAAAATATCAAAAAGGCTATTCATTTCAAGCCGCGCTAAATATACACCTTTGTAGATTGACCACTGACGGCGCTCAGTTTCTCATCAATTTGATAAAATATGGGCACTGTATATAAACCTGCGTATACTCCAAACGGGTTCAAGCTGAACCAAGAAAAGATATTCCTGATGATTTCTGTGTATACTGAAATGGAAAAGCATAAATTATGAATGTATCTTTGAGAAGATCAAGATACATTCGAGCCTTTCAGAACTTTGAAATTTATATTGCACAATGATTTTAAAGAAAAATTAGTAAAGGAACTTAGGAGTACAGAATAAGTAATGACTAATTAGTCGGAATGCCCAGTAGACATGGTACAGCAAGATCCACAAGTAGACGCACTTTGAACTACTTTGTGCATGCTCAGTCTTTCCGGCCCGTGTTCTACCTTCGTGAAAGCCTTTTTGACGGCCGGATGAGAAACGCCATCGACTTCGACTGACGCGTCGAAGAAATCTGCCTTGCGACAGTTCAAATGGCCAGTTTTCCCGTCTCTTCTGTCCCAATCTTCAATAAAGCTATAAAACTCCGGCCCCTTCGTTGGATTTCCGTAGCCAATCCACTCATAAGTTGCTATGAACTTCTCCTCGCCAGAAATGGAAAATGAAGATGAAATATGCCAGGTTTCCTCCTTGCCACCTGCGTTTACTTTTTTCGCACTGATCTGTTGAGTGACTGTTTCTCCGATTTTCCAGGGAAACTCGACCAGACACTTTTGCCCGGTTCCTTCTCCTCCGAAATCAACGCTGGAGGATTTCACTGCCTTTGTTTTCTTGTCAGGCCCATCCTTAGAGACAGGAATAGTTAAGACACCACTTCTACTAAAATATGTTTACCCAAACGGAAAAAATCAGCGCATGTTTCCCAGAGTCGAGCGTTTGAACGCCTCCATAACCTCCATGTTTTCCGTCATCGTAACAAATCAACGCGAAATAAGTGCAAGGAAATGATTCTTTGACTAATTCTAGGTTTCCGAAACGTCCTTTTTTCTAACAAAACATAAACCTGCTCTGGAACCAAATCAATGCAGGAGATTATAAAAGTCCAGCTATCACTGATTTTGTCCTTAGCTCCAGGAGCATGCCAAACCACGTGACAGGAAGAAGCAGGCAGACAAGTATTCTCACTCATCTGAGAACAGCTGTTTCGGAGTAAATAACCAACAAATTTTTATTAAATATGAGAAGTTATCAGTGTTTTGGGGTTTTTGAGAAAGAGTCGAACAAACGGGAGCGAGAAAGTTAAGTTAGTGCAAAGATTGAAGATGATTATAGAATAGAAATAAAGAGTACAGTGAAAGGAACAGTGTAGGTAAACAGTAGCTACAGTTATTATTATTTTAGAATTATAGTACAGTAAGATTGTTTTGAGTGTTTTGAACAGAACGAGCAAATTGTCTTGGAGCAGGAAGTCTTAGGCTAGGAAAAAAACGAGCGATATTGGGAAGAAAATGGGATTTAAAAGTTTTAAAACGAGCAAATTTTTATAAAATTATTTTAACTCAATGCCTAGATAAGTAGTACGCTGTTTCATTTCTAAATCCAAGGCACTTGATGGCGATAGGCAAATTTCGGATGGCGGAAAACGAGAATGTTTCAAGGAGTCAAATGTTCGAAAAAAATAATCTCAGTACGTGTAATTGATTTAGATACTCGACACACGATTGTAATTATTAATTCTTTGAGATGTTGATTGCAAGATACCGAGTGTTTGACTTGATTGTCTGGAGCGAAGTATTCGAATGAAAGAGAATAAATAGCGGATTTTGGATTGGCTTTTCAGAGCATCGTTGAGGCTCCTTTCTTGACGTTTTCGGCACGTACGTTTTGCCGTCTTCGGAAGCTCCTGGACACGGCGTCGGCGCGGCGGTAGGGCTCTTTCTCCAGCTGCTTCATGTTCGCTTCCAAAGCGCCATCGGCAGGGGCCTTGATGTTTCGATGAGTATTGAAATCAACAAGGAAATTTGATGACTTACCCTTCTATCTCGCCGTCTGTTTTCTCTGATATCATTAATCATGTCTTTCTCCGACTGCTGTTTCGCCGCTTGTTGCTCTTCAGCCTTTTGCTGCTCCATGGCCGCAGTTCTCGCCTAAAAGGATGAAAACAGGAAATCAAATAAAGACAAATACCGCTTCGAGTTTTTCGATTTTCTTCTTTTGAATCATCTCCCACTTCTTCAAATCGTTCTCTGCCTTATCATACGCTTTGATAAAACGATCGAACATGGGGAAAAAAGTATCAGGAGGCATGGTTTTGGACGTCTCTCCAAAGTACACGACGCATTTTCGGAAAGCCTCCTGGGCCTCCAATGCGTCTTGTTCCAGCGCTTCGACGCGGTTTCCGGCCTCGGCGAGGAAAGCTCCAAGAACTTGGTTTTGATGCGCTTCGTATTCTTTGCGCGTCGTGTCCATTCCTTTCTTGAGGTCTTGAACTTCCCGAACGGCCTAGGAACAGCTCTAGACTCTGATGCCCTCGTTTGGCTAATTACCTGATCGAGAGAAACTTTTGCGGCTTGCTCGACATAGCGAATTTCAAGCATGAAATCGGCGAATTCCGAAAAGTAGCTGTGAACAACGTTGCAAATGTAATGCAACAAGTTCTGCGATTTGTCCGTCGATTTTGTTTCCACAAGCGCTTCGAGAGAAGTGAGCTTGAAACCGTAAACTGACCCTCGTTTTCCGGAGTTCATGTAGTTTCCGAAGGCGAGGATGATTTCCAAGATTTTCTTGAGTTTTTCCGAGTTTCTGATCGACATTGACGCGGAGATAATCGCTTTGAGCTATGAATTGTTTGTTCGCTTACTGTTTTTAAGTTCGCTTCAACCTGTGGTCCGATAGTTCGAGTGTGATCGGCAAAGTTACCAATGTAAATCATGACTCTGAGACGCTGCTGTAGACGTTCGACTCGCCCGAAGACCCACATAAACTTTCGTAGGTTTCAAGAACGCCCTGTAGATACGAAAAATGAAAGCTAGGGTTCTGATTGCTGAAACATTCCTGATCTTCTTCTGAGAGCGCGTAAATGTCCTTGCCATCTCGTTCGTATTTCTTGATGGCTTTCATTTCCGTATCGTTGGGAATGAAATTCGGCAACATTTCAACATAATCCAGAGGCAGCGCTGTCAGATCATAATTGTAGACAGCTTTGCAAATACTAAATAAAAATTAGCAACTGAAAAATAACAAGCACGAACCTTTCAGTATCGAGACCAATTTTTCTGAGAGTAATGGCCAAGTTTCTAGCTCTGTTGGTGTCAATGAGGGTCGTTCCTCGTCGCGCCTGAATTCTAGCGAGCCTCTCCATTCGCTCTCTGTCAGCTTCTGTGTCTTGAGCTCGCGTTTTGAACATTTCCTCAAAGTGGCTCATGTCGATTTGGCTGAGAACTCCTTCATCGTCCAAGTCGTTGAAGATGGTTCCGGCGACTTGGGTGGGCTTCAAAGCTTGCCAGTTCAACACGGGGAGACGGTATTTTGTTTGATGTCTTGCCTTGACCTTCAGGCCGGCGCCGCCAAAAGGCAAATTTGGGGGTGGTGGTGGAGCACCGGGTGCTAGAAAGTATTATTACTTTTCAAATTAAACATTTTCTCATTACCTCCAGGCGCGGGTGGTGCACCTGGGGGCGGGGGTGCCCCAGGTGGTGGTGGCGGTGGGGGTCCGCCAGGTTTCGGGGGTGGAGGGGGCGGTGCTAGATCTTCTTTCTTCTTCGTCGTATTCAGCTTCGCCGTTTTGACCTTGAATGTATCTTCTTTATCATCGCCCGGCATTTCCGGCATCTTCGGCTTTGCCCCAGGCGGCAAGCCCAATCCAGGAGGTGGCGGTGGTGGGGGCAATCCTTGCGCCTGTGCAGCTTGAACTTGTTGAGCATATTGTGCCTGTGCAGCAGCTTGTCCTCCTCCGCCTCCAGGGCCGAATCCTCCTCCAGGTCCTCCTGGTCCGCCAAAGCCTGCCTCTGGTTGCGCACCGGGTGGCGGTGGTACTAGTTTCATTAAAATACAGCTCTTCAAAAAGCTTCAAAAAGCGAGCGAGCAGCATTTGTTAATTAGCCGCATCATTAGTCGTTTATTTCCGATCAATTAACATAAGAAATTAAAAGCATGTTAGTTTGCGCAAATATTAAGCCACACACACACATTTAGCAACCAAACCTCCTCCGGGACCACCAGGTCCTCCTCCTCCGCCAGGGCCGAATCCTCCTCCCCCTCCTCCGGGGCCGAATCCTCCACCAGGTCCTCCGGGGCCTCCTCCACCGAGACCGCCGAGTCCTTCTCCGGGTTTGCCAGCGTAGTGAACTCCCGGCAGAGCGTAAACTCCTCGTCCCGCGCCTTTGAGTTTTTCGATCTCCTCCTGTCGGCCGGCAAGTTGCTTCTCGAGCTCGCAGATTTTCGACATTGCTTCGTATTCATTATCTACGAAATTCAAATTTAAACAATCATTAGGTCGACGACAGTTAACCTTGAATCGCTGCGGTAAGATCGTCCACCCTGTTGTATAAGTTCTGAACCTGCTGTTCTGACTGTAGTTTCGCATTCGCATCCTCAGCCAAAATCGACACATCCATCATATTATCCTCGAACGCTTTGAGCTGTTCTTTGACCTTGTCAGAATCGGTATTTTTCAACTGCTTCAGGACTTTTTCTAGCCCAAGTTGCTGGAACTCGAACTGAAGGTGGACTCGGAAGTTCATGTCATTGACCGAGTGAATAACGAGATTGATGAATTGGAGACAAGAATGCAAGAATTCGACGTCGTCTTTATGATTTTTGAACCAACCCATCATCTTTGAAAACCTGACTTTCTCCGACATGACTTCTTTGAAATTATCAAAAGCGCGGAGAACGTATTCGTGCCCGCCGTCTACGAGGCACAGGCCAGCTAGCATGTCGAGAATGTGAGCCTAGATTCCGGCGTCGTTTTGGGGAAAAGAGATTAAGAAAAGTACCTTTGTTCGTAAGTTATTGGTGTTGAGGGCAAGGCAGATTTGGTTCATGGCAGTTTTATGGGCGAAGACAGCAGTCATTCCATGCTTGTAACTCAGCACAGCACGGAAACATAATATACAGAGATGCACTTCGTCACGATCCAGGAGAAATACAGAATTCTTGATGGTTCTTTTCGAGGGCAAACGAGTCGATCTTTAAAAGATATTTGAAACCAGGGAACTTCCGAGCTGTTGACATTACCTTCTGAGAGTGTCAAACTGCTTGATTACATTTTTGACGTCCTTGTCAGTTTGCTCATCGTCGAATTCTTGGTCTTCCTCTTCTAAATTCGCGTTGGAGTTTTGAATACTGGTAGCAACAAAGCCCCAGCACGCGAATTTGATGAAGTCGACAAGGGCATCGAGCCCCTTGTATTCGTTGAGGAACTCTTTCACCCAGCCGACGTGGTTGGTTCGCAGAGAGATTTCCAGCTCTCTGAGAAGATTTGCGGTGTCGGCAGCGTTGCGCTTGAATTCTTTCTTGTTCGTTGAGTTCACAATCGACTAGAAGACGGTTAATAAGGCGGACAAATAAGATATTAACAAGAGAAAGGCACCTTCAGGCGGGCAGTGTAAACTTGCGGCGACTTTTTCACAATCATCCCATCATGCTCAAGAATCAAGTTCCACTTCTTTTTGTCGTCATACTCCATGAGAAACTGCGCGTTCTCCGGATTCAGATTAACGCTAGCCATAACACTGGCAAATCGCTCGTCGAGCTCTTCTTTATCCGGCATCGGTGCCCCATTCTAGCAGTTTTTATTAGCGAACTTCAAGTTGATTATCTTACCTTTCCCATTGGGAGCTTGATTGGGACATTGTGCCGGAAAAGGTCTTCCGCATTGTGCTCACTGTTGGTACTTTGTTCATTTCCCATTTCTGGGATGCGCTAACGCAAGAATTTCAATTCTGATTCATCTAAAAACATAAACCTTGCTCAACCAAAGATCAATACAACCCGTTTTCAAATTAATAATTCACAATTTTTGTTCACCGAGCAATAGAAACAGCTAATTTTAACCCAAGCAGCTACTTTTAGTAGTATCGAATTCGAGAAAGTATTCGTTCCTCTCTTTTTCCTTTTGGATTGTTTTCAAAGAAGGAATCTATTCTTGAGAATTTTTTTCAACCCCTGAATTCGGCAAGGAAGCGCCCCGGGCCAAGCAAACTTGAAGTAATTCGCGGTGCGCTTTTCAGATCTAATACTTTCCGATTCCAGTTTATCCCCAATATGCATTCAGAATACTTGATACAAGCGGCTCTTTGGGAGAGTTTATTGAATATGGAAAGGTCCATTGAGGAGCTCAGACACCGGAGAATTGAGGGTGGGAAATTTGATTTCGCAAATTAGGAAAATTAACCATTATTTTCAGACAAAAGAAGGTGGGTAGGAATTTTGAACTGTGAGATTTGCATAAAGAGAGGTTATATTTGGGAAAGCTGATTCATAGTTAACGACACCTTAGAGAGATAGAGAGACAGAAAGGCTAGACTTTCCAAGTCAATTTCCAAGTCAAAGTAAAACTAGCGGTTTGACGCAAATCTCCACTTTGTTGAAACCGTAGCGATAGCAGTTTTTCATCGCATCTTTGGACTGGTCGTTGTTTTTCTTTGGAGGATATTGGTTATTTTGTTCTTTGCTTTTTATGATGATTGAGTCTTCATCCTCGTTTGCTGGATTCTCGCAAACTTCAAATTTTAGCTCGTTTTCGTCCACTTCTTCTCCGTTTTGCGGTACGCGAGAGTTTTCTAGCGTCGTCAGATTTCGGCTGTGCAAGTTTTGCCCATTTCCGCCCGACATTTCTGACAACTGCAAGCCGACTTGATTCATCGACGTGGCAAAACCGAGCAAAGTCAGAGCAGAGACAAAGAACAACTTTGACACGTCCTTGAAAAACTGCCACAAGGAGACTTAAATTGCAAATGAAAGATGGATAGGTTCTGCTTATCTTACGCATAAGACGAAGGTTAACAGCCGTGTTGTATGTGAAAACGCCGTCTTTTGAATCGTCTGCATTGCCAGTTGAATTTCAAGCTGGGCGAGGGTGTTTTTGAATTCTTCATTGCTGATATGGCAGCTCCAGTCTATCGCCTAAAATGAAAATGATTATTTTCTAAAGCGAAATTGAGCTCAATTTACTGTGAGAAAATCAAGTTCCATTTTGGTCAAATCCTTGGACTCCAATCCCAAACAGTCGGCCCACTCATCGTTGTAGCACTCGTCGTCAGTCCCGTTGTCAAAGAGGTACTTGGAGGAAACCATCATCGAAACGATGAATAATTCCGAAGACTCCACTTTCTTTAGGTATTCAGGGTTGTTTGCTTTGAGTCGTTGGAGGTAAATCAGCGCGGCGACGATCGCGGACGGACAGAGCGCCGTATTTCGCATCAATCGAGTGGCGATGCGAGGTCCAAGTTTTCCAGCGTTTTTTGGCGCGAGCTCTCGAAAGTGCTCGACGCAGAATTCTACGAGGAGCGGTTTAATCCCTTTCTATTATTCCTCTGATCTACCTGAGATGTCAAGCGGCATAACGTCGTCCAAGCACTGCGTCCCCGGATATAGAAAGGTTCTCCTCAGCCGATCTTCCCAATCCGGCGAGGCGAGAAAACTCATCCTCAAATCTTCCGTATTCATGTTTTTTTATTCCCAACAAACCAACCCAAGCACCGCGCTCGAGCACCGATTTCGTTTTGTTAGTCTGAACAAAGAAAACCATTAGAAATCCACCCAGAGTAAATAATATCTTTTGAAGAATAGTGACACTCACCCACTACTAGGCTAATTCTGCTATTGGCCGAGTAAATACGAAGAAGAAAAAGGGGGAGTAACCACTATTTTTTTCTCTAGACGTCGCGATTTTCAAATAACGAAGAAAAAAAGACTGCTGCTGAAAAAATATTGAATTGTCTCAGACTGCCAAAAGTCACGGGATAGAAGAAGAGAAAAGGTGTGAAAAATGAAGATCGAAAACTTCAAATTTATGCTGATTCTGATTTTGATATTCAATCTCCTGATTCGCAACGCAAACGCCAAGAGCGTAGATTCGAAATGCAAAAGACAGGCGAGACGGGAGTTTGAAGTTTACGCTTGGCCTCTGCATTTGGACCCGCATCTATATCCGCTTGAAAACATAACAACTATCGCCCAGGAAAGGATGAACTAAATTAAGTCAGATCTTGAAGTCTGTAAGCATCCTAAATAAGTGGGGACGAAAGAATGTTGAGTTTTTTCACGACAGTGGAATAAGGTACCAACCCTTGAAATCAACGAAATCACAGGGAATTCTTTAGGGTTGAATTTTGCGTTGGAAATGAGCATGTTGACTTTGTTGACCTCAATGACCAGGCTTATAGAAAAAGGCTTGTCGATTTCATTCGCACGGTAAAATTTACTGTAATGATATCAGAAAATTTAAAGCGATAAAGACTGTCGATGAGGGTTGTTTCGATGGAGCAGTTTTCGATGCAGAAGGACCAATCTTTGACGAAGAGACTAAAGAAGCATACGGAATGGTTCTACAGCACATTTTTTAAGTTAATTTGTTTCGTCCTTGAGCCTCCCAGTTGAACCCAAGTAAACAGTCTCATTAATAAAGGAAACAAGAGAAGCCCTTCTTGACCTTGGACCCGACATCTCCCTGTCGATGGCGGTGCCGTTTGACCCAAAGGTTTAATTATTCAAACTCTTACAGAGTACAAACTTTAAACTCTTAAGCCTTTAGCTTGTCTATCCGGCAGGTGCAAGCTGTGGGACAAAATGGCGGAGCACATGGACACACTCTTTATAATGGGATACGATAGCCAGGATAATATAATAACGGCCTCTGCCTCTTCTCCGTTGGACAAGATAACAGAAGGGGTCGAGAATTATCTCAAAATGGGAATTCCAAAAGAAAAGCTCGTTCTTGGAGTTCACTGGGCCAGCTACCGATACCCTTGTGTCTACATGAATCGGCACCATGTAAGTTTTAACTGTTTTGGTTAGACCAAAGCCATTTAGAATCCCATCCCTCCATGCGTCGTGGACTTTGCCCATAGATTGATTGATTCATTATCGAATGCTCTTCATAATTGCTCTGAAAACGCACTTGACGGAGTCAACTACGACAGTGACTCGCACACAGTCTACTGCTCCACCCGAGAAAATGGGCACTACCGACAGCGCTGGTTTGACACACCAGGTTTGAAAAAGGAGATTTTTTTACAAGTCTTTTATTTTTTTCAAGCGACTTTGGCAGAAAAATACAAGATGGCGGCTGCTCATGGACTGGCTGGGCTTGGAATGTGGTCATGTGATTTGATCGACTATCCATTGTCGGCAAATCCACTTTCGAAACAGTACTGGGATCAGATTGCGGAGTACGCTAGGGGTTCAGAAATTTGTTGAAGAGATTTAAAATCAAGGAGGAAACTCTGATTCTGAACTCGTTTTAAAGCAATGCAGATGTCAAAGAACAACAGGGGTCAATAAATAAATGGATCGTAAGAGGATTAAAACTGTCAAATAAATGCTGCTTTCGAGGATGAAAACGAATTGCTCTTGATCGTGTCGCGTGTAGAGTAATTTGGACCTGGCACGTCACTTTCCCGTCTTTTGCTAAAATATTTTTCATTGTTTTGAACTTTTCCGCGAAACAAAATTGTATTTCATCCGATGTTGCTAATTATTTATATTTTGGAACAGCTTCTAAATCAAAAATTAAAAACCGACCATCAAACAAGTCGCTTTCGTGAATAATAAAGCCTTTGATTGTACCTTGGTAACACATTTGCTTTAGAAGAAAGCCTGGAAAGACGACAGGCAAAGTTAGAAAACCGCCTTGTTGAAAGAATTGATCGCTCGATCAAGTGCATTTTGACGTTTGGGTCGAACTTTTTCTGCATTCTTTTAGGCCAATTGTTGAGGTATTGAAAGGTCTGAAATTGCAGGGTAATAGTGTACTTTCCTGAACTTTATTCTTTACCCAGGCGAGCATGCAGACGACTATGAATATAAATCCCACAAGCCAAAACAAAGAGAGTCCATTTTCGTCGAGAACACACAGTGTATCAGTGACACTGTTTTTTTTATGTTTCCGACAACTAGGGAGTCTATGTTCTCCGACCAGAGAAGTCGCAGAGAGTCCCAAAGGGTACCAAAATGTAGCTTAGGGTCTGCTTTATGGCGTAGGGACACTGAGCAAATGTCATTGACACGTGTTCTTTCACAAATGACGTCATCAACTCGGAAATACCCGATTTCGCCAATTTTACCCTCATTTTGGGAGTCGATGTTCTCGAAGTACAATCATCGAACAGCGTCTCCAAAGGGCTCAAATAAGAGCTGAAGGTCTACTCTGTGGCGTAGGGGGGTTAAGATAATCTCAGGATATACTCATCCCTTTTTTACAGAGGGTCGAAAATGAGGTCGGAAACATAAAAACAGTGTCAGTGCAATTCGCCACAGGATACGCTTAAAATAACGATCAACCATCAGTATATTCAGGAAGAGCTACCATAATCGTAATAATAGTAGCTCCTGGAATCATTCGCCTGAGAATCTGTTTCAAATTCGGACGAGTTCACTTTCATTCTTTCTCTATTCACTCTATTGAAAACTGGAGTAGGATCTCTCTAGTTTTTTAAAAAAAGCGTCAAGGAAATGAGGATTGCGTCTCTGTTTCCCCCGAGCACCCTTTAGTGCGACCTCATTACAGAGTGGCACGTTTTAGGATCGGAATCCAATTTAACTCAAATCATATTTGGCCTAGGCGCAGAAATCCGCCTATTGGCACAAATGGTAAATGAGCTAGATATTTTAGAAGGAGACAGCAAGTGTCGCTATCAATATATTTCTACATCAACTACATGGCCTCTCGGGAGTTTGAAATAACTTCTGGTCTATAGATTATTAAACTTGTTGTTTCCAGCTTCAACAATTCAAATCTTACAAGTCAAAATTAGCCAAGTGAGTTTAATAATTACCGAACATTGAGATGACTTTGACTGAGGAAGAAACCGAATCAGGAGGATGTTATTTCAGATAATCAAAGGGCCGCAATTTGCATCGGACGTTTTGAATATGACATACAAGATCATCGTCCGTCTCGTCAAGAAGGCTACAGAAACTCATTCTTAAAAGAGCCTATTATCATTTCGAGACGCATTTCGAGGATTTCAGGAGAGATTTCAGGAGCAGTTGTTTGCAGTTTTGGAAGTTTATCTCGTATAAAGAAGAATGTAGGCACCGTTGTGGTTTAGTCCAGTCAAGACTCGTTGAATAAGCGCATCATTACACTAAAAAGACTTTTTTTTCCTTGATTTCAACCTAAAGGACTAACCATGTACCAGGCGTTATCGATCTTCCGCAGAGTGTAGTAATGACCGCAATTATCAAAACCGACGTGAACGATTACTGCTTCGAGATGATAAATTTTTGAATTGAAATTGGATTTCTGAGATTCGAACTGTTGAAGAAAGCAATACTTTGATAAATCGAGGCAATCCGGATACCTCCACGGGCGGAGGTTACGAAAGGAATTGCCAGACACTGGATCCCACAAGGCGGTGACTTGTATGCACAAATACTTTGGAAGAGAGGCGAAGGAAAGGGACTTTTTGTGGAGACTGTCTTGTAGGGAAATCTCAGGCGAAGAGTCAAAGCTGGGCATCACGGACGATTGCCCGCCAGATTCATGATCAGAAGTGGTCGAGCAGCCCTCGCAATTGACGATCAACGTTTCGGGCTTGAAATAGTGCTCCAGGGACGTCTCAAGGTCCGTGCGTTCGAGGCTGTTTGCGGAGTATTTTTGCTCCAAGGTCAACATGTGAAGCTTCTCGACCCGCGAGTCTTTTCGTTTTCCGCAGACGGAACAGACCATTTCTCGGAGCGTCGAGAAATGAGTCGGCCATTTGAAAGGATCAGCGGTTTTTGAACTTCAAGAAACTTTGAAGACAGTGCAAATCAAGCAGATTAATATACCTCTTATAGCTCAAAAAACCAAAGTTACTGATGGATCTGTGGCACTCAAGTTCAATCGCGCTCTCCATTCTCGTCCATAATTCAAGACAATCCTGCTGAGACGTCGCCCATTTTGAATCAGAAGCTAGTAACCCAATTAGCTTTGTTGACGCATCGAAGAAGCTTCCAGCTAGAGTAACAGAATCAGTAATTAATTCGGAATAAATAAGAAAGTACCAGGACAAATGCGATTTATCCGCTCGATGGTTTCAATTATCGTTTGTAGCACTTTCGCATTTTTGGCAGATTTTTGATTATTTTCGGGGGAGATATATTTTTCCCGCAGTTGTTTGAAGTAATTGTAATATTCAGGCATTGTCGAGATGAGCTGGAGCATGGAATTTGCATAACAGAGCTGCGAGTAATTTGTTAGCCCGGAAACAATCTGCTTCGAGGAAAACTGATCATACCTAGGGTCATTTTAATATTCTATTGCTGGACTAGAACTGACCCGAGGAAATAATCTCTGTTCTCTATCAGCTGCTGGAGAAGGATCGCAGAGGCAGTAGATAACAGCAGAAATTCTAACTTGTTTTCAGACGCATACTTTGTTATTGCTTCCATAAATGGCCCAATTTTCTAAATAGAGTAATTTATTACAAATCGTTTTATAAATCGAAAATAGTATTTTATCCATTTGATTAGTACAAGTTTAGTAAATATTAGTGAAGAGAATGGGGGGGAAAGATAAAGAAGAAAAGATTGCATGAATCTTACAAGTAGAGAATCGAGACTTAAGAATTTTGAATCAGAGAAGTACTGATAGCAAGGAGGAGAATGAAAGTTCCGAATGGAATCGTTTTTGAATGGGAATGAATTTCTTATTTGGCGGCTTCGGGGATTTTTGGGAGTCCGAATTCGTCCACTTCTCCTGATGCTTCTGGGAGACCGGGCTCGGTGCTAAAGAACAATTTAATAACATATTTTGGACAATCGATAAAAAACGTAAGAGCGGTCCGATTTGGCCAGTCTTATTTTTTTACGATTATGTTTGGACTCCAGCTAAAATCCTGACTTGAAAGCTATTTGTTTACGATCTTCTGTAGTAACCCACTGACCCTACTGACCTCGGTGCATTCGGTGTAGCAATATCATCCAGAAGCCCATCATCGGCGAGAAAGTCGTCTCCAAGAGCATCAAGCTCGGCCTCAAGGTCGGCTTCGTCAATGTCGTCTCCAATGCCGTAGCTTCTGCTCATCACTTCTTGGATCTCATTTGCATCGAGCATCATGTCCTCCAGTTCATCCTAAGAAGAATATTTTTAACTTTCAAATGGTGAATTATTGACCACAGTATTAATACAGTGGTTTGCGCAACAAAGGTTTATATCGAGGGCTTAGGGCTTTTTCTGCTGAAGAAATCGATCACATGTGCCTCGTTAAACAAAAAAGAAGAGGGTAGAGATAGTTGGGCGTGTCCGGGACAGATCTATCTGCTGATTTTTAGGTCATCAGATAAAGTACTAAGAAAAGTTGATTAATTAACTCGGCAGAACTCCAGGAGGAGGAAATAAGTGGGGACCTTCAGGGCGTGTTTGACCCACGTAAATAAGAGACGATAGAGATTCTCCCGAACAACCTCACTTTGGACAAGCACCAGTTCTAGCTCAGGGACAAACTTCAATTTTAAAAAGATTTTTTAAAAAGAAGAAGAGATGATTGGCAGAACCGTTGTCCGACAGTATACTAAAAGTGCACGCGAGTCGACCTATGTCGAATTCCGACGCTTATCAAGAACCATGGCATCGTTGGCCGAAAACGATGCGCTCTCCTGCAAGATAAATGGTAAGTCGTATCCAAGTACAAAGAGCAAAAAATATTATGTTATCTAATCAAATTAGCACTTGATCGATCTGAATCTGGCGATTTACTTTTAGAAATAATTTTCACAGCTTTAAAAGCTTACTATATTTGAAAAACCGGCTTATATAAGATATCGTTCAAAATTCATATTTCTTTTCTACATTTAGAACAATTTAGTATTCAAAAATATCTGCTTAAATTGAATTCTCGCAATTAGAATTTAAAATAAAATTATCAAGGTAACTGCTGCTGAAAATATAAAATTAGTTGTATAACTAATTTGAAAGATGTTACAGCGATTTTCTTGTCAATCTTGAACACTTACTGATCCCAATTTCAGGGCCTATTTCCATCAACGTCTTGAAAGAAAGCAATTCCGGCCGACTCAACCCTATCCGTCGCTGGGACATGACCCCAGCTACTGGCAAGATCTCCGAAGGTCAGATTGATCTGGACGAGGATGAATGCCCTCCAGCGATTTCCATCGCCGGCACAGATGAAGATATCATGCAGGCAAGTTCCTTTATCACGCGTAACAATCATGCATGTCTGCATTTGTACTGATTGTTAAAAATGACCTTTAGATTCTCAAACAACGATTGACAGTACGAGACGCCGAAGTCCTCGGCCGCTGCCAGGTAAACAAACCACTACCCCATATCCAGGGGTCAATAAAATATATTTTAGGTCAAATGGGCAAACGACCAGACAAAGATTGCCCTGGACCAGCTTTTCCGAGAGCTTCAAAAAGCGCCACAAGAACTTTGAAACGAGTTCTCTTCATTTTACCTAACAGAAAAAAAACATAATCTTTTCCTTTTCCACTAACATACGATTCTGTTTGTTTCTCCTCAAAATAGTCAAATACGATGTGTGATTCCCCAGAACGTCATTTGCAATGATCGTTATTTTTGTTTAATCGTTTGGACTGCTCAACTTTTCAACCCTTATTCTCAATTCTGATTACTTCATATTACCAAATAAACCAGTATAAGAACATAACTTGACGATTTTAATACCCGTCAAATCCAAATTGAAAATCGATTGATATCAAGGAAGAGTACAACTATTAGCTGTTTATGTCAAACTGACCTGGAGGTCCTCGATTTTGTCGATGTTGATCTTTTTGTACTCCTTTTTCATCGCTTTGGCGCCTGCTTTCATGGCAGTTACAGTATCTTGCGTGTCCTTGAGCGTTTGAATCGTAAAGTTAGCCTAACAAAAAATAACCAAAATGACCGAATATGCCTTTCAAAACCTGGTCCATGTTGAAAGACTGATTTGAAATCTGCTCTCGTTGATTTTCGTACATCTTTCTCTGCTTCAAAACTCGCATGGCCTTTTGCTTGACAGCATTTTTGCCAGGGCCTTTTCGCATCGTTTTCATCTGATTCTTGTACTTGACAAGTTCGGCATCGAGCTTGGCGATCTTCTTGTCGATCGAGTCGCCTCGGGAGTCAAGGTTTTGCACGCAGTCATTTAGATTTGGTGGTGGTGCTTTTGGCTTTCCCGTTCCGAAGATGCGGTTCATACTTTTTTTCTAAATTTCCGGAGGTCAGAAAAGTAATTGGAGAAGATAAAAGACTTTACAATGTTTGGCAGCTTGGAATGTTTTTCGAATACAGAAATATACAAGACAGATAAATTACAGAAATTAGTTGATTTCACGTCCAGCTTATGATTGACTCTCTTGTCATCATCGCGGAAGATCGATTTTCAAGAATTTCTCTCGCTCTTTCTCTTTCTGTCGGATGCGAGCTTCGTTCAGATCTTTCAGATGATTGTCGTTGATTATTAGAAGAATTTTGCGATGAGTTTTTAGGCCGCGAGAATGCCGTTTCGCGCACTTAAAATTTTAAATCAAGAAAGAAAACCGAGGCTTACTTTGATCCGCTCGCTCGATTATCTCTGGTCGTCGCCTTGAAACATTGGAAGAGTTGTTTCGTTGATTTTGCGAATTTTGCGATTCGTTCCTTCTCTTGAGCATGAGAAATTGCTGATCCTCGCCTTCTTTTGTCAACTGGTCTTCAAGGACTTTTATTCTCTCGTTCAGTCCACACGATTTGACTAAAAAAACGGACTGAGAAAAAGCAAGGAAGGGGAGTAACTAACCGTAAAGAAAGAAGCAGATAGACGTGAAGATAAGAATGATCGAATACAAAACAGTCTTGGAAGAAATAAAGTTCCAGAGCCTTTCCAATCGCCAATAACTTTCGATGAAGTTCATAAATGGTTCGGCAAAAGTTTGATATTCTTGGAAAGGGCCACAAGATGAGCTGGGCGAAAAGAGAATCAGAGGAGACAGGGTCATCAAGGTTCCCAGATAAAATCCAATAACCATGAGTACCGTAAAATACACATCTGCGTTCGAGGATTTATAGCTGAAATTTAGACACTTAGAGCCGGCTTGTCTGATGATTATCGTGGATTATATAAGATTTAAATACCCTAGAACTAATATTAAATTGGCTTCACCAGTTGCCCCTTTCACTGTGATTATGTTTATTACAAGGTGCAAAGCGCTTAAAATCTCATCATTTGTTGATAATATCTTTTAATCACAAGGTGGAAGAAGCATAATCACTTACTGATTGTCGTCATTATGCTCGTAAATATCCACCACCGCGAATCTATTTACGGAAAAAACCAGCACTTGTATGAGGAAAATCAAAATTGGTAGAATCGGGCAGTAGAAAACGCCTAACCAAGCAATCGTTTGCCAGGATACGATTTTCAGAACATTATCGGTAATATCAAAAGTGGAGACGAATGGAATTCTCCACCCAAACCAGCGCTTGAGCAATTTGCTCGTTCCAGCAAGAAAGAAAACAGACCCTAATTGACCGAGAAGCCAACCGATTGTTAGTCGATAGCATTCCTGACCAAGAACTGTCGGCCAACAAGTATACAGCGGATTCTCACAAGTACAGGAAAAGTGCCTATCGTTCACTGAATGAGTTGATTCAGTTGTCGTTTCGTTTAAATTAGTGACGATCGGAGCAGCTTCAAGAAATTCTCGATCGTGGCATTTGGAGATTTCCAAGAAAATTGTGATAAAAACAGCTGTTATCGACAGAAAACGCAAGGCGACTCGCCAACCAATTACTTGATTCATTCGCGTTTCAGCCTTGAGCTTCTGGAAGGACGTGAGGATCTTGAAGAAGATTGGACAGATAATAGAAGTTCCACCCATCGTGATAGAAACAAGATACGAGTAGAGAAACTTGAGGAAGTTGTTTTCCGATTCTAGCTCTTTTCCTTTCGTTGCGGCGAGAACGACACAAAGAATAGAGCCGATCAAGACGGCCAAATTGCCAATCGTCGTGAAGACTCGAATGAAGTAAACATACATTCTTTCGAAAAAGTTCCAATTCTCCTGTTCCGCGATCAGCTTGTCCTCTTTCAGTTCATTCTTGATCTTCATCGCCAGGAGCTTTTTCTTGATCGCTGCAGTTTCCCGATCCGATATGTTCATGTCCCAGCCGAAGATCAGTTTCGAATATTTAAACATTTGTCCGGACTTTCCCACAATTTGAGCCTCCATGCTCCTGCCAGCTTGGACACTGATGACGATCAAAGAAAAGAGGTAGATGAAGAACACTGTGGCTAGATAAAGAACCGGGTTGTTGTACAAGGTGTCTGATAAACCACTTTCATCTATTGATGACGATTCGTAAAAGCCGTAAAAGACAAAGGTTTTCTCCATGAATATCTGCCCATTGAAGAGGAACAAAACGTAGTCGACGAACTTATCATCCTTGTATTCAGTTGGATATTCACATGGTTTCTCCTCGTTGGCAGATATTTTACCAGAAAGGCGCATGCAAATATACGGTAGAATTATCCCCCCGGAAACGATTAAACTCAACCCAGCGTTGAGAAATATCAACTTTCTTAAAAATCTGAAATACGCGGTCACTGCTTGGCCGCATTTTCCTTCGATAAATTCTAGGTGCCGTTTCCAAGGGTTGAGCTGTTGCGGGTCCAGGAGAGTTAGCTTGGCACCCGAATTTCGCGCATTTTGATTTTCCCTTGCTTTTGTTCTTCGATTTCGGATGGTGTAAGCTCCGGGGTGGTTTCGGAGAGTATGGACAGTTGTGAAGCCTTGTGGAGGGTACACATTTTCCATTCTTTCATCTGAACCAAGAAAATTGAGGTAATTGTCGTTTTTATTAAAATGGATTATTATGATATGCTTTTCGCGTGGTGCGAAAACTTGAAAGGTTGAAACTGGCAGATACACAAAATTATTCCCGTACAGTCTGCTTCGGGTTGTCAGTGGATAAAAATAAGGCAGTGTGGAACTGTCAAGCAAGGTTGAGGTTGAGAACTGATGTAAAACAGTAAAACAGGGCTGTGGTGGCGAGTGTTCGTGTGCAAGTGCGTGCTAAAAAGGTACAGTGCAAATGGCCCTAGAATGCCCTAATTGTGGGATATGGCATGCCACTTGATAGGAGCAAGCTTTCGTTTCTCGAGAAATTCGTTGGCTAAAGCGGTTTGAAAACTTTGATTGCGCGGAGAAGTTCTACCTTTGGAGAAGTGACGACAGCCGAAGAATCCTCGGTGAGCAGAGAGAGGACTGGGGTGGACTTGCTTCAAGATCTCGTGCTTGTTCTGAAAAAAATTTTTACGGGTTTGATTTTTTGAAGTCTCTCTAACCACATTTATAATTTTTGACTTTTCCTGCGCCTTCGCTCCCCAGAGGAGAAAAACAACGCTGTCACAGTGCATAGAAACTGCCTTGATCGCTGCATCTGTCAATTTCTCCCAACCCTTTTTCTGGTGCGAATTGGCCTTTCCCGCGTCAACAGTGAGTACCGCATTGAGAAGAAGTACTCCTTGATCGGCCCACTTTGAGAGATCGCCATGACTAGGCCGGGTGAAAGGGATGTTGTCGTCTTGCTCGAGCTCTTTATACATGTTCAAAAGGCTTAAAGATAAAAAGAATTATATATTGATCAAGATGCAAATGCTGAAGTTATATAATTTTTATTGATACCACTAGTTCAATATTATTGAAATCAATAGCAGTTTTGCACAAATGTTACAATTGTGCTTTTGAGCGATAAAACGTCAAAGAAATCTTGAAAGAAATTCTTTCACCAGTGTTCAATTTGAACTTCAAACGTTACCATTAATAAAGACCAGAGAATATCATAAATACAAAATATTGTAAATACAATTGGAGAATGTCCGTCAAAACTCACCTTGGTGGCGGACGAGTTGGCCGGAGGACTGAAAATGAAAGCCCGTGCGCTTGGTTCGGGCCGTGATAAGGATCCTGTCCGAGGATCACAACTTTGATGCTCTTCAATGGTCGCTCTGCCCATTTGAAAATGTTCTCCTTCGTCGGATAGACGGTACCAGCTTTGTATCGACCATTGACGAACGTCGCTAGATCCGAAAATGACTTCGCTTCCATCACTGGCAAAAGCGCTTTCATCCAGGAATCATGCATCACTTTCAAGCCAGGAAAGAGCGCTTCAAGTTTTGCTCGATTTTCCACCTTTTCTGGGAGGACTTCTGGGTCTTCTCGGGACACTTTTCTGACAGGCTCGACTTCCATCTTTTCCTCTTCTTCCATCGCAGATGACTTTCGTTTCTTGGAATTGGAAGTTGTGGGGACTTCCTTTTTGTTGGTTTTCATGAAAAACGAACTGATACTCGGCTGCGGCATAAAATTTTCAATCTTCAATGAGGCAAAATTGAGGAACGAGAATTTTTATCAATAAATAAAAATTGTATTTAGCAGCGCTCGAAAACTTTATAAAGAGCAGGCAGTGAAGTGAGCATTACAGGCTCTGAAAAGTCGTCAGATAATTGAGGCAGAAAAAGTCGCTTTTGTAGATTGGAAAGATCGTGTTCTCCATCACTTCTTTTAGATAATCGAGCTCGTCTTGCTCGTAATGAGCGAAAGAATAGAACTTTGCGAGCGCTTTTGAAACGGATCTGAGGCATTTCCCTTCGTGCTTCCAGTTTGTGTCTTGCAGGTATTCAAAGAACTTGTAAATCTTGTTGAACTCTGGGCGGTAGTCGTCGATAATTTTGGGCATTCCACGGAGATAGAGATCCTCGTCGATTTGAATTCCGAAGTAATCGAGCAGCATTTCTCGCATTATTTTCAACGAATGAAGAAGCCTCTCCCACTTTAACGGGTCGATGCTAGAAATTTGCAGAATCGCGGGTAGATCTATTGGATCCTCGAGCTCGTCCACATCGAAGTTGCCGTAATCCTTGACGATTATTTGGTAGAAAAGATCTTCTGAAAGGTGCGAAAAATCGACAGATAGAAGATTCTCCTGATGCTGCACCAGAATGTTCGAAGAGGACGCGAAACCAACAAAGATGCAGTTCTCCAGAAAACTTTTAAAGTCCAAGTCGACTTTTCCTTCGATTTCTTTCTCCAATTCGAGCATCGAAGTCAGCTGGCAGCGGTTTCGTTTCGCCCGCCCGTTGATTGTTTCGTTCTTTTCGAACTTTCTCTTTAGCGATTTTTTGTTCTCGGAAATCGGGGATGCTGTTTCGTTTTCTTTCTTTGGGGTCGACGATTTGGGTTGGCGAGGCTCATTTTCTTTATTATTGCCGCGGATGGCATCAATGATGGCAAGAAAACTGTCGATTCTCTGCGAGGAAGAATCGTTTCGGACCATTTGATGCTTGAAAGATTAAGGTCAATGTAGAGAAAGCCGAGGGTACCTGATAATCGGACGAATTTGGATCAGATCTTCTTGAATTGCGCGACTCATTCAGATCAATCACAGAAGTCTCATGATTGCTCAAAAATGTGGGAACTACAGTCATTGTTCTGTCTTCCTTTGTCGGGATCAGAAACATATCCATCTTTTTCTTGATCATTTCGTAAATTCGCTCATCGTGGAGAAACTGCACCTCCATCTTTGTCGGATGGACGTTTACGTCGATGTTTTTTCCAGGCATGGAGAGGTTGAGATAAACCCACGGGCGTGCGCCTTTAGGAAGGTATTCTTCATAAACGGTTTCCATTATTTGCTGATTTTGAAGCTCAGAATCGGATAGTCGTTGATGATTTCAGAGATCCTTTATGAGCTTTTCCTTTATCTGCTTACTTTCAATCAATCTGTTATTGACAAAAATCAAGAGAATAAACTTCTTGCCGGAGTATCCAGAAGACGTGAAGAAGATTTCTCCCTTGACTCCAATCTCTTCATCTGAAAGTTTCGTCGTGAGAATATTGCTTGAGACTTCCTTCGAATAAGTATGCTGAATGATGGTTTTTCTGTCGGGAAGATTCCAAGAGCGAACTTGAGTTTGGCTCTTGTCGATTCGGAAGAGGGAAAAGTTCAGATTCTCGTAGTGGATAGAGTAGGCCCGGATTACCTCAGCTATCTGTAATCAAGTTGAACAAATTTAGGGTTATCTTACGCCTTGGAATCTCAAATCTTAGAGTAATTAAACACCTTGGGATATCTATAATTAGAGGATAAGGTTATATGAGCTTGCGCCAGGCAAGGTGTCCTCAAAGTTTTCTTAATATCGACATGTCTATTTCTCGATGTATAAACTATTTAGACTAACGGAGAAGATTTACATCTGCGTCAGCCAAGGTGCCTTCCAGGGGGAAATGATAATTACAATCTCCAATAATGTCTATTTTCAGTGATTTTACAACAACACGCTTTGCGCATCTTTTCTGACGCAGAAAGTCGTCTTATACACGAGTTATCTTTTTGTATATCTTTATGTTGGGTTAGGATGGGCGCTAGAATCGATCAACTTTTTCCTTAAATTGTTCTTCGTTCGCATTGTATGATTTCTGCCGCATTCCCATATTATGAAAAAGGTCCTTGACATGAATCACTGTCCCGTTTCTACCAGCTGAAGGAATCGCTTCTCCATTGGGTTTCCCGCCATCGAATTGAATTTTGTAAGCAACTTCCTGGGCAACGGGTTTGGAAGTAATCGTCAAATGGCCGACATGAGAAATAGAGGCCAACGCTTCGCCACGAAAGCCAAAAGATCCGATATCTTTCAGATCGGTGTATTCTTGCAATTTCGAGGTGGCAAAACGCACTCCAGCGAGGGGAAGATCTTCCATGGGGATTCCGCAGCCGTCGTCTTCGATTTGGAACATTTCCAGGCCGCCTTTTTTCGTCTTGACTTTAATCGTTTTTGCTCCAGCATCGATGGAGTTTTCGATCAGTTCCTATTTGAAAAGAAAAATAAGTGAGATACCGAGGCGATGACGGGAAGAAGAAATTACGTAGGCGCTTGGCGCATAATTCAAAATGACAATAAAGCGCGCGCTTTTCAAAAATAACTTGGAAATATCAATTGTGATTAAATTTATTACCTTGATAGCATTAGCAGGTCTTTGCACGACTTCACCAGCGGCGATCTTGTTAATGACATCCTGACTCAATTTTCTAATCGGCATTTTCTTCTTATTCCAATTTGCCAATCATTATTTGAAATTTTCTTCCACGAAATTTACTTTTCCAGTTTTTTCCTTCCCAAATCGATTAAATTCTTCTCTTTGCCTACGCGAAGTCGAATTTGTCAGAAAAAATCTGAAAAGCATAATTCAAAAAAGCTAAAAAGGTCAGTCAAGGGCTTTTTTATTATTTCAATAAATTGTGAAAAAGGTGAATCATCGGGCGCCCTCGCGAAAAAGTGAAAAAAAAGAGATCGAGAAAAAGGAAAAATCGCGGAAAATCGAGAAAATCAGCGGAAAGAATAATCGAAGATCAGAGATTTTAGCGAATTTGGAATGGAGCGCAGCGGAACGCCCGCGAACATCCCGAAAAATGTTGAAGAGGCCGCCGGCATTTTTAGAGTTGGGGAGGATGCCGAACTGGCGTACAGGCTTCAGGAGCAAGGTACAGTCTTTTATGAGGAATATTCCTCATAATTATATCTTCTTGATTGTAGTAGCAAATTTTCATTCAACTTCAGAATATGTCGATGTCCAGCAATTCAACGAAAACGAGCGAAGAATCGTTGCTCACGATATTCAACTTGCAAAACGAGTTCAAGTAATTCATTCTTTCAATAGCCTTTTTTCCTGAATCCGAAATTTTAGTCGCAGGAGGAAGATCGAGCGCTGAAAATGGGCTATATTCCTGCTTACGTCAAGAAAGAAATTGCGGAGAAAGACTTCAAAATCGCCAACCAAATCCAAGATCAAGAAGTGAACAGATTTGTCAAGCTCAAGCAAAACGAACGAGACGGCGAAGAAGTGGCCAAAGAACTCTACGAAGAAGAACAGAAAGAATTCGCGAGGCGCGAGCGGGAGATGAAAGAAAAAGAAAGAATCGCAAAGCGAGATCGAGAAGCTGCAGAAAGAATTCAAAAAGAGGAAATGGAGCAATTCAAGGCGGCGGAAGAGCTTGCTAAAATGACGGCCAGGGACTGGGCTCGGCAAGCTATGTAGAAAACCTGAGTACGGCTACTGAAAGAGCTTCAATAAAAGCCAAGTGTCAGAAGAAGTAGCCTGACTCAGTTTTTCTACACTGGTTGCCGAGCCTAGGTTAGTGACGCTGAATACGCTCGAAAAATTGCGCTAGAAGAAGAGCAAAGAATGAAAAATCGACGAAAAAATGGCCCGCACGGGCAGGATGAAGAAATGGCTTACAAACTTTCTGAAGCAGAAAAAATCAAGCTCAAGAAATTGAAAGAATCGGAAGCGAAAGATCGACACCTGGCAAAAGTGATCATGGAGCAAGATTTCAATAAGTACAACCAGAAATATGAAAACAGAAATAGCAGGAGGGTGGATGAAGAGGATCTACTGGCGATTCAGCAGATTGAAATTGACAGGGGCAATTACAACAGTACAGAAGGACAGTATATCGCGCCGAGAAATATAAGTCATGAAAAACAACCGAGGCAGCAAGGGAAGAGTTACAGTAATCATTCTAAGCCACCGAGGTCCAAACATTTGCCCAAGAACTCGAAAGAACGATCTGAGAGAGATCGAAGAAAAGATCAGAAAAGACCGCAAAATGTAAATGGTGGTCGAAAAGCTGAAAATATTTCGAAAGAGTTCAGAAGCCCAAGAAGAGAATACAAAGCTCCTGCACAGTATCAATCGAGACCAGAAGCTGCTGTTGCTTATTTTCCTGTAGAAGCGGCAAATAGAAGAAGAGATAGTGATGGGGGACAGTCGACAGAGTCTTTCGGAGAGTTTTACAATCCAAAAGAAAGATCTCCTATGAGAAGGTAGCTCTTTTAGCGTTTATTCGTTTTTTAGAATAATTTTAGGGTAAAAAGCTTGGATTCTATACTTGATTCGGAATCAGTTTGCGCCGATGGTCCAGGAATGACTGTGAGAATCAAACCAGGTGTCTACCAAAAGACACCAGCTGTTCAACTCGCCGAGCGCGAAGCTCAAAGGTAATATGACCGGAGGATCGAAAGGAGTGTCCACTTGAACAAATATTTGAAGACCGTTAGATAATGACCACGTAGAATTTTTCCTCTCACTTAGAAAATATCTTCGAAAAATGAATCAGAAAGCCTTGCCGATTTTTGTTAGAAGTTGCATCCGTTTTTGCTGAAACTATTGCGTCGTTGATTGTTTGATTTTTTGTGAAATGTTTAATTAATAAAATAAGCAACCTTTTGTTCATTAATTTTCTTTCGCAGGCACAAGAAGCATCAAAAAGACGTTCGTCGAGAGCAGCGTGCTCGTCAGCAAATGTCTCAAGCTCAGGCAAAATCTCGTCGAGCTCATCCCCTTCCTCCAAAAGCGCAGAATACCAAGCAAGCCCGCCAACCTGGGAACCCCCAACGAGGCCAGAACCCGCAACCAGATGTCCATCAAATGCTCTATGGAAAGGCACCAAGCCGGAAACCGAAGAAAAAGCAATCTAGTGACTGTTCCCTTATGTAGAAAAGAAGAAGAAACTCGCTCATTTTTCAAAGCAAATCTTTATCATTCCAGTTCAGATTCGAAAATATTGTAACAAGTTCATTTAACATAAAATTCTTTAACAACTGTTGTCCTCTAACAAAGTTCTTTCCCAATGAAATCAATGAAATTTATCGATCTCTTTCTATCGCTCTCCTTTCACATTCCAATAAATTGTCGTGCCTATTCTAGAGACTTTTCTTTTCCTTGTCTTTAATCTTCCTTGATTTCATGTTCGGCTTGAATGAACTTTGTCTATGGCGCCATTGTCCTACTTCTTTTTTCGTGCGAAAACGCTCGTAAACTTTCTTTTTTGCTGAGGTGGATTTTCAACGAAGGGTATCTACAGCACACTGTTTGGGTATTCCACTTCTACGCCAGAGGGCGTGACGAATTTCTTCAAAGAAGTTCATTGAGAAAGAGAAAAGAAGGGCTTTACTTCCTTTTGTAAATCAAAAGGACAAACAAAGCTGATTGAGAAATTATAATTAATATTTTCAATCATGAGAGGGCGGCTGCAACAACTTCTGAGAAGGACAAAACGAAATCTTGCCGAATTCAAGGAGCTCGGTGGATACAGTGAGATTTACAAGTATTCAATCGAGAAAAATGATGAGTTTTGGGAAAAACTTGCTAGATCGAGGCTGCTTTGGGAGAAGGACTTTACCGAAGTTTCTGATTCTTCTTTCAAAGATGGTGAGTACTCCAACTTTTATGAAGTTTTATGTGGCATAAATTTTAGCAGATGCACATCAAAGATTTTCTATATTACTTCGGGACATTTTATTAATTTATTATTTGATCCAGGTTGAATTTTGGCACTGTAAAAAGTTGAAAATATCTTTTATCTAATTTTCCTCTCATCCCAAACTCATTTCATTTATCTCACAATATTTCAATCAAAGCCAAAAGTAGAATCTTGCTACTTATGTCTGAGTGAATTCATTCTTTAGGACGCATTTCCTGGTTCGCGGACGGCCAGTTAAATGTATTTGACAACTGTGTGACGCGGCATTTGGCCGATCGTGGCGACCAAGCGGCTCTAATTTACGAAAAAGATGAGCCCGGAAATGAGGAAATCGTCACATACGCCCAACTTCATTCCTTGGTCAACAGATTTGCCAACGTCTTGAAATCGAAGGGAGTGAAGAAGGGCGACCGGGTGGCGATTTATTACCCCGTCAGTCCTCTTGGAGTCGCGGCGATGCTTGCGTGTGCGAAAATTGGCGCGATTCATTCCGTCGTTTTCGCCGGCTTCTCTGCCGATGCTCTCAGGCAAAGAATAATTGATGCCGATTGCCGAGTTGTCATATGCGCGGATGGAACTTACAGAGGAGGGAGATATATCAACCTCAAATCGGTCGTCGACGAGGCGATCGAAAACTTGGATTTGGTGGAAACTGTGCTTGTGGGAACTCGAAATGCAGAGGCCAAGAAATTAACGACAGAAAAGGACGTCGATTTGGACCTAGCATTGGCGGCTGCACCGGAAAACTGCCTGAGCGAGCCGATGAACGCGGAAGATCCACTGTTCTTGCTCTACACTTCTGGCTCGACTGGTAAACCAAAGGGTTTGGTTCACTCGCAAGCGGGCTATCTTCTCTACGCGGCTGTAACAACCTCTGCTGTTTTTGACTGTGAACCTGGTGATCGATTTGGATGCGTCGCTGATATTGGCTGGATTACTGGCCATACTTACACAGTTTACGGGCCACTTGCAAACGGAGCGACGAGTTTGTTGTTTGAGTCCATTCCTTCTTACCCGGATCCCGGGCGTTACTGGGCTACTGTAGACAAACATAAACTCACGCAGGTACAGTAAATAACACCTACCCTAGGAGTGTCAAGATCAAATATTTGAGAATTATTTACTCTGATGTGCAAATTTGATTGACCTATTTTCTTTGAAATTTGATTTTAATAGTAATATAACTAATAATGTTAGTTTTATGGTGCTCCAACTGCGTACAGATCACTTTTGCGGCACGGCGATGAATTCATCGAAAAATATGATCGAAGTTCGCTAAAACGAATCGGCAGTGTTGGCGAACCGATTAATACTGAAGCTTGGGAATGGTTGCATCACAAGGTTGGAAGCTCGAAAGTTCCGATTGCCGATACCTGGTGGCAGACGGAGACTGGAGGGAATATGATTACTCCTGTGTAAGTTGTGATTAGATTGAAGCAAGAAGTATATTTAAGCCCTTGCGACGCTGGAGCTTCCTTCAAACCAGGCTCAGCCCAGCGCCCTTTCTACGGAATCGAGCCCGTTCTCAAAAACGCGGACGGAAACACCGTGCAAGGCAACTCAGTTGACGGAGCCTTGTGCATCGCGAAGCCCTGGCCTGGCATTGCTCGAACGATTCACGGCGATCACGAGCGATTCCGAAACGTTTACCTCAATGTTTTCGACGATGTCTACACTACTGGCGACGGAGCGCACAGAGATCAAGATGGAGAGTACACGATCACAGGCAGAATGGACGATGTTATCAACGTTTCTGGTCATCGATTGGGAACGGCGGAGATTGAGGACTGCTTGGTATGTGCTAAGTATTGCTTTTTAGTAAGAAAAAATTTTCAGACTCAATTGGACTTTATCTCGGAGGCCGCTGTTATTGGCATTCCGGAAGCGACCAAGGGAGAGGTTCCTTATGCATTCGTCATTCTCAAAGAGGGAGTCGAGGAGAACTCTGAGCATAAATTGCTCGCGAACAAGCACGTGGCAAAAGTCATCGCGAAATTTGCCGTTCCCAAAGGTACACTCACCTTTTCTCGATCATTTCTCAACGACTCCTCTTTAGATACAATCATCGTCAGTGGTTTGCCAAAGACGCGCTCTGGAAAGATCATGCGAAGGATATTGCGAAAACTGGCGTCCTCTGAGGCGAAAGATTTCGCGCAAATTGCCCCTGAACTTGGCGACATATCAACCCTCGCGGAGCCAGAAGTTGTCGAAGAGATTTTCTTGAAAAAATGCCAAAGCTAAAAATTCATACTTGTGCTTGCTCTTTACTTTATTCCCACGCCAGTTACTGTCTTATTTAATTTACAAAAAAGTGTTACTGTTACAATGCATAATAGTATTATGCAGACATGTGCTAACTGAAGGTGTCAGGTCTAGTTCTATTCTTTAATAAAGAAATTTAAAACAAAAATGACTGATGACGGATGAGCAATATTTATTTTTTATGAATTAGGTAGGCCATTATCATCTGGTTTCAAGAGAAAGTATATCACGTGGCTACTGAACCTGAGCTTTATGATCAGTTTAAGCCGTTTCTTTAGTTTGAGTTCCATCAAGAAATACCTGTAAAAAGTAGGATAATCCGAAAATAAAACAATTATGAGAAATGAAACGATTTTACACAGTAGGTGAGATAATTTGATTTTATAAGGCATACTCTTCAGATTCAGGGATGCTGATTTTTTTCGTTTTGACGCGCGTCGCTTTAGTGAATCATCAAGCGGACTAAAAACCCTTGCGCCTGGACTCGCCGCAATCGAAAAAAATCTGCGCTAGCTCTGAGTGGCGCTGCGGAGCAGACTATGGATTTTTGCGCTGCTTCAACGGCGGGGCGCAAGATTTTTGCGTCTGGGCGGAGTGGTCTCCGTTTGCCCAAGTCGCCGTTTGCCCAAGTCGCCGTCTGCCCAAGATCGCCGTTTGCCCAACTTGGGCAGACGGAGACTTGGGCAAACGGCGATCTTGGGCAGACGGCGATCAAATTGAAAATATAATCATAATTCAATTTAAAGAAATTAATTATGAAATCAAAATTAGCAGGATAGGATAGATTTTAAGTGGTAAAGTTAAATCGCTAGTTTTACGTCCGAGGCCTACACATTGAGGAAACGATGGATGCGCCGAGTCCTCACAAGCGCTAATCCCCAACTTGGTTGAATTGATGGTTTCCCATATTGCTGTTTCTTGTGATTCATTTTCGGTCCGTTCTATTTTTGGAATTGTTTCTGATTGAAACTGAGGGAAAACAGTCATTGTGAGAAGTGAGAAAAAGGGAAAAACTGATGAAACTCTTCCCAAAACCTCCGTGAGACGGACGGTGCCGGAACCAAATTGGTACCCGGTACCAAAGTCAAGCATATTTTCTGGCTCATCAAAAAACTAATGTCCGCTCCGCGGCTGCAGTATGAGGAAACTCTATTTATGGACCGAATATACCTAATGACCGACCTAATGACCGATTCAAAGGACATCACAGGACAACTAATTCTGAAAGTGCAGTTTTCTTCAGCTTGTTGAGACGAGTCGAATGGTGGGTCAAACTCTTGATAACTCCAAGGATTGACCGGTTAACCGTCTGGTTACCGGAAAATACGTTTCCGGTCGCCGTTTTTGTTCTAGAAACCCTAACCCTAACCCGGAAACTGATCCTTATGGTCAGTTCTACTGTGGGCAAAAAGATATTGGTCAAATATATAGCGAAACTTTTTTGAACGATAAAAATTCTAAATTTTGCATGTGTTTCGTTGTTGCTGCACTTTCCTAATTTTCGGTCCCATTTTCATAAGAAAATAGAATTTTGGTGATAAGCATCTTATGGTTGGAGATATGATTCTCATTTTTTCACCCACACAAGAACTAACTTCAAGGACCAGTTTCCCGCTTTTTTTGTCATTCTAGCATTTCTAGAACAAAAACGGCGACGGGAAATGTATTTTCCGGGAAATTGCCAGCTAACCGGTTAATCCTTGGAGTCATCAATAGTTTGACCCATCATTCGACTCGTCTCGACGAGCTGAAGAAAACTACACTTTCAGATTTTTTATGATTTCCGGACCCGCAAAAATTTTTTTGAAATTATCACTTTCGCCTGAAATCATTGATGGCCTATTTCACATCTTAGAAGGCTCTTTTGACTCTATGTGGGTTGAATTTTCAAGAATGAACTGAAAGGGAAAAAGCTGAATCATCAGCGAAAAATCATATCGCCGCGGCGGCGTCCACCCGCGCAGGCGTCGCAAAAATTTATCGGCGCGATAATCCCTGGCGCAGTTTTCAAATCGTCCGGGAGAGCGCCAGCCGAAACAAAATTTGCGCTCGGGCGAAAGACTTTTGCGCCCGCTTAAAAGCGACGCGCGCCCTAGCGAAAAAAATCAGCATCCCTGTTCAGATTATCTTCCAATTATTCACATTTATTCGTGTAGTAAAAAATGTTGGAATTTGCGTTCATTTTCGGATTATCCGCTTTTGTCTCTCAGAAGATAAGCCTCATAATAATCATAAATTTGAGGCTCAGAACCCATGCAGTTTTACAACAGTTTGTTTTCTGGGAAATTTATATTTCCAAACCCGGATTTGTTCAGAATGAGCAGTGATTTTCCTGAGCTGACAAATGACCGTGTGTTGCGACTGTGCCGAGGAGAGGAAGTCGATCGGACTCCGATTTGGATCATGAGACAAGCAGGACGATACCTGAGTGAGTTCAGGGAGTACAGAAAGAAACACGAGTTCTTCGAAATTTGCCGAAATCCGGAGCATGCCTGTGAAGTTACCATGCAGCCACTGAGAAGATTTGATCTTGATGCGTCGATCATCTTCTCTGATATTATGGTGATTCCACAGGTACGCGCATTTAAAAATACGAAAATGGTAACACAGCATTACTATTAGTTAGACGTCTCGGTGGGAAATGATAACATTCTATCTATTTATACTTATCTATTTATTATTTTGTATCTGTGTAATTATCTTACATTTTCATAATTATGAGATATCTCACGATAGTTGAGCAAATTGAAGTATTTCTTAGAGAACACCTTTAAGTCTCCATTTGTGAATATCTTCATAAATAAATGTCGATAGATGTGTCTCACAAGGCTCGTTTATGTAACTTTTGGGGAGATCAGAACGCTTCTACGTATTTGTAGTCTTAAATAGAGACAGCTATCTTTTATGTACGGAACGAAGTCAAGTTTTTAATACGGAAGGATGCTTCAGTTTGAAATTTTAGGCAATGGAAATGGAATGCGTTATGGTTCCCGGAAAAGGGCCAACTTTTACTTCGCCGCTGGACGCGCCCGAAGATTTAGACAAAATTAACCTATCACCTGACGTTAACAAAGTTCTTCAATACGTTTACGATGCAATCACACTGACGCGCAAAACCATTGGCGGTAAACAGCCACTGTTTGGCTTTGTCGGAGCCCCTTGGACGCTCATGGCTTACATGGTCGAAGGTGGCGGCTCCAAAACATACTCAAAGGTAAGTTCAGAAACAGAGAATAGCTTTCAAGCTCTTTCAAGGCGAAAAAGTGGCTGTATCAATTCCCAGAGGCCAGCGAAAAGCTGCTGGACGCACTGACGAATGTCTGCATCGACTTTCTCGTCGGACAAGCCCGCGCCGGAGCTCAAGTTCTGCAAGTTTTTGAATCTCATGCCGACGCCCTTTCTCCCGAATTATTCCACAAATTTACACTCAAATTGCTCAAAAAAATTGCTACTCAAGTCAAAGCTAAATTAGGTACGAAAAACTGAAACTTTCATTTTAAAGAGACATCGGAAAAAAGCATCGTAAAATATCTTTTTTAGGAAAGGATGCTCCACCTGTTTCTATTTTCTGTAAAGGAGGTCATTTCATGAACAAAGAGTTTGTCGATTCCGAGGTAAATAAAAGCATCAAAGTCGTAGCAATAAATTCCTAAAGCACCGCTTTTTTATTAGTGTCAAATTTTTGGTCTTACTCGTCAAATTCTCGTCTCCTTGATTTCTTTAGTATGATATCATTCAAGTCGACTGGACAATTTCACGAGAGCAAATTCTTGAGCTCAAGAGCAAAGTCGTCCAGGGCAATCTTGACCCGTGCCAGTTGTATGCGCCGAAGGAAGAGATTCAGAAAGCAGCGAGGGAGATGTTGAAGAAATTCGAAGGAGTGAGACACATTGCCAATTTGGGACACGGGATTTATCCAGACACGGATCCGGAGCATTTGAGAACGTACATAGGACAGGGTTCCTTCTCTAGAACACAGGTCACGTGGGAGAAAGAAGAGATTATTGATTTGAGAAACTGGTTTGTTTGATCTTCATGTTTCATCAAAAAAAAAAGGAGCCCGCTGAACAGACACAGTCCACGAAGAAACGCAAAAAACACAAGCATGAGAAAGAGATTTGCTAAAGAATCCTCGTTTTCCCGAGTCCTAAAAGTTTTCTTAAAAATATTTATTTACGCGAAAAATAAATGCGATTTTCACTGTCGGTGGTCACCAATTTTCCGAAATACAAAATCTTCGAAACATTAAAAATCTTTACTTTTAGAAAAAAACGAAACATGTCGGATAGACGACCCTCGTCGGGGTTTTCGACGAAATTCGAGGAATTTCAAGGTGAATTTGACTCGCACGAAGCGCTCTACAAGTATTCCATCGGACAAACGGATGAGTTCTGGGGCCGCTGTGCTATGTCACGCCTAAGGTAAACAAGCACAGCCACAGTGAGTGTTTATTTACTAGTGAACTCGATCAGGGGTTAATTTGAGTCTTGAATCATCAAAAACTCCATTTTTCAGCTGGACGCAGCCGCCAAAAACGATCAATGCTTCCGACGTGAATTCGGGCGAAATCAAGTGGTTCCAAGATGGAAAGCTCAACGTCTGCTACAACTGCGTCGACCGCCACCTTCCAAATCACGCTGACAAGCCTGCGCTGATCTGGGAACGGGACGATTCATCCAAGAGCCGAAAAGTCTCCTACCGTGAATTGCACGAGTACATTTGCAAGTTTGCCAATGTGCTAAAAGCGCACGGCGTCCAAAAGGGCGATCGCGTTGCTATTTACCTGCCCGTTGGTCTTCAAGGCGCCGCGGCCATGCTCGCCTGCGCTAGAATCGGAGCTGTCCATTCCGTCATCTTCACTGGTTTTTCCGCCGAAGCGCTCGCCCATCGAATTGATGATGCCGATTGCAAACTCCTTCTCGCCCAGGACTACACGGACCGCGGCGGCAAGACCATCAACCTCAAGCAAATCGTTATCGACGCTGCCAACAAATCTCAAAGTCTGCGAAAAACGCTCGTCTATTCCGAGGCCGGGAATCGAGATGGCTGGTTGGAGTCATTTGAAGATTTGAGTTCTCAAATCGACGCTGCGAGTTCCGACTGCCAAATCGTCGAAGTCAGCGCTGAGGATCCACTGTTTTTGCTCTACACTTCTGGAAGCACTGGCAAGCCAAAGGGACTCGTCCACACTTCTGCCGGCTATCTCCTTTATGCTCAAATGACGGTCAAGCATGTATTTGACTTTGAACCTTCTGACATCTTCGCCTGCGTCGCCGATATTGGCTGGATTACCGGACACACCTACGTCGTTTATGGACCTCTGGCTAATGGTGGAACAACGCTGTGCTTCGATTCTCATCCATTATATCCCAATGCCGGCAGATATTGGGAAACAGTGGCAAGATACCACGTAACTCAATTTTATGGGTAAGTGACTTTTTAATAAAATTCTCACATAAAATAAATATTTCCAAGCCAATAACAATAACAATTCATAATTTATTAGATCTTGGATTATCTTGATGTTTTTGAAATAATAGTGGGAGGGGCAGCAATTGCTTTATATAATGTTTTTTATTTTTTAATTACTCAAATCTACTCATCCTTTCAGTGCACCGACTGCATACCGAATGTTGTTGCGATTAGGAAATGAATTCGTCAAGAGCCACGATCTCTCTTCGCTCCGAGTTATCGGCTCTGTTGGAGAACCCATCAACGTCGCTGCATGGACCTGGTTGCATCAAGTTGTCGGCAATGGAAAATGTGACATTGTCGATACTTGGTGGCAAACAGAAACGGGTGGGAATCTTCTAACGCCGAGGCCGAGCAACCAAGGAGCGGAAATCAAGCCTGGAATGGCGATGCGACAATTTTATGGAATCGAAGTCGCCATCTGTGACCCTGGAACGGGCAAAGAAATCGCTTGGGAATCCGGAAAGAAGATCGAAGGCGCTCTTTGCTTCAAGAAACCATGGCCGGGAATGGCGAGAACAATTTATGGCAATCATAAGCGCTTCTTGGAAACTTACTACAACGTAAAAAATTGAATTCTATTCCATGATTCAGTCTTCTTTTAATTAGCCATACCCTGGAATGTATTTCTCCGGCGACGGAGCTGTCCGAGACGAAGACGGATATGTAACGATTACCGGTAGAATGGATGATGTTATCAATATCTCTGGCCATCGTCTTGGAACTGCCGAGATTGAAGATGTCCTGGTAATCAAGCGTCAAAATAATCAGTTGTAAATCAATTTTAAGAACTCGCACGAGTCCGTATCGGAGACCGCCGTCATCGGCATCCCCCACGAGATCAAAGGCGAGTCCGCAGTCGCTTTCTCCATTCTCAAGGACCAAGTCGATCTCAAACAAGAAAACGTTCGATCAGAGCTGATTCAACTCGTCCGCGGACGTCTTGCCAAGTTCGCTGCTCCGGAGAAGATCTACTTCGTCAATGGATTGCCCAAGACTCGATCGGGAAAGATCATGAGACGAATTTTGAGAAAAATCTCGGCTGGACAAATTGACGAGATCGGAGATGTAACGACTTTGGCTGATCCACCTGTTGTTCAGCATATCATTGAGAAAGGTGCGTCAAGTAGTTACTTCAGGTCGATAATTCATGGCTTGATTTTATCAAGAAGAGCTATGAAATTTTGTCCGTATAAATATCGAAAGCCTGGAATTCGATCGTTCAAAATATGAAATGAAAGCTTGATGAATAAAAAATTGTTTCTTACTTTACACATCATGAAAATATTGAAAATTTAGTTGTCGGCGCCAAACCCGCAAATGGACACTCTCTCAATGGAAACGGAGCTGCCTAAAGTCTCGTTCATCTACAAATCCCAAACTCTAATCTGAAGAAAAAACGTAGCCATCTCCGGTGTTCCCTCGCTCATCTCAAAACCAACCCATGTCAGCATTAGCCAACTTTTCAAAAGTCCTCTTTTCTCTGTTTTTTATTTAATCCAATTCAATGAAAATGCCATACGAAAAAAAATATAAGCTCTTCTCTCAATTTGGTGTTCTTCTTCTTTTGCCTAACCCGCGTTCTGATGTTTTAAGGAAAAAATAACTAGTTTCAAAGTTCAGCATATTCTTCTTCTTTTTCTTCTTGGATATAAAAATTATAGCTATTCGTAAATCATTTTGCAAATAATTTTTCTCAGATGCTGCGCGTACGTAGATAAAAGTTGCAAGGTGTAGTGACAAAGAAGGCTTTGGTCGCTTTAAAAATGTCCGATAACGACTCCAATGTTCGATCCTCGTATTACAAAGCTATCGTTGCTCTCGTCATTGTTGTGCAGCTTGGGCTGAACTTTCTTTTTCGTCACCAAGGCTTAGCACCAGACTCTTCGGTAATTTTATTTTTACATTTGTAACATAACCATATCAAATAGATGAATAGATTTTATCAAAGATTATGACAGTTTAGAATGCCTCTCTCGATGGCAATTTTCTCTAAATTATTTATGATAAAAAATAAATTAAAATTATACTTTACAAGATCTCGTATCATAATTGTCCCGTTTTAGAACGACTTTCTCGTGATGATTTCGTTGATTATTATTCATGGTACATGTGTACACTACATATTTCCAATAAAACAGACAGACAGACATTCATATACGTTATTCTAGCGTCCTTACGCTGATCAACTTGCAGAAGCTCGCCAATTAGTCCACGAGCTCGAAGAACTCGACCGTCTTCAACACGTAGACCCGGATGATCCATCGCTTGACTCCGTCGAGGCTCAAATGAAGCTCAATCTTGACGCAATGAAAATGCATCAAGACAAGAATGATGAGAAAAACGTCACCTTTGCCGACTATAGCCAGAAAAAATATTACCCATTTTCAATCAAGTAAGGATTACTGCGAACTTCTCCTATTTTGAGCAGTCGTATCGATGGTAAAAAGAGTGCTTACATTTAGATGAATTTAAAAAACTTTTTGCAGGCAAATTTCTGACCTGGCCGGATTTTGTAGCCTTATGAAAGCCCGTAAAATTTTGAGTCGATTCGACCAAATCGTTTTCGACATTTTCTAGAGAATGACGTCATAAATGACGTCAGAAGGTCCCAAAAGGTGAAACTTTGAGTCTAATTTTAATAGCCTTTCCGATAGAATTACGGAGTGTTCTATAGCTCACATGAAAGCTTATTAAAAACTGTACTAAGGTTTTTATGGGTTTAAAAATTTTTTATGAAAAAGTGGGCTCTAGAATTTCGCGAAAAAAAAATTTCAACAAAATAAAAAATTCTTGAAAACCTTAGTTCAGTTTTTTACAAGGATCAATTTGAGCTATAGAACACCGAAAAATTCCATCAAAAATGGCCCTAAATACTGACTCAAAGTTTGGCCAAAATCGCCATTTTTTGCCAACTTCATACGTCATTTATGACGTCATCGTCTGACGGTTTAAGGCCAAATCTAGTCTAGTCGACTCGAAATTTTACGGGCTTTCTGCTAGGGATGAAAACAGGCAAAGTCAGAATTTTGCCTGCAAAAAGTTTTTTAAATTCATCTTAGTTATTTAATCTAACTGATGGGTTTATTGCTGGATTGAGTATTTGAGAATATATAAAATGATTTTATGGACGAGTAGTTTGAGTACTTGCTTTTGAAGGAACAGCTAAATCCACTGGACAATGAAATCATGCTTTTTATTTCTTAAGAAATAAGCTTTAGCTCTTATATGTAATTATCCTATTTTAGTACTGGGAGTGTTTGCCGTGATGACAAGAATGAGATTGAGCAAGTGTATCTCCTGATGGTTATAAAATCGATGACTGGAAGTTTCTCACGGAGAAAAGCAATACGAGATACATGGGGGCATACGCAGCAAATACCAGGTGAATTCGTGTAAATTGAATTGATTGGGTAATCCTATTTTCAAGTGATCGGCGATAAATTGAAGATCCGTCGACTGTTCCTGCTCGGCAAGTCAAATACGACAGATGAAGCAAATCAAAGACGCGAAATGCTACTGAAGGAGGAAGCGAAAGAATGGGGAGACATAATTCAAGGAGATTTTCAGGATTCCTTCAGGAATTTGACGCTAAAAGAGATCATGTTTTTGCGATGGTTGCCGAGACACTGCCCCAAAGCGCAATTTATCTTCAAGGTTATTTTCTCCTATCAAGTTGAATTTTGCCGAACATAAATTTTAGGGCGACGATGATATTTTCGCCAATGTCCCGAACATCGTCAGCTACATCGAATCGCTCTCCCTTTCCCAGCAGCGAAACATGTTTGTTGGCTCCGTTCTCTACCCTCTCCGAGAATCACAGACCAGCGATCAAAATACTACGTCTCCGAAAACCTCTGGCCAGAAAAGTACTATCCTCCGTACGTTTCTGGTGGCGGCTTCATCATGAGCTACGTCATGGCGAAAAAGATCTTCGAAGCGATGAAAGAGCTGCCGATAATTCCGATAGACGACGCGTTTATGGGCGTCTGTCTTCGGAAACTTAACCTTAGACCGACGAATCACAAGGGCTTCAAGAGCTGGGGCGTCAAATATCTCGATCATGACAATTGTGTATATAGAGAAGTCATGACATTCCACAAGCTGCAGCCCGAAGAGCTGCAAAATGTCTGGAAGAAATTCATCAATTCGCGTAAGTAGACCAATTTTGCCTTGAATATAAATTTTGATTGAAACTCCCTTAACATTTTCTTCAGAAAACGACGAAATCTGCGCACAATCCAATCTTCTGTAAAAGCTACTGTACCTATCAGATCCGCTTCTATCCTTCTCTTTCAATTTCTTCAACCGTTTTACCTAGACTCCAATACAACTGCTACAATGCGATGCCTCTTTAATCCAAGTTTTGTTCAGATCGACTTATGGATGACTAACAGTAGGCCGAATCCTATCCTCAAGGTCATTCTTCTCGGCGATTCAGGTGTTGGAAAGAGCTCGCTTATCAACCGCTACGTCAATGAAAAGTTTTCCGAGAATAACATGCAGACGATCGGGGTCGATTTATTCACGAAAGTTGCGGATGTAGAAGGCTCAAAAGTCACGGTTGGTCGAGTACCTCTCTGACCTTCACTTCAATTTTGCTCTTTTTAGCTGCAAATATGGGACACTGGCGGGCAAGAACGATTCAGAGCGCTGAGAACGCCGTTTTACAGGGGTGCTGACTGCGCCGTTTTAGTTTATTCAAAGGATTCCCAGCAGGTGAGGGACTTCCTTCCTTGATTTCAAAAACAGAGCATCAATCATTCAAGAGCGTCGACAACCTGAGCCATTGGCGCAGCGAGTTTGAAAAGCATGCCGGAAGCGCGCCAATACTAGTGGCGATGAACAAGTCCGAAATCGAAGGTGCTGCGCCAGAGGGAGGCTTTCAAATTGCGGAAGACGAAGGAATACAAGTGAGACTTTTCCGAAGAGTGTGTAGGTTTAATCGCAATTTTTAGCACTTTAAAGTTTCGGCAAAAACGTCGGAAGGAGTCAATCACCTTTTCGAAGCCGCTGCGCGAATCGGCGTGCCAACTGCAGTAGAAAGACTCGAAGAAAGTTTGCAACAGGTAAATCTCTTGAACCTTCCAATTCATTCAACCTTTCCAGTCGAACATCGTGAGCATACGAGCACAGCCTCAATCCCGAAAGTCCTGCTGTTAGAAGCGATCTATCCTTCCGCTACTCTTACAGTACCCTTTCTTCGAAACTGCCCTGTCTGTATCTACGTCTGTATCCAAAATTTAATCCTCATCATTTTCCTCTTTCTATCTCTATTTTTTCTGCTTCCTGGATCCAAAACCTACCATTGAATTTACAATTTTACTCTTTTTTTCTCATCCAATTCTAATTCTACATGTCTGTTACTGTAGTTACTCGAGAGTTCAAGCAAATGTCAAATATTCTTCACTATTCAATAAATTTTTAAACCGCCAAGACCAGAATTCTGTCAAAATCTGAGAGAAGATTACCTCAGTTTTTGATTAATCAGAGTTGCTAGTAACAAAGAACACACTGGTTGTAGAGTTAAAATGAGACTGTATTGTGCATAAAAATTATAGGGAAATAGACCTTCAGGTATTTCTAAGGGGCAGTATTAGGGCTTGTTCCTTTGCCAACCGGATTCTTCGCATCCTTTTCTTCGTGGCAGTTGGTTTTCTCGAAGGATTCACTCCTCATTTTCAGTCATTCTCTGAAAAGAAATGTGTTAGATAAGAAGTTGTGTGGTGAATTTTAAGGAAAGAGAAAATGTGAAAGCTTTTTTATCAGAAATTATAACAAAGGCAGTTTTAACTGTAATATTGGTAGCGCAACCGTTATTTCGGTCGTACTCTGAAGTCACCTCCCCATCTGGGTGCAACATCCGGCAGCATGTCTCTTGGCCACCATCGCATAAAACGTTTTCTCTCATTCAGTTCTGAAAAAGGTTTTATTGAGGAGAGCCTTAGAAGAAAGAAAAGAGTAGGTAGAAGCAAACTAAATAGCAGCTATTCTTTAAGAATCTTATCTCTTAAATTTTCGTCGACTCTAAAAGCAGTAAGCTTCAGTGAAAACAAGAGAAATCTGAGCAAAAGTACTGCAGCGTTGGGAGCCAATCAGGATCAGCGCTCGATGTCACGCCCGCCCACGCGACTTAACTGGGGCCGGTCAGTGTTGGATGGAGGCGCTCTCCCACGGAGGACCTCCAGGCGCGACGCGTGGAAGAAGAATGATCTGATAATTGAAGAGAAAACAGCGGGACGATTCGAGATTGTTATTTCAACATTATCTCAAGGTTTAATTATTGTGTCTTCATGCTTTACTTGTTCCGTTCATTTAATTTTATTAGCATGTTTAATTGAGCAGGAAATCAGGTGGGTAACTAAAGTACCGGCATGTTCTGATATTCAGATTGTCTCATGATAGTAATCAGTGGATCAATTAAACATTGAATTTGATTACACAGATTGTTGTAAGAGTTTTCTTCACAGTTCCAGCGTTCTCAGCGAGTGGAACATGTGCCGTGATCTTCTCGCAGAACCAGGCCTTTCTGGCGGCTTCTCGCGCTCTCCCAGATTACTCGTCAGCTTTTCCGAAGGTTTGAAAATATTATTCAATGTAAAAACAACAGTTACAGTTAATGGCATTGAAACCTTGGCAAAGTTAGACTCAATGCTTTGGCAGCCTGTGCAGCTTCTCTTTCCCGCATGTCGGAAACAGACTAAATTGAAAATTTAAACCTTAAAATTTTCGTTCTCGAAATCCCTAAGTTGAAAATGCTCCGAGGATGCATTTTCCATTTGCTTTTTTTTTTACCCAGCTGCTTCTGCGGCGAATGGATTCATTCAAAACCTTTGCGGTTAAAATATATGCACTTGTGTAGGTTTATTGATTAATTACCTTAAGGATGTCTACTTCGATATTTTGAGGCAGGGAAGAGGCTTCTTCAGCGGTTGGTTCATTTTCATGAGCGTTTTCAATGCACTGCGCTAAAAATGGATGCTATTTGAAAGCTATTTTTGAGACGAAACTGTATTTTGGATCCTTTCCTAAGTGCTCTTCGGTAGAGTGTTCCAGAACCGTGTAGCTCTCAGGATTATAGAACTGAACATCATTCGCTGTCAGCTGGCGATCCTTTCTGAAAATTTCAGATGATTATTAGTATGCAGGTTGGTTAGGAGCCTAGACGATTTAATTGGATATAATTAGTTTATTTTCTTGGGTAAAAATCTCATAATTTCAGGTGGCTAATAGCTGAATAAATGAATTTAATTTACCCTTACCTGTGGAGAAGTCCTTTCCATTTACACTGGCGCACACCGTTGTTACATTTCATGTGAATCTGATTGATATCGTTTCCAATACCGTCTTTGCGCACGTGATAGAATTTCCCGTCCATTTCCATTATAAACGTAACCGCAGTGAACCATCTTCCTGGTGAGCTTTTCGTCTTCACGATGCTGTACAAATATGGCCAGTTAGACGTTCCTTTTCGCTTCTCGCTTCTGTCGAACAAGTACGGTATCTCTTCCGGTTCTATTTTTGGCGTTGCGGGTGTTGGTAGTTTTGGGACTTTGAGAGCGGTTCTCTTCGTTGATTTCCGCAGACTTTTCGGCAGTGAGGGCGGCTTGTGCGGTTTCTTTGGAAGATCGACGGATTTTCTTTGGTTCAAGACGACTTGATTGGTGCTACTTCTGGTAGAACTGAGGTCTAATGATTTTGATAGTGCTGCTTGGCTGCTGTTTAAATCTACGTCGGTGAATGTGTGCCGCGTTTTGTTCAAATGACTGTCTTTCAGAGGGTCGAATAGGGGTTCGAAATAAACAGTATTAAACCGAAGACGACCGAATCTATCATCTTTGTTGGCAACGTTTCAGAGCACATTGCGCAAGAAAACTGATGTCTGCTCGAAATGTGTCTTTCTAGCGATTTCTTGAACGGTTTTGTTGTGTCAAACATTGTCACTCCAGAGGTTCTGTAGAATGATAAGTTCCTTGATCTCATCTCGATACAGATTGGGCATTCATGTGAATCTCCTGTTTTTTTGTTATTATATTTGACTTATATTATATATAAGTTATATATTAGATTTGTATAGGGTGATAGAGGGTTAAATCGAGTTCATTTTAACAATGCCTGTTTTCATATGAGAAATGATATGAGCCGTAAAGGTCGTCAAGTCCACACTGATCCGAATTCATTAATAAATCTAATCGGGCCTCACCTGATCCGTTCGCTGCAAATCGGGCATTTGACAGACTTTGAATTATTCTTCGCGTCAAGGCCAAATAGAATCTCTCTCGTGTCGCTGCCCTTCGATTTCAACGATGGCATGCTTGAACTTAAAAAAAGGTAGAGTTCCTTTATGAGTTGGATATTGGACAATTATACTTGAAAGTTGGCAAGATAAAAGGTCAGGCTTAGCAAGTTTTTAGTCATTTCCTTGATCAAGAGCTGCTAAACGAGGGTATTAGCGATGATCATAGGGAATTTTTAATAACAGACTGTAGTTATGAGGAAGCATTTATTTCGAAGAAGGATGATGACGATTTCAATTTTTCAAAGCTTGAATAATTGTGAATTGTCAAAATTATACGATAGTTCTGAAATAGGAGTTCTTTTAGTACGAGATAAGTCAGGAATACGATTGATAATTATCTCGGTTCTAAAAGAACCTACTATATCAGATTTATCGTATAATTTCGACAATTATTTTATCTTTGAAATCGTCATCATCATTCTTCAAAATAACTGCCTTCCAAGTATTGTAAATACTATAAAAATCAGATCAATAACAAAAATATATTTGATGATCTTATCGGACATGGCTGGAACTGATCGTTGTTCGATCAGAAATAAAGTCACAATATATTATTTTCATTCGATCTTCAATAAACCTTCGACAGAGCCCTCATAATGCCGAAGATTGCTTTAATCATCTTTGGAGATCTTGTTAGAAGCTTGCACGATATACACGCTGAATTATTGATAAGCTCCCCTGTTTCGATGAGCTGTTGCATTTGCATGCGCGAAATTAGATGCAAAGTAACGTCGTGAGTGTAATAAATGTTGAATCGCGCCTAAATCTTTAATTCGTGTAGCATTTTCAAATTCGCCTCTAATTGTATCGAACCCATCTTTTTTTCTCGTTTTAAAAAAATATGAAAGAGTTATTTTTGCTGATAATTTGCGCTGGAAGAGACATGATAACTGGATGCTACAGTCAGATGTTACCAGATGAGGCTTGTGAAAGGAAAAGCTTACAGAACTATTCAGAGAAATTCAGATTCTTTTTCGAATTGAAATCATGCGATTTAAAGCTTGTGAACAAGATACACTGCTCCATCGATCAAAGTCGGGTGAGTAGCTCCTATTATCGAATTATCCGTCATAATCAAATAGGGGACTTCTCAATGGAATAACCATGGATCTGGCAAAGAAATATTCTAAAATAAATTCGGGACAAAACAAAGACACTAAAATTAGTGCACGATTTGAAGATTCTGGCAGAATATTTTATTGTGAATCTACACTAGTACTTGAGATAAAAATAAGATCCATTCGCTCAACTCAAAAATAGACAATGATATTCTTGTTCAGAACCAAGATAATTTCCGAAGGTGGCCCGACGATTCGCTGCAGTTGTCGCCAAGGACGCATGGCTGGATACAAGTTGGGGGAGGTACTAACTTGCTTGAATACACTGTTAACTGTTACAGACTGCTGTTTGTGTTATCTTTAGGCTTATTAGATGAAAATTTGGCCACTTTTTCTAGCTTAGTTGAGGGGTCATATGACACAGATTCTGAAAGCCCAGAAGCTGAGCTTTCATTTGAGCCCCATATCGAGTGGTCTGGGTCATGCCCGCAAGGCAATTCATGGCACCGGAAGTTCCGAAATTGGCACTAGAACTCTTCAATCGAATTTTTGGTTGCCGGTACTGGCTTCAAATGGCTTGTAAGTAGGTGCGTTAGAAAGCCCAGCGTCTGAGCTTTCTAAAACGCCAATAAAATACTGTTGCCAGACTTTCTAGTGGCCGCTAGAGGCGCTAGAAAGTTGGATGAAATTCCGGAAGTATGAAATTTTCACTAGAAACTTGTCAATTAGTTATAAATATTGATGTAGTCATTAATAATAATGTATAAAAAGTTGAACCGCGGTTGAACCGCGCGGTTGACCATCCGGTTCGGCCCGGTTAACTCTAGAATATCCCCAAAACCACTGAATATGCATATCAATCGACTGGAAATTGAGCAGAGAACAAAATAAAATATAAACCGCGGTTGAACCGCGCGGTTGACCATCCGGTTCGGCCCGGTTAACTCTAGAATATTCCCAAAACCACTAAATATGCATATCGATCGACTTGAAATTGAACAGAGAACAAAATAAAATATGAACCGCGGTCCAACCGCGCGGTCGATCTTCCGGTTAGCTCTAGAAAATCTTGAAATCCTCTCAGAATTTTCAAAATTTATCTTTAGAAGACTTTTTACTTCTTTCTTCGTTGATTTTACCTTTTCTGTCATTCTGAGTAATACTAGGCTTGCGCACATTCTTATCAGTCGGCGCTGATTCGATGCGCGCTTCAGTCTCTCCTTCTTTACTGCTTCAATTTTTCGTTTTTCTTCGTTTTTCTTCGTCTTTTTCTCGAAAATGGATGATTTCCGTCACACATGGAAAATAAACTGCTCAATGGCTCTTATTCTCCTCCAAGATCTTGGAATGCTCGGCCGAGAGACATCACTAGAGAAATTGAGAGATAAGGACGAACGCAGAACAGTAAGAAAGAGAATCTCAGCCCCCCGTTCTGCTGCTCAAGTAGCTCTCACTGACGCCTTAATGTCAGACGGTAATGTTTTAAATGATGTTCTTCCTTGATTTCAAATTATAGAGAATCGAAAGGCTTTCTTTGAGATTCCGGATACTCACGAGTGGAAAGGGACAAGAGGTCGGGTCTTGCAGAAAGTTGCAGAGGTTTTCAGTTTAAAGAAGATAGATGAAGACTCTCCAACATCCTTTGCCCATTTTATCCAAGAAAAAACACGCCAACAGCCGGCTCGTGATGCAAAAAAGAGGAGTTCATCAGCTCTCACACTTTCTCAAGGCGGTTTTGAGGCAAGTAAAAAAGGGGTTCAGCCATTTTAACGTTTAATTTCTAAGAAACTCATTCTGAAGCGGTTTTTTCTATTGCATCTTGATAGGCAGGGTTTAATCTATTTCCTCAAGACCATATAATTTGACCTTTATCATTTGTATAGTCTTATTTGCAGGTAAATCCCTGGCGCCAAATATGGAGTATCTTGACCGGTACCCGAGAAAAATCATTTTTGGCTGGCTAGGGTTAACAGAGACTTTTAGGTCAGCCTGAGCGACGGAGACGATGACGTCTTTGAGGACAAGCCTTCTTCTTCATCCACCCCCAGAATCCTCCGTTCTTCGCAAGCGTCGAAAGAAACTGAAGACAACGAAGAGAACAAGCAAAACGAAGCCAACCTTTCTTCATCGTCAGCGACCGAGCTCTTCAAGAAACAACGACTTTCCTTTGATGGCGTCGATGGTGCAGAAGATCTTCGAGGTTTCAACCAACTTGCTTATCATCCCAAAGCTATCCAGATCCTTCTCTGTTTCTTGATGAGGGGACTCCACGGACGCACCTGCGAGACTGTTTTCAAAACCCTCTGTGCCAGCCTGACTGAGTTGAAGGGCCAGAATCCACCAACAGCAGCCACAATCAACTCCAAACGCTTCTGCATTGAAACCTTGGCAAGAGAGCAACTCATCGAAGAAATTCAGGCCGCAAAGCCCGGTGGTTGTCTATTAATAGACGACGCCACGTTAGTGCACAGCGCACGCGCAACTGGCATCGTCTACGTCAACACTAAGGGTCGAGCATTTTCGATTGGTCTTTATGAAACCCTTGTTTCAAAAGGTATTTTAAATCAAAATTGTTGGAGCTTACTTTAAAATCAAAAGGCGAGGACATGGCGAAACAAATTCTGGCGAAACTTAGAGCTCTTCCTTTCTGGTCGATCCTAAAACAAAAAATTGGCTTCCTGGTTTCCGACAGCTGCGCCGCTCAGCTACACGCCAATCAGCTCATCATTGAAGGATTGAAATCAGAAGAAGGCATCTCAGCTGTTGAAATCGTTTGTCAAATGCATGCGACTGCTTGGCTTGGTAATTTTCTTTTCTCGATTCTCTTCTATGATTTCATTATTAGAACGATACACCTACAAGGACTGGAGCGAAAAGAAGCCCGCAAAGAAAATCCTCTTCAACCCTGATCCCAACGACGAGTCTTTGAATACTCCTGATCCCGATGTTGCCAAAGCTTCGAAAGTCTTCACGGCAATCATGACTCTATTTGGCGCCCGTACCCTCAACTTGACCGGTCACCACGCCAAATCCCTTCGTAACGAGCTTGAAGCCCAGCAAGAAGTATGGTATGGCACCCGAATCCGTATCTTCGGCCAAGGAAAGGATTTTTCTAATAATGAAATCATAGAAGAGAACCAAGAAAAGACTGTTACTAACCTAGGCAATCGCATTTATTTAACAAACGATTTTTTAACAGCTGAGATGCCTTCTTCTGGTTTTCATCTTTCAATGATGAGCTTGTTATTATATTATATTATATTATATTATATGAGCTACCCATTATGAGAATAAACAAACTAAGACGAAGTCTTAGTTGTTTCTTATCATAAAATTTGAAATCTCCTTCAAAAATGACCCCAAAACTACTCTTTTTGACACCGTTCTAGTCGAATTCTAGCGTTTTAATGGAACAAAAGATTCATGAATCATAAAATTCTGTCGAGTCATCAAAATTTCAAAATTCATTTTTAGTACTTTTTCCTCCGATTAGGATGAATTAAGATGCGCTGATTTCATTTTTAGAGGTTTTATGATCGTCAGTCCAAGTTTTCTTCCTTGATTTCATTAAAAATCCGTAAATAGACCTCGGTTCACGTTTTGCCGTGGTGCCAACCAATATGCGTAATTTTTGGCTGCACTTGAACCTTCTTAACGAAGTTCTTGGCGGAAAATGCGGTGATTCGAGCGACACGGCAAAGTTTCTACGAGATTTTATCAAGAGTTTCCACAACGCCGATGATCCCAATGGAAAACTTAACAGGAAAGGGATCTTCTTTTTCTTCTTCTTCTTCTTCTTTTTTGAAATCAAGGAAGAGAATGGTGTCAACGATCCTTTCAAGGATCGTTATTTTGATTTGCTCCATTCCATTCTTCGTCTTCTACGGGGCGCTCAAGGAATTTCATGCTGTTGTCTCCGAAACTTCCAGCTCCTACAACATCATCTTTGGCGCTCTCAAGAGGCTTGAGGACTACTACAATGCGATGATGGCCGACGAAAAGAACTGCTTCTCTCGAATGATTACTGCCGTCAAAGATGAAGACGAGTCGATGAAAGCTGTCTTGGCGAGAATTCGAACGCAGTTTAGAGGTTTGGACGGAGTTCAGCGGAAAAAGCTCGACAAAATCGCCCGACAGAGCCTGGAGCGAAGTCACAAGAAATTTTTAAAAGAAAAAAGAAGTGGGAGGAGATCGGAAAGAAGGTGGCTGACCACGATGGGTTTTTGACTGGCACTTCTCGGCTCGTCGAACGAGTCTTCGGGGTCCTCAAAAATCTTGAACGAAGCCACGCGAGACTTGGGTTGAGGCGAACTTTCATTGTTGCCGAAGCAATGGTATTTTCATTGATTTTAATTTAAAAACTTTTAAATTTCTAGTACAACAAAACTGCTGAGTGGCTTGAGGAAATGACTCCAGCAAAACAAGAGGCAATTGTCAAGAAGGCAATGCTTGAGCGACCAAAGAATGAAAAGAAGGCAAAAGAGCTTGAAAAAGAAGACAGACAGATATATCTTCTGAAGAATGCAAGAGATGAAGAGGAAATCGCGCGAGAGGCTGAAATCATGGAAGAGAACGAAGAGGATGATGCGATGGAGGTCGTAGAGAGTGTTGAAGATGAGCCCGAATTGGAAATTGGAGAGAGCATTGAAGATGAGCCGGAATTCGAAGATGAAGAATCTGTTTCTGTGCCTTTTTGAGTGGAGATAACAAAATAAATGATGGTTTTAGAAAGAATAATTATGATTGTCTTTTTTTGTCAATTTGTCAAATTTGATATCAATTTTGAAGATTTTCTAGAGCTAACCGGAAGATCGACCGCGCGGTTGGACCGCGGTTCATATTTTATTTTGTTCTCTGTTCAATTTCAAGTCGATCGATATGCATATTTAGTGGTTTTGGGAATATTCTAGAGTTAACCGGGCCGAACCGGATGGTCAACCGCGCGGTTCAACCGCGGTTTATATTTTATTTTGTTCTCTGCTCAATTTCCAGTCGATTGATATGCATATTCAGTGGTTTTGGGGATATTCTAGAGTTAACCGGGCCGAACCGGATGGTCAACCGCGCGGTTCAACCGCGGTTCAACTTTTTTATACATTATTATTAATGACTACATCAATATTTATAACTAATTGACAAGTTTCTAGTGAAAATTTCATACTTCCGGAATTTCATCCAACTTTCTAGCGCCTCTAGCGGCCACTAGAAAGTCTGGCAACAGTATTTTATTGGCGTTTTAGAAAGCTCAGACGCTGGGCTTTCTAACGCACCTACTTACAAGCCATTTGAAGCCAGTACCGGCAACCAAAAATTCGATTGAAGAGTTCTAGTGCCAATTTCGGAACTTCCGGTGCCATGAATTGCCTTGCGGGCATGACCCAGACCACTCGATATGGGGCTCAAATGAAAGCTCAGCTTCTGGGCTTTCAGAATCTGTGTCATATGACCCCTCAACTAAGCTAGAAAAAGTGGCCAAATTTTCATCTAATAAGCCTAGTTATCTTCGTGTTAAGCCAATGTGTGTCGACAAAAAAGAAATCGAGGACTTCGGCTGGTGCAAAATCAAACCTTGCAAACCATCAGGTTAGAACGACTTCTTCAATGACTAAACTTTCATCAATGTCCCTGCTTATTGTTCTTATAGAAAAATGTGTCGATAATATCGAAGATGGTCAAATTGGCTTTAGCTGCAAACGATGCGCGCCTCAGGATTGCCTCGAAGCGTAAATTTTTGTACATTCAATTTGTAAATAAAAAATTAAGAACATACAATTTTTATTTACAAAACAATATTATTGAACAGTTGTAGTTCAAACAAGATGGTAGTAGTCTTTTTGAAGAAAAGATAGTCACTGAGTTTCAGAAGGCTCATTTTCAGGAACTGGCGAGGATGATTTTTTTGCTGAAAAATATGAAAGTATGAATACCTTGATTTTTATTATTCAAAAAAGGTACCTTTCACAAGTGTATCAACACCTGCGTCATTGATATCAATCGAGGCTGAAAGATGTTTGATTTACGAAGAAATAGACAATAACATTTACATTGTAAATTTTACAACATAAGTAGGGGGTGCACAGTGGGAAAATCGATTTTTTTATCATCCTCTTATAGGGATGAATGATTCATCAATGGAAAGCCTATGATCCACTGATCATTTTGACATGTGACTTGGGGTCATTGAAGGTCACCTGAGGTCCCCTGAGATCAAAATGCGATTTTTCTTAAAGCCGATTAAGAATAGGCTTTTTTGCATAAAATTAATCGCTGATGATCACTGAACATTTTTATCGTCGTAAAAACCACATCCGGATCCATCCTCATCCATCAGAAGGAAAAAATGAAAAATTAAAAATCGTTAATTTCACTGTCAAAACTCTTTTACAACTGTTTAACTCCAGAGAAACAAGTTGTTAAAGATATTAATCGACGTCTTATAAAAACCATAATTAAGAAAAAAACAAGGATAATTTAAATTTAAATATCAACGGGTGTGGGTGGGGTTGGGGACGTAACTGAGACTGATCAACTAAGAGTTCCAGGCCTCTGTCAAGCCCCTTAAAATTAAAAATCAAGGAAGGGGGCTGAAACGGCCCGAAGGGCCGTCAAGCCCCTTAAAATTAAAAATCAAGGAAGGGGGCTGAAACGGCCCGAAGGGCCGTCAAGCCCCTTAAAATTAAAAATCAAGGAAGGGGGCTGAAACGGCCCGAAGGGCCGTCAAGCCCCTTAAAATTAAAAATCAAGGAAGGGGGCTGAAACGGCCCGAAGGGCCGTCAAGCCCCTTAAAATTAAAAATCAAGGAAGGGGGCTGAAACGGCCCGAAGGGCCGTCAAGCCCCTTAAAATTAAAAATCAAGGAAGGGGGCTGAAACGGCCCGAAGGGCCGTCAAGCCCTTAAAATTAAAAATCAAGGAAGGGGGCTGAAACGGCCCGAAGGGCCGTCAAGCCCCTTAAAATTAAAAATCAAGGAAGGGGGCTGAAACGGCCCGAAGGGCCGTCAAGCCCCTTAAAATTAAAAATCAAGGAAGGGGGCTGAAACGGCCCGAAGGGCCGTCAAGCCCTTAAAATTAAAAATCAAGGAAGGGGGCTGAAACGGCCCGAAGGGCCGTCAAGCCCCTTAAAATTAAAAATCAAGGAAGGGGGCTGAAACGGCCCGAAGGGCCGTCAAGCCCCAAGGAAGGGGGCTTAAAATTAAAAATCAAGGAAGGGGGCTGAAACGGCCCGAAGGGCCGTCAAGCCCTTAAAATTAAAAATCAAGGAAGGGGGCTGAAACGGCCCGAAGGGCCGTCAAGCCCCTTAAAATTAAAAATCAAGGAAGGGGGCTGAAACGGCCCGAAGGGCCGTCAAGCCCCTTAAAATTAAAAATCAAGGAAGGGGGCTGAAACGGCCCGAAGGGCCGTCAAGCCCCTTAAAATTAAAAATCAAGGAAGGGGGCTGAAACGGCCCGAAGGGCCGTCAAGCCCCTTAAAATTAAAAATCAAGGAAGGGGGCTGAAACGGCCCGAAGGGCCGTCAAGCCCCTTAAAATTAAAAATCAAGGAAGGGGGCTGAAACGGCCCGAAGGGCCGTCAAGCCCCTTAAAATTAAAAATCAAGGAAGGGGGCTGAAACGGCCCGAAGGGCCGTCAAGCCCTTAAAATTAAAAATCAAGGAAGGGGGCTGAAACGGCCCGAAGGGCCGTCAAGCCCCTTAAAATTAAAAATCAAGGAAGGGGGCTGAAACGGCCCGAAGGGCCGTCAAGCCCTTAAAATTAAAAATCAAGGAAGGGGGCTGAAACGGCCCGAAGGGCCGTCAAGCCCCTTAAAATTAAAAATCAAGGAAGGGGGCTGAAACGGCCCGAAGGGCCGTCAAGCCCTTAAAATTAAAAATCAAGGAAGGGGGCTGAAACGGCCCGAAGGGCCGTCAAGCCCCTTAAAATTAAAAATCAAGGAAGGGGGCTGAAACGGCCCGAAGGGCCGTCAAGCCCCTTAAAATTAAAAATCAAGGAAGGGGGCTGAAAAAATTTGTCGAAAATTTTTGTCTTCCAGGAGCACTTCTCCACCAGAATAGTCCTTTTGAGGACAAAAAATGACTCACCCTAGATCACATGATCAGTGTTGATCATTTTATTGGGAAAAAACGGTTTGAAAAAAAAAATGTTATTGTCGGGATTCGAACACCCTCTTGGCCAAAAAGTCAAGGATTTTGACAGAAAATCGGCTCTAGAATTTTTTCCTCACGAGACCACAAGATCATATGACTATCACTTGAAAGCGCTTGATCTGCTCTTTTATATACTCGAAAATTACGAGGTAACCTTTTGGCACTTTTTTTCTACAGACAAAAAACTGTTGAATCAACCCTTGTCACGTGATTTAAGGGTTGAAAATGTGCTTTTTTCGGTTTCTTTTAATGAAATCAAATGATCCTTAGATGAAAACGGATCTATTCGCGGGGTTATAATAAAGATACATATACTTTTAAATTTGCCGATTTTCCCACTGTGCACCCCCTAAACATAAGTCTTAAATATAGCTTTTAATTTTACCTTCTGCAGGTGCTTCTCCATCTGACTCTTTGATGACACCATCGGCTACACATTGTTGATTTTCTCCTACGACAAAATTGATATTGATGAAGGCATGAGAAGAAGTTAACTGAGTATTGTATATTACCTTTAGTAATAGTAACTTGATTTGTTGTTGTCGATGTAAGACTCAGAGTCGTTGCTAAGTCAGAATCAATCTCCTGAAAGTCCAGTGAATCTTCTGTATCTAAAACGACGAGATGAAAAAGCAAGCGGTAGAAAACGCCCTACCAGTTTGCAAGACTTGCAAAGCGATTTCATTCGCTTCGTGGATGGATTTTTCAGCTTCATTGAAGGCTTCAAGCGTTTCTTGCCGACGAACCTAAGCAGTTATTACGGGCTTATGTTGCAATCAGCCGGCTGGAGGAGAATTTGGATTCAATTATCTTGTAGTAACAATCTTTAATTAAAGAAAATGAATAATTATGGTAATTTATTCATTCCGAACTGAAGTCCGCAGCCGGTGAAAATAAGTGTTTTTCATTAAATTAATCCGCATATCTAAGCTAGATTCTTGTTTTACATCTGCTATTATAAAATGATTATCTTGATCAGAATGTTCCAGCAGAGTCCCTTACGGCCTTACCTGTAAGTCCTCGGATTTTAAAGTACTCTCCGAATCCAGGGACGCCTGCGACGTTGAAATATTCTTCTCCGTGCTGGCATCAGTGACGTTTGTTAACGAACTTCCTGGAGTAATCGGTTCGGTCATTGCTCCGTCGGTTTCTTGAATGCCTGTTTCATCAAAGCTCTTGATTTTGTACACATGGGAATTTATTCTTTGAGAGTTAGAGCCTTTCCTCGAACGTGTTTTTCAAAGTCGCTAATTGTAAAAGGTGGCATCGGCTCAGAGACGGTTTCAGCCTTCTTATTTTGGGATTAATGAATTGAAAAAATGAATGTCTTTATGCATATGACTTTGCGACTAATCCTAATTTTAAGACAACGCAGGAAATAATTATGTTTTCATACTATCTAATCTCAAAGCATACAATCATCGTCCCGTGACTTTAAATCCTCTTCCATCTTCTTCCGCTCTTCCTCGATATCATCCTCGCTGATTACTGTGCGAGGACTTTCACTCTTTCCGCGTGTTTGTTGGTCCTCAAAGAAGATATTTACTTCAGGATTTTCAGCAGCTTTTTCTTGGGAATCCGACTTCAAAGACTCGTCAAGAAGAGCTTCATCCACGATTTCCGATTTCTCCACGACTTCAAATGCTTCTTCATTTTCTGATCGAACTGATGATTGATGCTCTTGTTTTTCAGATGTTCCACTTTTTTCTGAGCCTTAATTTTCAGAATAACTATCGAACCAAAACCAACGCTACTTACATAGAGATACAGAAGATGAGCTAATGGACACACGCGGGCTTGATGTAGCCACAATTTTCTCCTCTTGTTTTACAGGCACTTGTTGTACCGTGTCATTCGTATTCTGTCGCATGATGTGTCTGTCGTCCTCAAGTAGCTTGTATAATTTATGTCAGCCCTTTTGAACTTTGCCTTACATGATTATTCTCAGCGAGACTTTCTTCCACGATGAAGTTTTCTTCAAAAACATCCTCATTAAAAACAAAGCGCTGTTTTCAAGCTTCTCAATTTCATATTAATTATCTGAAGATCAATGTCCAATTTAACCCCTTGCCGAGCGGTAGGCGTAAATATGCCTTCTACGCCAATAGATCTGCCGTATTTCGAGCCTCGGGGCAAGTCGTAGCAGCTAAATTGCTACGCGCGCGGCAACGGGTTAAGGGCACTTTTTGAGAAACGACTCCTTGTTTACAGACCTAGCTGTCCCAATTTCCGACATTTCCTCGACATTTGACAAGTCTGGTTTTCTAAGCAAGACTAAAGGCAGGTATTTTTGTTTGATTTGAAAGCTTGATGCACCTGCTACCTGATTTCTGCAAGAAGTTTCAGACTATGAATAACCCTTTATTTCCATTTTACCACATTTTTATTGATTGAAAAACTATTGAAGATGCAGTCGAAACTAATCCTGTTCGGGCGAAGGGCTCTTTCGTGCGTCGCCGGTTCTGTCCGCGGCTTTGGGCACTGGCTTGTAGACGGAGTCGCGTGAGGGCTGGCTGTACATTGGCTGTGGGTAGCCGTACTGTGGGGGCATCTGCTGGCTGTACTGCATGGTCATGTGTGGCGGGTAGTGCGGGACGTAGGGCTGACCCTGTTTCATCGAAGGAGAGGGGCTGACGACTGGATACATCTGCGTATTAAACCGTTTGATAAGTTGAATAACGATATTCTGGTCTTACCATGGAGGGTTGCTTCTGTCCTTGGCTGGCGAATCCAGCGGGCATCTGTTCAGGAAGAGCCGCATACATTGTATTTGCTCGGACGACTGGCTCTTGCTCCGCAACAGGCTATAATTAATAGCTTTGGAAAAGCGATTCTTTCTCACGTGTTATGTTTTTTCGACGCAAGACAAAGCTTCGTCGAAACACGCTGATTCTCACTTATCAAGTCGTTTCGCTCACCTGGTAGCCTTTGGAAGCAGCTGGTACGGCCTTATCTTCGCCTAGCCGACAGAGACAAATGCAGCAGCCGAGGACAAGGAAGATGATAAGAACGACGCCAATAATGTAGATCCAGCCGTAGTCGTTGAAAGCGATGATGTCAGCGTGGTACTCGCTCGCCTCTAAACAAATCCAGTTTTATTGTAACAATGTTATGTCATGATAAGCTGCTGGGATAATCCGCTAATTATATTTTCCAAAAAAAAAGCCGTTGAGATAAAAAATAAAAACATTCCGGATTAAGATTAATCCTTTTCCTCATCAGAGGCTCTCAGTTAAAAACTTACCAAATACTATTGTAATAGAGTTCAAGCCATTTATGTACAAAGTGTATGAAAGAGACTTACCATCGAGATCTTGAAATTGAGTTGGTGGGGGCTCTCTGTCGATGTTTTGCTCTGGGTGGCTAAAAAAGGGATGAATTCTTGAGAGGATGTACTTCATTCCGTACCTATTCCAATTTCCCATGGGCGGCAAAAATCGTCTCTTGGAAGAAAAAATTCTAGTATTAACTCTGTTACGTGAATAATTTTGAATCAAACTTCCAATGTCAGGAATGGTTAATGTTTAACTTGTCTGATTTGGTTTGTCTCCTCTCTTTGGTCTCTAGTGAAAATGAATAGCAACTCAAACAAGTGCTATTTGCGCGGATGGTTCACCACGTCGCCTCCGACGAGAATTTTGGCGAAAATTTACGGGCACGTGTAGTACGCCAAATGTTTGCCAAGGCGCCATTTTGTTGAAGCAAAGAAATTTTTAGGATTGCTCACGACACTTATCGTTTTTATGTTTGATCTGATGGCACTTTTTAAATTTAACCCATTAACACGCGCGGGGCCGTCTCATTGTCTCGCGTGGAAATGAGTAGCCAATCACATGTCCAGATCCATGATTTAAATCAATCACAGAGGAGCTCTTGCATGGACAAAAGCCTACTGCTCTGTTAACCCGTTGCCGAGCGGTAGGCGTAAAAATGGCTTCTACGCCAATAAGTGTGCCGTATTTCGAGCCTCGGGGCGTATCGTAGCAGCGAAACTGCTCCGCGCTCGGCAACGGGTTAACGGGTTTAGCTTAGTGTTTGGTTTTTAGTCATCGATAAAGTTATTCCAAATAACTTATTCGTATATCTTACTGGTGAAATTTCTAGACTAATCCTAGATTACTTTTTTTCTAGAATCTAGATGAAATCATCGAACTCTAGGAGATCCATTAGTTCCCCATTTCTGAACTTTTTGGTCATTGATTTTGAGCATGGACGCGAAAGTGCAGGAAAAGTTTCGAGATTCAAAGTTTATTCAAGCTTTTCAACCTAATATTATTCATTAGGAATCTTTAAAACTTGAAATAGACGGAAGAACAGGTTGATGCTGCGACAGAGAGTTTCACGAAAGAGCAAGTTGCTTCCTTCTACATTCTTTGGGGCTTCGTCTTTACTCTATTCCTCCTGGGAATGATTCTTGAATCGGTCAAGAAACTACGATCTCCTCGAATGGTAATGTTTCAAATTTCAACCAAAACGAGCAAAAATTTAGCCCAAACAAGAATCAAACGAGCAAAAGACCGAGGAAAACGTCGCCTGAGTTTAGCTGAAAATGTGTTAGTCGAAAATCAAGCTGTCCACTAGCCATTCTTTGAAGCCAAAAATAAAAACCACGCTCCTTGATGATAAATTTTTGCATCTTCTTAGCTTCAGCAGTTTTCTTATCACGCGACAGCGCCAACGTATCATTATCTTGTTTTTGCTGCATATAAGCGGGGATTCTCCAAGAGGGAGATTAATTTATTTGGTGAAAAGATTTAATTGCAAAATGAAAATTTTCTCACTTTTCGTTGTCGCCGCCCTCGCCCAAGACGACTCCGAGCGCGGAAAGAATAACGCTGACGAGAAGGGCGCTCAGATGTGCCAGGGTGTCAAGGTACAGTTATCTACAGTAGACGTAGCATTTCGCATACAGGGAGGAAAGCTTGCCCATGAAAAAATTGACGGTTTTTCTTAAAATTTTTTTTTGGCGCTGAGAACAGAAGCTTTTACTGAACAAGAATGTTTATTCAAAGTTCTCAATCAAAGACTAGAGAGAATCATCTCAATTTAATCAAATCAGTTGCCCAATTTTTGAGATTATTTGACGTAAATGTTACCTTTAGGTCTCGTAAGCTCCTCTTATTTGATTCTGAATCAAATTGTCTTTATTGAAATCAATGTTCTCACGCTTCTTTATATAAAAATTTTCAGGCGGATCCCGAGTTCTTCAAGTGCAAGCACAAGAAGAACGGCAGCGACGGCCCCAAGCGAAAGAAGTGCAAACCACTTTGCGAAAAGCCCAAGACCAAGAAGATCTACTGCAACGAAGACGGCTGGGGCAGCAAGAACGGCAACAAGGTCAACATCAACAAGATCTGCTAAATTGCTCTCTTGCTCGAATAAATTCATTCAAGATATAAAAAAATGTAGAATTGAGTCTTTTTTACTGAAAAATTTGAATCAATCAAGTCATAGACGAAGAAAACTGTTCTTTTGCCAGGGGAAGACTGGATTTGCGCCGTCGAGTTCGGCTAAATTGGCGAAAAGCCCTAGAAATTCTAGGTTTTTTGCTCACGAAAGCACCCTTTAGGGCCATTTTGCTGGGCTACCTGGTTGAAGGTGAATCGCATTTCTCGAGCTTTTTGATGACAAGCGCTGCCATCTGCTCCAAAATCTCAGCGCGCATGAGTTTTTCAAGTGTTAGCCATGTTGATTCGACCTTTTTTTGAACAGTTGAGATGAAGAAATGTTTTGAGAATTGAACCTGATAGATTTTCCAAGTCATTTCGGTGGTAAAATGAGCTCTGATGCCAACAATGTCCATGTCTGGATGAAGCAGGGCCAGATGCTCCATCCAATGCTTGAACTCGCTAGAAAAGTCGATCGGCTCTACGAAGACCATTGACTTGGCTTGAGGCGTGATCTTCAAACATTTTAACTGCATCAATCATTCAAAGTACCTTGAAGACTCGGACATAATCTCCAATTTTGACAATATGAACTTCAAACAGCGTCCTCACTTAAATCACTTGAGAAAAAGCCGATTTTCAGGGACGATACTTTGTGGCTCTACGACGACGTAATCAGACGCTTTCTTTAAAAGAGCGGCTATATTGCCAATTTGCTCCGTAGACCGGATCCTTACACACGTGTCGTTATTATTTCCAGAGATGATTGTCGCTGGGAACTCTTTTATTTTCGTCAGACCATCTGTTGATGTGCAGATAATTGAGTAGTTAGTCGAATTAGGCGCTGATAGACTGATTTCAAATTATTCAAGATCCAAAAGGTGCACCTTTAGATGAGGTGATCTCTTAGATAAACGTCACTAAACCAGGACCTGATCTATTCAGCGAGTTCTTCAAATCAGTCATTATCCACAGCGGCTCAAAGAACGCATTGATAGAATCTATCGAATTCACCGTCCGAATGCCTCCAACTTTGAGCGCTAGTAAAATCGCCTTGTGCTCCTTCTTGAACGGCTTTTCACTGAAAATATAAATACGAATATCTCACGCTTATTTTACCGGATAAGCACTATATCTGCTGGTATTCGCTCGTCCGTGGCTTTGACGAAGATTTGGGACATTCCAGTCGATGTGCAGAGAATGTAAATTTCTTCAAACGCAAATTGATAGACCTTGGTCGCAGTTTTCAGCTTGGAAAAGATCGACGGCCAATCTTCGTTTTTTCTATCTTTAATCACCAGCACGCACTTTTGACTAGTTTCATCTCCTCCGTTCGCATACCCAACTTTTTGTTCATATTGTCATGATACTTGCTATATCTTATGGTACCTATCGTATCAAGAAGGTCATTAGTTCTGTCCAAAGCATGCTTCGAAAACTCATAAATTGGAGAAGAGGTAGATTTGACTGAGGAGTTAGAAACCGCGGACTGAAGTTTAAGGGTAATGGTATACATCGGCGCGTCGCTGCTCGGTCGATCTGCGCTCCGCCAGAACCTATTTCTCACGAGGCCGTAAAATCTGAACGGATGAAGATTTTTTCGAAATTTAAAAAGATTCTGAATCATCAAAGTTACTTCTATTAACACAGCAAAAATCGTAATGATTGTCAAAGAGGAACTATCTGAAAATTGCCAGTTTCCTTCAAATGACATTTTCTTCGACAATTCTCATCCAAAATTTTTGAAAATTAGACTGTCTTGTAGAGAATCGTCAGCTCTACAAATCCTGTTTTTCAGATTTTTGTTTCAAGCTCTTCGGATTTTAATAAGCGACCTTGAAATCAGCGCTGTGAAGGCGTGGCGTGAGAAATAGAGAGCGGAGAGGCGCGAGAAGAAGTAGCGCTCTTTCCAAATTGCGATGTAAAATTAATGAAAGCTCAAAACAAAAATCTGAAAAACAGGATTTGTAGAGCTGACGATTCTCTACAAGACAGTCTAATTTTCAAAAAATTTGGATGAGAAATTATGGAGAAAATGTTATTTGAAGGAAACTGGCACTTTTCACATTGTTCCTCTTTGAAAATTGTTTTAATTTTCGATCAGTTTATAGAAGAGACTTTGAGGATTCCGAATCTGTTTAAATCTCGAAAAAATCTCGATCCGTTCAGATTTTACGGCCTCGTGAGAAATATGTTCTGGCGGAGCGCGGATCGAGCGAGCAGCGCCGCGCCGATGTATACCATTACCCTTAAAACAACAAGAAAAGCTTCAGTCAAGAACTTACTGAGGCAGATATAGATCGTTGATAACAAAAGGAAGATCTTTTCTCTAAGCCTGGTTGGAAATCTGCGGCTGGCTGAAAATCATCTTCACTGATTTTATCACTTTCACCGATTTTTTCTTCCTGTTTTGCTATTTTCCGTTAGCTCGGTAAAAAAAAACGATTCCTGCTATTCTCGTTATAAATAATATTCATGGAGGCATCTGTCTCCATGGCTTTGCTCTCTCACTAACGAAAGTACGCTGCGAGTCCTGCTTTTAAGCTGCTCCCGTAATCTTTCTGCCCTTTTAGATTTGACTTAGCTCGCGATTGTCACTGACAACTTTGAGTAAGAGAGAAACTTCTTGATCATAGCATTACGCACACAAGTTAAGTGCAACCCAGAAGCGTAACGAGGAGAAGATGTCATAGAAATATACATTTATTTTCGTGTGCTTTATTTAGTGAATTTGTGAAAAAAATGGAATGGATGAAAGTTAACGGCAGGGGTCTTTTTATATCGAAGTGAATGTTTTAAGTTTTTATGTTATCATTTTGTATAGTTGCTGCAGCTCTTTGTCGCTCATGTACGAATGCACATGCTTGAGCTTTTCGACCAAATTTGCCGAGTAAAAAAAGGATGAGAGGATCTCGTGCGGCAGTGGGCGCGATTTCGGCGAGCGATCCAGACACTGTCTCAGCATTGGCATGATCTCGAGGCATTCGTGCATCGGGAAATCGATCACGTGAGAGTCGTCACAGATCTTGGCGATTTTCATCATTTGATTCTAAAAGAAAATTTATTCTCGTCAACATGTTTGCGGCCTTTGATGCTCCAATGTACTAATCTATTCTATTTGCATACGGTAAAACTCATTTCCTTGATCGCTTAAGTACCTTGAATTCTTGAAAAGGCAACTTCCCATACGCCATTAAATAGAGAATACATCCAAGAGACCACGTATCTGTCCACTTGCCAACTTTTACAACTTTTGAGCCAGTTTCAGTCTCTTTTAGTTGCTCAGGTGACATATAATTGAGGGTTCCAATCATATCCGAGGCCATGCTGAACAAATTCTACTTCAAAACTTTCCGTTTGGAACTCCTTACCTCGTCACATCTGTCTCAATTGAGTTGGCGATACCAAAGTCTATCAGTTTTACTTCTCCTTGCACAAGGACAAAATTACACGGCTTCAGGTCTCGGTGAATAATTCCACAGTCATGGACGACTCCAACGGCGGTCACCATCTACTCAGAAAAGGCGTGATTAACGACTGCCCGGTAAAACCAGAAAAATGAGAGAAAAAAGAGCACAACCCTCAGATTACTAAAGAACTTTGTCGACATAATCCAGTAGCCGCACCGACTTGTTGAAAAAAAGAAAACAATGTGAAAAGAAATCCAAACATTTTCCAGCCACTATTTTCGGAACTTGGAAAATGCCCGTTTTGTGCTCTGGTCAGGATTCTTTATAAACATTTTTGTATCACGAGTAAATGCGACTACTTGTGGATTTTTTTGACAAGAGCCGGTATCTGAATATCGTGACCAAGTCGCGTATGTGCGCTTTGCCACTTTCCGATTCGCCTTTTCGTCATCACTGGGTGTACAAAAAAGCCGGCTTTGTTAAAAAAGCCGGTAGTTATCGAAAGCAATATGAATTTAGATAAAATTCTTTATTGCTTTCTTAAATGAGCTGTTAAAAATTACCTGTTTCCAGAAGAATTTGATATCGGTGGGAGAAAGCTTCGGATGACGCAGAATATATTGCTAGAAAAAGTTAACAAGGGAGAAAGTAAGGCCGAATTCGCACCTGGAAATCTATTTCGCCGTACTCAAGAATGATGAATAAATTTCTGCTATCCTGGATATCGTGCCCGTAGAGTTGGATTATGTTTGGCTTTCCTTGGAGCTTTTCCAAGTGGTAGATCTCGTTTTTGATGCCGTCCAAGTTGTTCTTGTCGACCTAAGAAAAAATTGGTAGGAAAGCGACCCCAATCTTCAACGAGAACTTACCTTGGCTAAATCCACATATTTGAGAGCGCACATTCCATGATGATCGTCGAGACACTTGTACACCTTGCTGAATCCGCCCTGGCCGAGCTTGTCGAGTATTTGGTACGTTTTGCCCTTGATTTGAACTGTTTTCGTTTGCCTCGTTGTTGTCTGCTGCTGCTGAGCCCGAGGGGTGTGGCTACTGGAACTGGCAGAAGCCGAGCGCGGAGTTTGAATTGGCACTTTGAATGAGGTCTTTTTTCGGCTGACTTCGATGTTCTCTTTTTCTTCGACTGGATCGACTTTTGGCACGGCCAGTTTCGACTTGATCTCTTCTTTGATATCGTTGACAGCGATTTTCTCCGGCGTAACACTCTTTCGGCTCACTTCGCCCGCCGCTAGAACATTTTCTTTTCCAGGCAATTTGTCTGCTGGACTCTGAATGTTGGACTTGGGCGAGTTTTGATCGGTCTTTCTGATTTTGATTGGATTGCTTTCGTCTCGCGAAATAGAGGGATGAGTGAGGCGGGAGGAAGACGTGAAGACCGACCGACGCATACCGCTACTTTGATTGCCACTGTAATGTTGAATCGAATTAATCGTTGTTTCAGGATTCAAACTGATGATCGACGATTTTGAAAAGTATCTAGGACGATGGTAGTTATTTATTTCCTTCTGACATCTTACCTGGCATCTATTCTTTCACAAACTCTTTGAATGCCGATAACGCTGTTCAGATTTGCTTTTACTTCAGTGAGTATGTCGCGGAACTTGGATCGCTCTGATCGATGGCGGTGGATTTCCAGAAGAGGCAAATAAAATGAGAGTACTTTGGGATATGTTTCTACAAGTCCTCTGAAGTTCTAAAGTACATTTGTTAATTGCATCAAATATTTAGTATAATTGTTAATATTATTGTATAATATTATTATTATATATCATTATAATGTATCAAATATTTGCATTACCTTCAAAAGAAGGCCTGTCTTTGAAGTTCCCTCTGGGAGCATCATTCTCAGTGGCAACAACGCTTCATTGATCATTATTCTCTGGAGAAAAAGGTCTTTCTCGACGACCTCAGGTTCGACAGTCGCCGTTACTCTTCTATACTCCTCTGGGCGTATTTCCGGAGCGAGGGCTTTGCAGATCTCTTCGTAATTCATCCCAATATCCGCCTCACTTGTCACTGTTGCGTTCCCCTGGCTCGTATTTGGCTCTGTTTTATAGCCAGAGTCCGACAAGCCCTTTCCCGTCGAACTCTCTTTTTGCGCAGTTTCGTCAAGCCGATTCATTGTCGATATTCTCTGAATTTCAAAATGAAAATCAATCTCTTTATCCCGCAAAATATCTAGAAAGATGGTCGATCAAACTATTCTAGAGAATTCTGGAGCAAGACTTCGGCCCTATTCCTAAAAAGCCATCGTCGATGGCCCATCGATAAAAAAAGCAAATAGATGTTGGATAAGGATTTTTTATACATGTAGAATGGAAATTCGGCAGTTCTTAGAATAGAAATAGTCAGTAGAAGAAAAGAAGGATTTAAAGCAGTAGCAGTTTGTAGAATTGGAACATGTCGTTTCTCTCGTTTAGATGCACTTTCTCTCAAAGATTTTGACGCCACTTTCAGCGTAATCTTTCGCCGAAACCCACATGGGCGCAAATGATGGCAGTGAGGCAATGATCGAGCCGCCGATCCAGTTACTAAACAGAAAACGAAAACATAAAGCTGCCCGAGGGACGCGTTTTTTACCCAAATCGACGATCGGTTTGATGTACGGCACCTGGCTGTCCGTTTGCGATTTTGAATTTCATGTGCGGCGGCGTTTTCTGCAGCTCCATGTTGATTCGATCAACAAAACTACCAATTTCAGTTTGAAAAGAATCGAAGAAGAAAATCAAAAATCATACCCTGCAAGATTGCAATTTCCTCCAGTAAGAATGACGCTGGAGACGAGTTGCGGGCGTATTTCGTTTTCGCAGTAGTGAAGTGACGTTCTATGAATACGTATTCAGTCCGAAGGGCGACAATTTATATGATAATTTGTAAATCATATGATAGTGCCAAGATGATACCGATACTTTGAAGGTCAAAATTTGAACCATAAATCATACGGAGATTACAATCAGTCATATCGCACTTTAAAATTATCGAAGAAAGTTGAGCTCGTCATTGAAAATCCGTTCAGTGGGTCACACACGAAACTTGCGTCAGGTGGTCTTCATAGAGTAAATTCGTGAGGCGCACCACACGTTTCTGTGCCGTAATAACGGTACCCATTTTAGTGGTAAAAATAGAGGCGTGGCTTCAGAATCTGTGGATGGTTAGGGTTGTCCACATTTTAAGTTCATGGAGTGGTGCACGGTTGGTCTTCCTGAGCCTTACTCTAGCGTCAATTTTGAAATACCATATGATCTAACTTTTCTGCTTTTTATGGTTCTTTAAAATTCATCGAAAAAAGTCTTATTCTTACGTTATCAAATGCCCGACGCCAAGGAGGGAGTTCTTGTTATCAACCATTCTCGTGTTGAAGAGCGGTTCAGCCAGTCGAAAGCGATCTACTCCGTAGCCAACACTCGCGCCATTTGGAAACTCGTATTCTATGGAAGGACGCATCGCGGCTTCTTCTGGCCGGTAGCTTGAAAAAAGGTAGAGTCAAAGCTTCAATAGGGACCCTCTTACTCGTTTTCAGAGACTTGAATAATCTGATGAACCCAGTCTTGCGCCAATCTTGTTTCCTGATACGCGCGCCACGAGTTCGTCACTTCTGGCAAATTTTTCTTCAGGTGAAAAACCGGCGCTAGAAAGCGAACTTTGCCCATTGTTGATGAAAGAGAAAGGCTCACCTGTCTGACCAGGTTTGAGCTCTTCTTTATGCGATATTTCGTAGGGAAGATGAAGTTTCTCGTCAGACGCTTTCAGGAGTTGAAGAGCATTGCGAGTGATGTAGTCACCTCCGATGGGACTTTGGATGATCGCGTTTTTGATAACGTATCCTTCCATAACTTTAAAAAAAATAACATCAATCAAGTGATTCATCAGGGAAGCAACTTCGAATTTGAACGCTCTATTCCTTTCTATTTCCTTCTAAAGAAGAGAAGCTGGAGTGTGATTAACGCACTCAAGTAAATCATCGAACAAGCTACATCAGCTTAAATTTAAGGTTATACTAACTTATACAAGGCTTTTATTTGACATCAAAGCTAATACCTGCTGAAGCGGTTGTATGAGTTGCACCAGCATCAAGAACGATTCCACTTGCTCGGCCATTTGCGTAGCAAGCCAGTACTGGATTCTTGGCAGTGTAAAAAAGCGGGAATTTTGAACTTCTCCATCATTATTTCTAACAGTTTTTCGCGAATTGCAGGCGGCGCACGTGCCTTTTTCAAATAATGAGGGAATGAGAGAAGAGGCACTTTACCTGTTCTGTGAAAAGAATGGGGTGGAATTCAGGCTCGACGTCGAGCCGTTTTGTGAGGATGTGGTCCATCAGTTCTTCGAATAGATTCCAGTTTTCGATGTATCCTTTGTTCATGCATGTTTCTATCTTAAAATGGGATGAAAGAGGAAGATAGGGGGGTCGCGCACCTCGACATTAGACTTGGGGATGTTGAGAAACTCATCTCTGAAGATCCTCGTAACTTGTCCTGTCTCCTTGTCCACGTGTCTTCCGTTAACATTATTGAAATAAATTTTCGGATGCTCTTCACCAGCAAAACCAGCTTTGACCGAATGCGAGCCAATATCCATCACCAGCGCACCCATATCATCATTGCAGTACATTCCCCCGCTCATTCTAGCAAAACAAAACGTTATTTTTTGGATAAGGATCAATTCATTTTTTCGTTGGCGCTGATTGATGATTTTGATTTTTTCTCAGCGCTCTCCGTAAAACATTTTCCGTCGAGTCGCTTGTTAGCTTCCTTCTTAATCCGTCGAAAACGTAATATAGCTATGATGGTTCGGTTTATTTATGAGATTTATAAATGATATTTATGATATAATCATCTTTCTAAATCCGATCCAGTATTATTAGTGAGCAGTACTAGATTCTGATCGTCGATCTCTGGTGCCTGGAGAAACGACCCTCTACCCCCCTTATTCCCAAAAGAGCGCCTCAAAAATTTTATATAAAAGCACAGCGGTTAAACCTTCGGGACATCAACAATTACAACAAAAAACAACCACTCAAAAAAACATCAAAAACATGAATCTCTTTCCATTTCTCGCTCTTGTCTCAGCTGACTCCATCAACTTCAACCGGGGTCGCAATAGTGCCTACACTCATCTAATGAAGCAAATGGGCAGCTACCCCGATTCGGGAATCAAGAACAACTATCTCGGAATGGCCCGTATCGTCAGCTACCCAAACGAAAGACGTGACCGACGACGATACTCAAAAATGCTCTTCATCAAACATCATCAACAAAACTAGAAACTCTGTCACAGAATTGTCAATTTTGTCTGAGAAAGTTTGCATAACAATAAAAAATGAATAAAAGTCTGAACCAAGACCTGAAGTGTGTCATGAATGCCAGAATGGGCGTTGGGAACATCGGGCCAGTTTTGATCCTTGGCCATGTTGTGCATTCGTGGTGAGCGAGGAGGATCGCTGCCGATTGCGTGAATCCATAAAGCGTCAAGGTCGTAGAAATATTTGTAGCAAGGGCGTTCCTTCGCTGAAACTAAATGATTACTTAGAATGGTCGTTGTTTGAAAGTGATAGTGAAATGATAGTGATAATATTTGTCATATATTATAAGAATTTGCAAACAAAAAATCATTGTTTTAGATTTTAGGCAGCTTGGCGCTTGATAAAATCACTACTCAAAACAGGATAAACTGCTTAAATTCTAGTTTGAACAGACTGTCAGAGAGTATAGTTTAAGAGTCCTAAGAGGATGAGATCATTTTGACTATTGATGATTAGGGGTGAGCTTACGAAGTCAACCGACGAAAATTGTAAGATTGTATATCTTATTTGTTTCAATTTTTGAATTTTTTATTAAGAATTGGCAGATATACAGAGAGGAAGGTTATACAGAAGAGACTTTCATTGTAATGAATTGGTAAAAAGGACTTTGAAAGTGTTGGAAAAACTCTTAGATCATTCGGTTTCGGTAGTGAGACTTCATTCGATTTCGGAGGGAGGATCGGGCAGCTCCGAAGCGGTTTCTTGGGTTGGGTCGGGTGTAGACAAGTCGGGCTTGGTCGTAGCCGAAGTAACCCATGTCCGGGTTCGTTCGTCTTCCCATCTGATAGTCAATGCTTGTCTGGATATGATTGTTAGCATTGTTGATGTAGCGCTGGTGGCTGATTCCATCGCAGGCGACGAAGGAAACAGAAAAAGCGAGAATGAGAGTGTTGAAGAGCATGTTTTGATTTTTTATTGCTTGGTTGGTTGGCTGTTGAAGATGAGTAGATGATTCTTTCGTGGCGATCTTTTCGTTTATATATTCTCGATTTTGTGGACGGTGGCGTCCGAGTGGAAAACTGAAGAGCGCCGCCGAACTCATGCCTGCCATTCATGTCGTTGTATGCAATTTTAAACGTAATCATCAGTACTTATTTTTTCTCATAGAAAAAAGATGCATTTCTGTGTTCTCTAATAATGAAACAAAAAAAAGTTTTCGACAGCCTGTTGTATAAAAGGTGACCAACTGTAACAACATAAGTCTCATAACTCTAACCTTTATTATTGAGAAGTGAAGTATTGAGGAAGTTGAAATCTTCAGTTCCTTGGGTCACAATGGCAGTATCACTAGCAATATTAAAAATCCCCTTCTGCGTCTCCACCATAAGTTTGTGATGCTTGCACCACTTGCAAAACTGCCACTCGACGTTTTTAAACGAGTTCTGTTTCAGATAAAACTTCAAGTTGTGTCCAAGAAAGTCTTTGTAAAAGCCATTGTATCGATCTGGTCGGATCGCCTTTGTTGGCCGGCAGTATGCGTGGAAGACGGCTTTGATTTCGCCGTTGCGTGCCCAAATTGCCGGGAATTCGCAGATTTCGCTGTTGATGGCTTCGAAATCGATTAGTATGAAATTTCGGTCGGTAAACTGATCGACATGGTTGCGTCTCACGGTGACTGTAGATTCTACTGGCGCTCTTTCGGTTTCAAAGATCACTTTATTCTGACTGGATTGCTCCGATTTCTTGTAAATTGAGGAAAGATAACCCTTTCGAGAATTCGCTAATTTCGGAGAACTAAAATTTTTTGTCACGTCAGTAAATTTTGAATAATCGTCACCTGAACCAGTTCTGACGAGGACTGAAGGGCGAACGTTTATCTGTCCGATTTCTGATGGAAGGTCTAACTACTCGGATACTTTTTATCATCTAAAATGATCATTTACAAGAAAGAGCGCTCTAGTGATTATTGCTGTTAATGTTTTTGGAGCCTTGAGGTGGAAAGAAAGTTGGAGTCCTGTTAAAATAGGTTCTTTGAAATTGCAAAAAGAAAGAAGTCAAATAATCAAAATATGTGTAGTAAAGTTCGCTTATGAACTGTATCTCCGATATTCGAGCCTGAAGAAGGCGTGTTTCTCGCAGTGAATAGATAGTTACTGAGTGTCTGTACAGTACAGTTAAATCGGTGAAGATTGACTTAGTAGAGATCAGCTGTCAGAAGTTAGAAGATCGAGCCGAGACTGTAACTCTTCTATCTCTTTCTTGTGCTTTGATTTCTCCTCCATGAACCTGTCCATAAGATTCTTTACACCACTTCGCATGTCGTTAATTTTTTTGGAATCTTCAGCGATTTTTGTTTCAAGTTTGGTGTTCTCGGAAATGCTAAAAGGAAGATGATTCTCAGACATGTTTTTGTAGAAAAATAAGTTACGTTTTTTCATGTCTATTGACTAATTTTATCCAGGCATCTTTTTTGATTTCCTGCTCTTTTGCAAATTCTAGCGCGGTGGTTTTGTCAGCGTTTGTTTTTTCGTTTATTCGTTCGAGATCTTTTATTCTCTCGTCTTTTCTATATATACCTAGAAAGAAAGAGAAATTAACGTCGTGTATCGAGAAATTTGTATTTACAGTCATTTAGCTTTAAAATGTCCATTTGCTTCCGATTTAGGTCTTTATTCGCCGTTTCTAGCAACTGCAGTGTGTGCTGATTTTCTTCTACTTTTTTGTCGCATTCTCTTCTCAGTCGATCGAGAGGACGCGTATTTCGCGAGCACAGCGCCCTGTGCCGATTCCAGTCCGTCTGCTGGCATTCTAGCGAGCAGTATGCCGTCGGCTGCGTCCCGTCGAGCCAGCAGCAAAGAAAGAGCTCGATTTCTTGGTATTTTCTGCATGTGTGACAGTCCATTGAAAGCAGCTTGGGCGGTGCTGGACCGGACCGATAGCGATTGTCGATGTCCTTGGATAATCCATTCATTATTACTTTCCAATCGAAATTTAGGAGTGTGATATTTCAACTTGAGGATCTCATCAAAGCATTCTAAAAGGAAGACGTTTGATCGACTATAGTTAGGTTCATAAGATGAAAATCCAGGCACATTTTGGATAGCCGATGTACTACAGCTTTTTACATGCTTTCGTATGGTACCCGTATATGGGGCTCCCTATCAAGTTGCCTGCATGTCGTTTTATATTTGATAAGTGATGCTTTGCCCAGTGTTTAGTAAGAGCTACGACATGTAAAAAAAGTTTACATTAATTATGATAATAGCGACACTAGCAGACGTGAGCTACGCGGCGCTCTTCGTATTTTTGACAAGCTCGGACGCCACCGTTCCCGATTTTGAGAATATATAAGGAAGACGAGAGACCTGCAACAATCATCAAATCATCTACACCGATCAAACAAACAAATAAAACCTAAACATGCTCTTCAACACTCTCTTTCTCGCTGTTTCCGTTTCTTTCGTCGCTTGCGATGGAATCAGCCACCAGCGCTACATGAACAATGCTAACAATCATATCCAGACCGGCATTGACTATCAGATGGGAAGACGAACGAACCCTAACATGGGTTACTTCGGCAACGACCAAGCACGACTTGTCTACACCCAACCGAATCCGAGAAGCCGCTTCGGAGCTGCCCGATCCTCCCTCCGAAATCGAATGAAGTCTCACTACCGAAACCGAATGTATTAAGTTTCTTTTTATCTGCTTTAATTTTAACTTTCCCTGCGACTGCATTTCCAATTGGAAATTTACATTCAAGTCCTCTGTAAATCTGCCCAATCGATAAAAAATAAAAATAATACAAAAATAAACAAATTTTTTTTATCACTTTCTTTCAATAATTCATTTAACTTATATTATCGGAAAAATGAAGCAGTTCTTGTTACGACAGAAAGGAGGGATGAATTGGAAATTGCGCCTAAGTAATAAGAGGAAGCAGAACTCCCTGAACTTGGGGAAAGAAAGAGGGATTTACTTGTAGATCTTGGCCTGGTTGAAGGGCTTGCCGGCGAACTGGGCCTTCTCGTCCCACATCCAGTACTTGGCGACCATATCCTTGACTTCGGGGGCGTCCCATTCGAGCTTCTGCCAGTCGTAGACCTCGTAGTCGATCTGCCAGTCAGGAGATCGGGGGAAGGCAAGGGTCTGTCCTCGCCAGAACCAGAGACCGGTGATGTTGAGGTCGTTGGGCACGCCACCGACAACGCAGGAAGCAAAAGCCTAATAAAGAGTAATCAGCAAAAGCATCATTTTGAATCTACTTACGTGCTTTCGGAGCTTCTCAATTCGCTGGAACATGCCACCGATGAGGTTGGAGGCCATGAAGGGCTGGGTGAGCTCGTCGGCGTATTTGTAAGTTCCAACCCAGAGGGAGTACTCCTTCTTGACTTCGTCGGTGATGACGTTGTTCCAGAAGTGCTCGACGGATTTGTCTTCATCGTTGTTGGAGTAGAATCGCTTCCAGGAGTCCATGTCGACACATGGCTTGGCAAGGCCCTCCCATGGGTCGGCGGGCTTGTCCTCCTTGGCGGGAGCGGGGGCAGCGGCGGCCTTGGGCTCGGCCTTCTTTGCCTCCTTCTTCGCTTCTTTCTTGGCTTCTTTCTTGGCAGCGTTCTTGTTGGCCTTGCCAGAGACTTCGGCGAATTTCTTGGCGTCGAACTGGGCCTCCTTGACTGCGAGTTTGACTTCACCGATGACGCCGGCGACAGCTGGCTGGTTGACAGTGGTCAAGAACCATCGGTTAACATGGGGGTAGGCCTTTCGCCACTCTGGGGTGAAGACCTGTTCGTAGCCGGACTTGAGGGTCAAGGCGACGGCGATGTCAGCGTAAGTGATTCGCTCACCAACGAGGAAAGTGCAGGTGGCAAGGTAGCCGTTCATGAAGGTGAAGGCCTTCTTAAGGCTCTCCTTGGCCTCGGAGACGTGCTGCTTGTTGGGAGCGATGACACCCAAAGTAGGCCAAACCCACTGGGCGATGGCGGGGAGAAGGGTGCTGTCGGCAAAGCCAGACCAGCAGAGAACGTCGTGGGCCTTGGCACCACCTCGTGTTTGATCGTTGCCGACGAAGTGGGCGATGGCGGTGTCGTTGCAGAGGGCGGTGGAGCCATCCTCGAAGGCGGGAACTTTTCCGAAGAATTTTGACTCGAACTCGGGTGTCTTGTTGGTGACGCCGTGGACGTAGTCAGAGGCGACCTGAAAGATAAAGATGAGATAGTGCGATAGAAGAAATACTACACGATCATAATTATTAATATTAATAAGATAAGCCACTACGTAGAGGGTCTGGCGAAGCTATCGGAATTACGCTCCAACTAACCCGAAAGATAACATATAAAGTTTACCCAGCGTAATGATAGGCTTGTGACTATACAAATGCTACTACAAGTTGTACCTCGAGCTTGTATCCGGAGATAGCGGCGACGGCCTTGATCTTATCGGCACGGAAGTTATCGGGGTAGGTGTATAACTTGCCCATCTCTAGAAAATTAACAATGTTAGCATGGCTGTATGTTACTCAGGATGAAATATCGCAAGCTTTTTTCTGCGATAATCTCGGAGACAGATACTGTAATAAGATTGAGCTCTCAACAAAAGAAAAAAAAAAGAATAGAATCGTTAATTATCTCTAACAGTTTCAAGAAGAAAAAGGGGCCTATCATGCTCAAGCGGACGCGTGGGCGGGTGAGTGACGTGGCGATGACTCATCACATTCCCGAAAGGTGCTTCGTGATTTTGGAGTTGGTGGTGTTCCAAGAAGGAAGTATGAAAAGTCAACTTTTCATACAACCAAGGTCAAGTGGTTAATTTGGTGGAAAATGGGGTGTGATTTTCAAATTGGTAGGAACAAGTTTTTGATGTTTGTAAGTGTTTTCTTCTGGCAGTGGGAAGTTCATAACTATCGACGTCGCTTTGAATCTTTATCTTCACGGTCTGTCCCTCTTTTTGATCCCTGAAAGAATTATCTAATTGAACTTTCTAGTAGATTCTATCGGCCTGGTTCCCCTATTTTCACGGGTTCATTGCTCCTAAAAAGGTCAAACTTACCCTCTTAACATCCGCCAGCAATTCGTCCACACCAAAGATATCCTTTTCAAACTGAACAGGTCCAGATCCTCTTGGCGCCGAAGCATCAGCTCCTTCAAAGCCCTTGTCTGGAACAAAGCGCTTCTGCTTCGCGATTTCTTCTATATCATCGCCATAAGTGTCCAAGTCCCGGTTTTTAGGCGGCCGGTAAAGGTGGTTCGAAAGCGTCGTTTCGGAGCGCCAAGGCTTATCGTAGATATTGTAAGCTTCGTCGTTTCCATCTGAAAAATAATTGTGTGATAAAATTGTATCATGAGGAAGTGAGAGAATAAAATATTGCCAAATTGACCAATTTTGAGTAATTTTAGATATTATCAAAAATATTAGATATTTCTTGATAAAATCGACAAAGTTTTTTCCCAGATTACAAAATCTGAAATAAGAAGAGAATATTCAACTTACGATCAAATCCTGTATCCATTCCCTTGCTCGTTCCAAACAACCGCTGATCGAACAACGCATCGCCTCCAGATTTCTTCGCCGGGAGGCCGAGCGCGACTTGCTCGGAGATATCTCTGTCCTCGAGCGAGCGGAGCTCCTTTCTACGCTTGAAATTAGTATGAGCGCGGGGTCAAGAACGTACTGTTTTCCAGGCGCGGCGCGGGCAATGTTGTGCTCTCGCTTCCGCTGCTCGTGACGTTGGCGTCTGATTTCGTCACGCTCGCGCACTTCGTCTTCGTCGTTGACTTCGTTTTCTTTCTTGGGACTTTTGGCGAGGCCGCTTCGTTTGGCGCGCGCGGCTTTGGCCAGTTCACGCAGTTCAGATTCTTTTCCTTCCTAAAAAGTAAGAAATTAGCCTTGCTTCCTCAAAATGGTCTTCTTTCTGGTTCAGAAAGTCCACTTTGTATTGTCGTCAAATCCTTTAAGAATCGAGAAATAATGATCTTTTGACGCAAAATAAATCCCAAAAAATTCCCAAAGTCTACCTTTTCTTTGTTGGCGATTTTCTTCTCAACTTGGCTTCTCATTTCAACCGCTTCTCTCGCTTTTCTGTCAGCAATGTACAGTGCTTCGGACAGTTTAGCAAAGTTCTCGTTGATATGCGTCGATTGAAGACCACGACCATCTGCTGCCAGTCGTTTGTCCAGAGGAATTGTGTAACCTGAATTGCTACGACTGAGACTACATTTACATGAAGTTATTGATTATTCATCCACAAGGATAGTCATGAAGGCTTTTTTTGCTTTGAAAAGGAGGATTTTAATTGTCTCTAAATCAAAGATACCCTTTGTAAGTTATTAATAGAGAGTTTCATATAGTTTTTTTTATTATTATACAGTATAATTTATACTATTTATCCTTTATTCGTGCCAGGTTGCTCAAATAATTTTAATAGCTGCCTTCAAGATCATCCTTCACACAATAAAATTCTTGTTGGAATAAATTACCCTTCGGATTCTTCCAGTTTGAGATGGCAGGAGGAATCCTCCATTCCAATTGTTCCTTTTGCGTAATTTTTCTAGTCGGGGAGTGCATCACTGGCGCTGGTGGCGAGGGAGGACCTCGTGGGATCTTTTTGTTCGTGCGGAATCGCGGAGGTTCCATTGGATCGACCTGCACTTCTACCATTCTGATGATCCGCTGCTTCGCTCCTCCGGCATATCCGTGCCCTTGTTCGGAAGGAGTGTATCTAAACGATCATAATTCCACAAATCGATGGTCCGGTACCTGATGTATTGAGCTGGTGCTTGTTTCTTGGCGCATTGGCCTGGCATCGAGGCTGAAATCTTGTCGTTACAGATCTTTTCGAGTGCGTCTCGTGTTCGTTGCGTGTTTTCATCGAGTTTATCCTTAATGTTGAAATGAACAAAAACACTTGTTTGATTGAACCAACCTGATCTGGTATTTGAAGCGAAGCATCATCCGCATCAAGGATCTCCTTTGGAACCAAGTCTGAAAACTTGGAGTGCACGACGCGTTTGTCTGTGTGTCCCTGTTTCACCAACGCGTCGTACTTGACATTTCCGTCTTGATCCAAATGCACAGCCAGCGCATTCGACTTCTTTGTCTTTGGCTTGCCCATGCCGAGGGGAAACTGGGCCACATGAATTTCTGGAAATGCACCTCCATCGCCAAAGTCGGCAATTGTTCGGGGAACATAACCGGCTCGCGCGCCGTATGGAGGTGGCTCCTTTCGAGTTGCAACTAATGCCTGCGTTCGCTCTTTTTGAGTAGCTGAGATGTCCTCATCGAAGCTTTGCTGCGTCGGCTCCGGGAGGATTTGCCTCAGCCCAGCTGCGACAGACATTCTGACAAGAAATGCTTTGAAGAGAATAAGAACATGAAAGCGAGAGAATTTTTATTTTTTATTGTTATATGTCGAACATGATGTAAATCAAAAATATGTTTTTTTTCTTGTGAACTTTCAGAAGAGAGGAATCATCACTGATTAGTATAAAACTACTGAGATTTCGAAAATCTTGAAGAGTTGCTTTTAGGAAAAGGAAAATTGAACGGGAAGAGCAATTGCACAGTCTGTACAGGGCGTTTGAAAGTTTTTTTTTATTGAACCAGATACTATATCAGATAAGGAATGCGCTAAAAGACGGTGTTATCTGTAAATGACGAAGATGTTAACGGTTGAAAAAGGTTGGAAAGAAGGGAGTTTGAACAAACGATTTGAATCAGAACATGATAGGCGTTGGAGTTGAAGATTAGCGAGGAGGATATGGAGGGATTCCCTGGTAACCGCCTTGTTGTGGTGGATAACCTTGATTTTGACCAGGCTGATTTTGGTAACCCGGTTGGCTGGGATATGGCTGGTATTGGTTTCCTTGCTGCGGTGGGTAGGACGGATAGCCGGCGTTCTGACCCGGTGGGGGCTGATTCCAGTTTCCAGCAGGAGGTTGCTAAAAAGATCGTTACGAGATTTCATCGTAAGGTATGTTCTATAGAACTTCTATCGGTATCACATATTCAGAATCAATCAAACTTTGTTAAAAAACAACCAAATTTGTATAAAATTGTCAGATTAATGAATTTTATTCAAATTTCTTGTCGGTAGATTTCTACCTGAGTTCAAGCTTACAGCTTCTTATATCATAATGCCCTTACGAAAACCTGGATAAGAGATTGGCAATCTCAGATTGATTAACCTCGGGTAATAACAAAAATAGAATACTGCTACATACTTGATTCCAATAGTTATTTTGCTGAGGATAAGGAGCAGCAGGTGCACCAGAAGGATTAGGAGCATGGCCGTATGGAGGCTGATATGGCTGATTCGGGGGCTGGTATTGATTTTGTTGGTATTGGGGAGCGTAGGCAGGAGGAGGTCCTTGTGGCTGGTAACCGCCCGATGGAGGTCCTTGTGGCGGTTGGTTTCGCGGGGCAGGAGTTGGAGCTCCCTGGGTTTGTTGAGGAGGGCATGCTGGCTGATCCTGTAGCTGTTGTGGGGGACCTTGTTGGAAAGAAGGCGGAGGAGGGCGAGCTGGAGGACCTGATGGATTCTCTGGCTGCGCAGCGGGGGCTGGAGCTTGTGGTTGAGCTTGATTCAAAAACGAAGGAGTCGCAATATTTCCTGCCTCACTCGCAACATTAGTCTGAGTTCTCAGAAACTCATCCTTTTCCGTCTTTCGCGCGAAGCAGAAGTCGCTCACTTTTCCTTGCAAGCGGATCAGGTAGTTGGTCAAGTCGTTGTAAAACTTTGTCCCTTCCTCCAAATTTGAACAGAGTTCTCGGAAACTATCGTACGCAGCATTAATCTGTCCTAGAACCTTTTGTCGCTCTTCTTCCGCAGCACCAGACTTTTTCAGCATGGAAAACTCTTGACTACAGCGTTGCAAATTCGCCAGAACTGATTCTTGTCTATCTCGAGAATCATCTATTTGTCCGACGAGTTCGGCATAAGCACTTTCTAGCTTCTCGTCAGACATTTCTTCTGCATTGATCACGCCTTGCTCTTGAAGCGCTTGGCAGAATTCAATGTTCATGGTGACTGTAGCTCCTCGAAGCTCACTTTCAATCACGTCCCGCTCGTTTTTCAAGGCATCAGATTGCTGGCACAAAGATTTCAATTCCTTGATGACTGGATTGTCCGAAAGAACATTCGCGACAGAGCCAGAAGGGAATGCTTCGTTCAGTTGATCATCAGTGCCCGAAAGAAGCTCGAGACCGCGAGCGTTGTCTTCCAACTTTTGCTTGACAATGGAGTCAGCTTCCACGGCTTTCTGGAGAATCCCTTCGTATTTTTGACAGTCTGTCCAGAGCGAATTCGTCAGTTGGTCGCTGGGAGTGACTGTAAGTCTCGTGCCGAATTGAGCTCGAAGAGCAGCATCTGATTCTTGTTCTGCTGTCAACATACGCTTTGCTTCGTTGAGCAAGTCCTGGTTTCGCTGCAAAGAGTCTGAAAGAGTAAAAATGAACGATGAAAAATTTTGTTCAAGTCTACCTGGAATATTGTTTGACATGCTTCTGATCTTGTCGATTCCTCCTTTAACCCGAACATCCAGCGCCTTATCGCTGATACTTCTTGGTACCCCAGCTCCAGATGTCTCTTCAATTGCTTCTGGAAGATGCATCGTACGCAAGACACCGTTGAGAGTTGTCGTCAACTCTCGAATTCGCTCGATTTGACCATCAACGAATGCCTTTTTCTTTGATTCAAAAGTGGCGTTGGCTTCGTTGACTGAAAATAAAATGGATAAAATTGAAAAAAAATAGTAGAAAACAGCCTTTTTGTATATAAACAATTTTAGTTCACACTCATTATTTGAAGTTGGTTATTGCTATCATCGGTAACTCACCTTCAATGGGTTGAACAGCTTCAAAGAAATCGACAGCTTTGTCTGGTGGCGTCAGAAGATCACCTCTTTTGTACGGAGTTGCTTTGGCCACAGCTGCGAGACCGATTGCGTCGAGCTTATCTGGTGCTGGAATGACGCAGTGATAGATGAAGCTATTTTCCTTCTCGGCTTCTTCCCGTAGATTCTTGACGTCGTTGTAGAAAGTCTTGTACTTTTGAGACTCCTAGGGAAGAAAAATGTGGATTGATGATTTATATTTTGCGGACAAGGCAAGTCTGTTAGTCAGTTTCTTTATTTACAAGTTGTTCCATCAAATGTAATTGAATAGCAATGATACCTTTGATAATTCTTTCACCAGCCCTTCTGTAACTCTCAGCCTCGAGATCATCTCTCCAAATTGCTTGTCAGCTTGATGAGCTTTAGCCTGGTGCCATTGAGCCCGCGCTTTGAAGTACTTTGCCTTCGTGTTTGAGTAGGAAACAAGTTCCTGAACACAGTTGTTATTTTTGAGAGTCTCGAGTGGAGACATGTGGGATACATCTCAAGGTTTAACATATCAGAAACCTTTGATATTTGCTGAGAATGACGGTTCGTCTCCTTGAAGTGATGGTATGCTTGTTCACAGAGCTTGGCGAGAACATTTTGCTTCATCCCGCCTCGGCTGGCCTTGTGGTAAATCTGCTCCTGCGCACACCCCAACATGTAAACTGATAAGGTCGTCAGGGTCGTAGGAAGCAAATCAGTAGTCGGAGTCTCCTACGTAGGAAGTATTATTTACGCAAAATTGAGCATTGCTCCCTACTTTGTTGAGCACACCGGCCACATTGTCTTTGATGAAGTTGTATATGCCCGCAGCCCTGTTGAAATTCTTCACCGCTTCTTTCGCCCCCTCGTCATCGTCCATTTGTGACGCGGCGATCTGTGACATGAGCGCGCCGCAATTCCAGAGGACGCATAAATGTTCAAAGTCGCCCGAACACATGGCTATCTTTCCCTTGCTAGACGAAAGCAATGAATACAAAGATCTTTTGTTTTTCAACAAACCTGGATGAAAAAGCAGACTTCTTTTCAAATGGGTCCTTCCAAGCAAAAGTAACAGCGCAGTCCTTCACAGAAAAGGGAATCTTTCCTTGAATTTTGACAAGCTGATCGTGATATTTGGTCAGAACAAGGAGAGAAGTCTCAGTCTTGTCGAGCGCTTTTACACAAGCAGTTCGACGGAGCTTGTCGAGCTCTGAAGCCATTTGGTTGGAGGCCTCGGCGCCAAGTTCCGAAAAGTTATTTTTGAGGAACGAAGCGACTCTATTTTGGGGATTAGAGAATATTTATTCTGAAGCAGAAATAGGCGTGCCGACACCTGCACCTTTGTTCGGACGGCTATCTTGGTTTTCAGCTAATTTTCAGCGGCTCAATTCTCAAACCCCAAACCTAGTCGATAAGTCGACATCACTAGCCTGCTTCAATGGAATCGTCAACGGCATTTTGTTATTCTATCTCTTCCCAACTTGGTAAGGCACCTCTTTTCAATCTACAGCAAGGAATTTGACAAAAGACGTTTTGGTTTTAATTGAAAAAATTTTAAATAGAAAAATATATTTTATATTCAGATGAGTAGAAAAGTAAATGAGATCTGTGAGCAGAGAAACGGGGTGCGTGAATCATGAACAAATGAACTTGAATAATGCGTCATTCTGAGTGAGTTTTACACGCTGGCCTCGAGGCGCGCTGGTCGGAGTGAGTGATGTATTGCTTCTAAAATTGCTTCTTCTTCTTCCTCCAGCGTTTCGTAGTCTTGCGCTTAATAGGAATTCAATGACAAGGTATTCCCAAGATCGGTGAAAATTATTCAGTATTACACAGCAAACACCAGGGAAGCACAATCATTTTCAGTCTGAATTGAAAAAACACATCTGATGACATGGAAATGAATGTACTGAACAACGTTGACGGTCAGAAATCACCATTTTTCATCCGTGAGAGAGAAAATATTCAACCACCATCTACCGGATCAAAATATTGTATATCATATACGGTATATCTTCAGATGTTTAACGATGATATAACATATTGTAACAACTCCAAGAATATTTATGATAATATATCTTATGCAACAACATTGAGACAGATTGATAGGATACGATTGTCTCTTGTCTGTCAATGAAATTGAATATTTTCATTGAAAATATCCTATTGAAGCCACTTCAAATTCACAATATCAAAAGAACTTACTGTATTGCTCGAGTAACTGCTGTCGTCGCTCCTCATCGTCGGCCAAAAACTTGTCGAGTCTTTCGCGCTCCTTTTCGTAGTCTCGCATCATTTCCTCGGCGTTCTTTTCCATCACAGACTTTGGAATCTTCGCCAGAAGGTCTTTTAGTTTTGGCGGTTTTCCACCTGAATGTCTGTTATATACGGAGTACAATCATTTTTTACGTCAATTTAAAAACATCTGTAGTTAATTTTTTAGATACTTCTTTAATCTTACCAACTGATTCGAGATACTTCTCACGAGTTGCAACAGCTCTTTCGTATCTCCCTGGATCTGCTGCCTCCCACGCGAGTTTCATCGCTTTAATTTTGTCAATTCTCGAGGTGTCCAGCTTCAACTCGACCGAGTCCGCTTTGTCTGCATCGACGAACATCATCAGCTTCCAGGAAGCGCAGTTTTCAGGCATTTCGTTGTCTACATTTGTGACGGCCTTGGAAGATGTCTTTTTCGCCAAAGAATCGTGCACTTTGATGCTTTCCGCGTATCGCTTGCGAAGAATTTTAACCGCTAAAGTTTACTTTGAACAAAAAGTTTTTAAAATATCCCTTTAGTACCTTCTTGTTGTTCTTCAGTGAGTTTCCATCCTTTGCTGGAGTGAACTTCAATCGTCAGCTTTGCGTTGTTCTCTTGACTCTCAGAGTCTTGTACCTCGCTCACACTCGTTGATGATTTCTTGCCTTTATTGCTCGTCCTTGAAGCTGTTCTTGAAATGCTCCCAAGTCCGTTTTCGATAACAGAATTCACCTTGGACTCCCAGGAAGGGATGAAAATCTCGCCAGTTCCGTAAGTACAGAAGACTTCTTTTCCATTGTCCTTGATCATCAGCTTCATTTTTGCGGTTTCGCAGCTTGTTTTGACGAAATACGCGGCGGGCGTATTTGCTGCCATTCCAATATTGTAGCGGAAGAGAAGACCAGGCTCGAAGGTGGAAGACGATGGAGGAAGATAAGCGCCTTTGTTAGTTGTAAGCTGAGTCTTGTACTCCCTCTGCGGCAAGTCAATTGAGCGATTGAAATCGTAAACGATCTGGAGTTTCCAGCTGGCATTTGCTGGAAACTCGAATGGCTCGCAACATGATGACGAAACATCGCCAAATATCGTGTATTTGCCGGGGTTCAGCGTGACTGGTCGAACGCGGCGGAGGATTTTGCCGATCGGTTTTCCTTCCTCATCAAGGAGTCTGATGGTTGTCGTGTGCTTTGAACCCGCGTTGGACTCGGTAAAGATTGGGAACACTTCTGTAGGCTCCTCGATTGTAAAGCAGTCGCGGAATAAGACCGTCTTACCACCAACGAACGAGTTATACTTGCCGGTCATGCAGACAGTATTAAAATTCTTCTCCATATCTGCAGCTATTTGTTTTATCTCCTGTCCGGCCAACCGAGCTTCTTCGATAAATTTGTAGAGAAGATTCATTGGCGCATTTTCGTCGAGCTGTTCAAAGAACAACTTGAACCGGTTCAATGCGCTTTCTTGCCGCCTTTTCGCGCCGGGACTTTGGCCCATCAGAGCGTCAAAGTTCATACGAGCTATATGACCTCTCCACGTTTTTATGAGAGTAGTTGCGGCTTTAACAGAGGTTGTGACTGTGAAAAAAGAGGTGTTAGTGGACTCTATCTACGGCTATAAACTGTGCTTACCTTGCGTGAACGGGCTCTGCATCTTTGCCTTTCCTTTGCCTTTTCCTTTGGCGCCAGCTTTAGGAGGTTCGTCAGGGATAGTGGGAATAGGCGGTACTAGATCAATGAAGAACTCAGCTGGACCAGGATTTGGATGAAAATCGCGGAAGAGCATTCTGAGTGCCCCAAGATCTTCCATAACTGCTTTCTCTTTCAGAACGCTCGAGGAGAATTTATAGAATGCAATGCGGTAGGCTTCCCAGAGCTTATCGTTGCCGATCAGTTTCTTCAAGATTCTGATAAGTTTTACGTACTCTTCTCCTTGTCCAAAAGAAGCTGTCACAGCTTGCGTCGCAGCGAGAATTGATTTCGCATATTTGTGCCACAAGACGGGAGCATCAGCAGAAGCAGCCGTCAGTAGCTCACTGTAGGTTCCATAGTTGACGTGTGGTCCATTTTCAGCGTTGCAGATGATGCTCACAGTTGACATGAATTTAGCCTTGGTTTTGAAGCGGAGAAGAGTGCGGCCGCGCGGAAGTCGAAACCTGACTGAGCCTTGACAGTATGTCTCGTTGACAAGTATATTTTCGTAGCTCTGGACGTATTTTCGAGGGTTAAATGTTTGGATTGTCAGCGATGAAAGAACTGCCGCCTCTATTTGCTCCTTGTGCTTAGACTCCGCGTCTGGAATAAACACGGCGTTATCAGATCCTTGGTTTTCCTCTTCCTTGATTTCGGAAGCGGAAGATGGTTTTGGTGGAAGCTTCGAGTTCAACACTTGAAAGGAGACGATAATGTCCTGGTTTTCCTCTGGCATGTCTGCGTAGAAGAAGCTCTCGTGATGATCGTCAACGAAGAACTCGTCAAAATTGGTCACTTTCTCGTGCGCCGTGACTTTGAGCTCGTTGCTTTTTGGAATGTGGAAGAGATAGATTCGCGAGTTTTCGTCGTTTGTGATGTCTTCGATTCGCATCCAGTCATTTGGATTCGCGACAGTGTGGTTCGCCACGCTCTGCATTGATGGGGTCTCGCTCGGGGGAACTTCTGATTCCTCCGCTTCATCGCGTTCCGTTTTGAAGGGAGAACGGATCATGCACCAGCGATTTGGAATTTGTTTCTTTTCGATTTCGGCGAGCATTTCAAGGACGTCTTGTTTCGGCCTGATAAGTTTCCAGGCGGGGATTTCTGGATCCGGCGATGGCGGCCGAAGCGGTCGATCGCGAACTTTGACAATTTGACAAGGGTGGATGGGCGCATCGGGGGATTCGATCTCTGCAAGACAGAATGTACCGACTTTTGCTGGTGGCAAAGCGGGGCCCTCGTCTTTTTTCTTCTTGTCTTTTTTGTCACCCTTTCCTTCTTTTTCCTTCGCCGCGGGTTTCGCCTCCTCGACTGGGGCAGCCTGCTCAAGGAGTTCTTCGTTCAGATACTCCTGCAATAGCTCCCATGTTTTAACACAGGAGCCGTTCAGCACCTCTGGCAGCCAGCCCGTCAACGCCGTCACGAGATGAAATTCGGGAATTTCAGAACTTCGCGGCGACAGTCCAAATGAGCAAACTTTCAGAAGTGCTTTTGACAGAACCAAGGGCCAGATTTCTGCGATATTTTGCGAAACTGGCAAGAGCGGAATACCATGCTCGTCGCAGGGAATATTGTCGTCGATGATGATTTTACGGAACTTGCCCATAAAATACAACTAAAAATGGAGATGTTTTCAGAGTTGAAATTTAAATCTTACCTTGACGGCATATTTTCCATTATTATTGACAAGCGGTTTGTGCTCCTTTCCACCAGTTTTATTCAGCGAATAAATGAGATAACCAGGGCGAAATTCCTCCAAGCCCTCGCTTTCATGCGTGAATTCTTGCACCGTCCTGATAGCGCTCAATAAATGTCGAATGAAGGGCGAGAACGTCAAGTTGGCATTTGTTTGGACAATCGATGGGGGCAATCTCAGCTGGCTACAAATTGAAATCTGGCTCCTGTCTATTTCTAGTACTCTTTACGGATCAAGCCTAATCCTGAGTAAATTTATCTAAGTTGTCAAAATTGTCGAAATTGATGTTTACAAGATTGTCTCTGAAAGATACTGACTGTAATGACTCTGAGATTTGTAGCCATGCCCAGGCGACTCCTCAAAAACGCAGGTTCCCCACCGTTGGCAAAGAGCTCTGGAATCCTCTTCCAGCTCTTACATTTGGCGGCCAATGACTCGGGCAGGGCAGGTTGCCCTTCTGGATCGTCAAAGAGCGCGGGAGAGGGGGATTTACCCTTTTCAGGCTTTTTGCTCGGCGATGATGATCCGCCGTCCCATTTTTCGTTGTTGATTGATGAATCGCACCATTCCGGCCAGGTGAAAATGTTTCTTTGTTCGACCGGCCTGAATATCAGTAAATTCCCGTAAGAATTGTGAACAAATAGAACACTTGTCAAAAATAGACTGTTGATACTTTCAAAACAAAAAAGATAAATCCATCAAAAAAGATGAAAAAGAACATACTTGGGCTTCTTTTTCTTTCCAAGGCCTGAGATGAAGGAGCCACCTCGTTTGCTAATTTCTTTTTATGCGGTTACAATTCGCGAAATCGCAAAAACGACCATGTTCTAGTTCAAAAGAATTATGAGGTCAAGACTGTAAATTGGCTCCAGTTGGAAAATGTGTCTTATTGTAGCGGTGAAATCTCAAAAGTCAAACAAAGCTGCAATATGAAGCATCAAACGAGAGAGAATTGCAACCGAGCTGAAGTACTTTTGAAAGGGCGCGTTTTGCCAAAATATTCGGTCTTGCGACGATTACTGGGCTTGAGGAAGTTTTTAGCACACTCTATTAGAGTTAAACTCTCAAATGAGGACATACTGTTATTATCAAATTAAATTCTTTATTTTTATTTTGAAGAAGGACCGCCCTAATTGTTATATAATTGGTAATATAATTTTTCAATTATATTTCCAATTATTTTTTCAATTCAAATAATATTCTTTATTCGGACGTAATAAGCGTCATTAACATGAAACTATAGAGAAATAAGATCCGCAACTTTTATATAACTGGTTATATAATTTTTTTTATGTAAGACTTATAATTAGAATAACAATTATAATTTTCAAAGATGCTTTGTTTTTAAGGTATTCGAAAACATTCCGTTCTGGGCTTATTCTCCTTCGATTGCATCGTGGTCATGCGTCTCGAAAATCCGACATTTTCGGGAACTGTCTTTGGCACTGCAACAGTTTTACGACGGTGCATCTTCTCTTTTTTAGTTGACGAAGTGGAAACAAAAAATTGAAGTTAAGCTTTTTCAAGGCGATAAGCTTTGAAAAGACGATTTCATTGTAGTGCGGGAGGAAGCGGATAACGGAATGTTTACCTTCTATACAACTACTCAAATACTACTTTATCCAGATTGTTAAACTATAACCCAAAATGTGACAAAGAGGAAGTGCCCCGTTCCGCAGCGAAAAAGCAAATGTTACCATTTGTATCGCTTTCGGTAGCAGAGAAAAAAATGAAAAATTAAAGAAATCAAGGAAGAGTACTTACGTTGAGCATTCAATGGTGCCAGACTCCTTCTTTTGCACAGCTTTGGGAGGCATATCCCGAGTCCTTTACGAAATCTGTCTGAATAAATTGACTTGTTTGTTTGTGTTCCCAGGGCATTCTAGAGACACGCCGACAGATCACGCCTTTTTGATAGGAATGATCGATTTAACTTAGTTAGTTAAACTAACTTCGTCTTCTATTTTCGAAATATTATTTTTCAACTCAAATCCGATAACAGTGAGATTATGAATCATCAAAGCGCAATATCGTTCCGAAACGAAGGTGATAATTTGCGTATTTATTACAGCACTGGTTCGCAATCAGGCTTTGAAAACTTATTAAAATTTGAAAAAGTGCGCGATTCTATTGATAAATATATCCTCGGCACTCTCCCATTTTACAAAGAGGAAAACGATAAGTACTCATCAATCAAAAAATGTTTTCAACTTCTTATCTTAATTCCGTGAGTAGAGTTTGAGTGATTGATTCAAGTACGATATTTATTTTTGTACAAACTTACCATCTCAAGAAAAGGCTGAAAGCCACTGTTACCGTATTTTACGTCAAATTTGTTATTCTTATCAGAGATAAGCTCAAAATAAAGACTTGACGAATGCATTACATAAAATTTTTTGCTCTCGATTCTCATCCTATTCAATTTACGGAAGCGTTCATCACTCAAACTAACTAAACGAACAGTTTACCAACACTCGGTTCAGAAATATATACAATTAATTCGATCGAAGATCTACCGGTTGTCGCGAGTAGTGGAAATAATAATCAACGAATGTAAGTAAATGGTCATTGAGCACATCTTGAGCACATCTTGAACTTAATGAGATATCAGATAATATCATTTCCCTTTAGATATCATTAAGAACCGGTCTTCTGACTAGACTAACGAGCGTAGGAGAGAATAATCTTCCGATTAACTGATTTCCATCGACCCCCAAATTTGTACTTTTCCCGAAAGTAATTGAATAAGTTTACAAAAATACAATTTATTAGTGTTATCTGAATAATTAAATTTACAGTGTACAGAAGTAGTGCAGTCAGAAAAGAAGTGATTAAAGTTGTTGAAGTAAATCTTTGATTAGCGATGCGTCTCCACTGAATGCTACCTTTCCGGCTTGATAAGCTTCCAAGTAGCTTTGTTCTCGAGCGATAAAAGCTGCCAAATCTTCGAGCGACAGTTTAACTTCGGCTGCGGGGATGAATTGGTTGCATGCGTCGACGAGTGATTCGTGAATTCCAGTATCAGTGATTATAATTGTAGTTTCATTGTCGATGATAACGTCTAGTCGTTTCTTGAGTCGTAGATTCTTTGATTTGAAAAATGATACAATCTCTTCTATCGTTTTCGGCTTTTCGAGCGGCGAGTCAGATGAAGTTTGAGATTGACCCAAGTTTTGAAGAATATTCGTAAAGCCAGGATGATTCGCCAAGCCCCCAATGAGATCTTCCATTAGATTTGGCGGGAGGGCGGATCCAGCGTTTCGAAGAACATCGCCAAAGTTGCCCATTGATGGAACTGGCGCTCCATTAAGAGCTGCGGCCATTGGATCGGCAGGAAGCTCAAGCTCAACATCAGCTTTTCGACCGCTGAGATAAGGTTGTGTCGCGGAAGCTTCGACGTGTAGGACGACTGCGTCGACAGCGATGCCATAAAGCTGCCCTTCGTAGTTGAAGTCGGTGCGGAGCTTGGACTCAAGACTACTTTGTTCCGTAGCGAGCACCCTGATGACAGTTCTTTCAATTCTCTTCCTCAGCACAGGCCTCAGCGCGTTCAAAAAGCACTCCTCAAAATTTGTCGCCGATTTGTAAGCAACAACAGCATCACTAACGCGCCACTCGACGTCGACTCCGACCAAAACAGCGGCTTTATCCAGAGTCAGTAAAAGATGCTTTTTGATTGACGAAGTTTTTGGTTCCAGGCTAATCGAGACCTCGCTATCAATGAATGGGAGTTTTTGCAAATACGAGCCCTTTGTTGGCTTTTGTACGCGCCCGAGGCGTGTGACGATCACTTCTTCGTTTTGTTTGCGCTTTTTCCAGACGTAGAAATATGATATGGGAAGAGTCAGGTAGACTGCTGTCCAGGCCGCACCTTTTGATCGTTTTAAAAATACTTCATACTGACTTCATGTCTTTCATAAAACAATAAAACGCATTCCTAAGATCATCGATTCTCCAAGACTCATGGGTTTAGGCTCGGATTCTTCAATATCACGAGTTTCATATGACGGGACCCATATTTTCTCCTCTTCTGATACCATATCAACTAATTATCTGAATAGAAACAAATGTAATAAAATGATAGTGAAGGGCAGTTAAACACAATTTCATTCGTCATGATTTGAATTTTGTATCAATTCACATGTATGCAGATAACGCGAGGGAGGATAAAACTGAAGTCACAATTGTAATATTGTTATTATTAGAGGAAAAGTGGAGGAGATATAAACTAGTAGTGGTCATTGATTTGAACTAATATTTCTTTGCTTCTGAATCACTCAATTTCTTTCAAGTACAGATAAAATGGAAGATGCAGATTAAACACTCTAAAACGATTCTAGCTCTTCGCCCATCAGCATTCGTTGAAGTCCCTTTCTGATAACTTTGCTTGCGTAATCGCCAGGCATACGGGCCGCCTGGACAAGGCTTTCTAACTCTTCAATTTCTTCCAATTCATTCTTGCCACTCATTCCCGAATTATGAGATTCGAGCATAAAGCGGCGAAGCTTCCATAAATGCAGGGCTCCCCGAGCGAGTTCTAGGATGAGGATGATTTTCTGAGTTTGATTGACAGACATAAAGAATATCACTGATATTATATCAGAGCATCATATCGATTAATGCATTTTATAACTGCACCTGCTCGGGCGAGACAATCGATGGGCTTCGCAGCTGAGAGGCCGCCGATCCTAGTGATCAAATCGGCAAGCTGCGGTGCCAGCTCGTCTAAGCGAGTTATTTCGTCGATCGAGGGCTAGTGAAAATATAATAAATATGAGGACGCGTCGGGAAGCCATACCGATGGGTTTTGCTTGAGCTTTTCAATAATAGTTACGGCAGTGAAGTAGTCAAGGTACACAAGTCCTTGTAGATCCCAGTTTTCAATTTGCTCATCAGCCTCTCGTAGCAGACTCAATTTTTCTTCTAAGTATTCACTCTCACCATTCACAAGTGCTTCGGCAATGATATGCTCCATCATTATCTGAAAATGTAAATATTCATTAACGACAAAAGAATGTATGAAACCTTGTGTGCAGCGTTGGGCAAATCTGCCTTGACTAAGAAGTCAAAGCATTCTCTCCAATCCTTCCATCGACGGGCTTCAAGAGCTTTAACTTCGAAAATCCACTTCTCGTCGATGAAACATGTATTCGTCAAAAATTGGAAGTCGACATCTTGAACTTTGACATTTCGCTTTAGAATCTGTCGTGCGAACCTTTCTCGGTCGCTAAAGAATGTGTTATTGCTATCAGAACTCGTTTTTACCTTGGATCCTCGAGCATGAGAGAAACGGCGATGGCTTCTTCCCATAAGCCGTTGTTTTCCAACTCGCTTGAAAAGGCAGTGATCAGTATTTGCTCGCTTTGGTCATCTGTGGTGTAGCCCAAGGTTCGCAAAAGAATGTAAACCAAAAAGGAGAGTCGGTGATCAACCGACTCTGTACCAGCTGTCTCAGGGATGAGAAGCTTGTTCAGTGGCTCATGGCTTGAAGATAGGGAGTGTTAATAAAGTGGAAGGGAGGGGTTAAACTTACGAGTTTCTGTAGAGCTTCAAGATCATGTATAAAATGTCGAAGATGTCGGTAGATGGGAAGATATCCTTCATACCTTCGGGAATTCGCTGCTGGAGCTTCAGAGGCACAGGATAAGCGCAGTGGCCAGATGTAAACGCTTCTTCATACAAATCAATGGCGTCAATAAGATCATTTTCATTCGTCGAGCAGTGCCACAAGAAGAAACCAAAAGCGCGCCGCCAATCAAGATCGCTCAAGACATTCACTTCTCCTTCCGTCTTGACATTTTTCGGCCTACCAGCTAGGATTTGGTAGATCATGTAAATATCCTCGTCGATGGTCGTGTCGATTCTATTCTCCTTCCACTCGGCGAGCTGTTGGGTGAGCATTTGCTGGACTCGGTCACTTCCGGCGAGGGGGATCAGAAGAGAGAGTTGGAAGAGTCCGTTTTTCTGAGCGACGGAAATAGCTTCTTGGACCTGGTTTCCGCTGAGGAGGTATCGAATTCGCTTTGGTGCTGAAGAAACGTCTTCAGAAACACTAGCAATTGTTTGGGAAACGCAGTTGGCGAGCCAGTCCGACAGCTGTTTTCTTCGTTCCCGGATTTTAAGCGCTTTGATATCTTTGCAAGTCAAATCGTTCCAGAGAGCAGTGATGAGAGACACGATATCGTATTGGATACTGTTGAAAGTGGAGGTTTGAGCGTCGACAGATTCTTTCGCCAAGGCGAGGAGAGAGGTCATCAGTGATTGAGCCCTGCTCTCATCAAACTGCAATTGTCTGGCTACAAATTCGTAATCTTCGTAGTCTTCAAACTTGGCATGGTCGATAAAGCAGTGGATGATCTTTTTCTGGGAAATCTTCTCGTCTTCAGAGAGGCGAACCGTAAGAGCACCATTTCTCAGATTTGCCGGAAAACCAGCTACGGAGCCACGTGACTGGGTGAGAATTCTCGCGTCGTTTGCTTCCGGGCTGACTTTTTGACTGCAGCGCCTCCGTGAGCGTAGTTGGCCTTGTTGTCCCATCCGCATCGGAAAGTGTTTCCGTCGTTGACTTGTTTGTTGAGTTTCAACAGCGTTGCGACTTTTCGAGACCAAGTTTGTTCACCAAGTGGTGTTGCTCCAAGTTGGACACGGTGACGGCGTCTGGATGCGGTCCTTATGTCTCCAATTGTGGAAGTATTTAGGGTGGTCTCCTGGAACTGGGAGGGAGTCGGATCTGTCTTGCGGAGCTCTGGTCTTGGATTGAAAATAGAAATGCTCAGTGGATCGAAATTGAGAGAGGCATTCAACTTTGCATTAACGCTCTGATTCGCAACAAAAGAGTCGGAAGACTACAAAAAATATGAACAATGTACTGCAAACAACAAAACACAACCTTGGGGAGAACGGAGTGACTGAAACTGGTGATCGGCTCATTTTGCGTTGTCATTTCTTCGTCGTGGCCGAAGAATGAGAACTTCATGTCCTACAAAAGACCGTCAACACAATTTCAATGCAAAGTTTGTTGATTTTCAATTATATATTTTATTTCATGTATCTAGTTGAACAGAAAGGTTTCAAGTAGAGAGGATAACCTGAATTTTTTGACACCCGTTGATGGTGTTGGCTGTGGGGAGCTCGTTCACGTGCGATCTGTCGTGGCTAGTGATCATCTCGAATTCTTCTTCCTCGTCTTTTTGATCGATATCGCCACCGCCTGAACCAGAGTGTTATAAAATCTTACCTAATTTAATGTTTTCTACTTCGTTTAAATTATCTAGCTTATCCCGTATAATTAGAGATGTGATAACACCTTGTTACCCCATCTTATACAATCAAAAGACATTTATTTTGACTAAGATGATAATGAAGTTAATATTGATTGATCTTGTTGCCCATTTTTATGATATCGAAGCTGCTTTTGAAAAATTACTGAAGATTATATATTTGATTGATTAGTCAGAAAATTTGAAGGTTGATATCGGATCAAAATTGATGTAAATTTAATCCGTCTAATCTTCCACTTATCCGAGCTTAACAAGATAACCATTAATTTGCAATGCTAAAAGCCGCTTGTTCTCTATTACAGCCGGTCGAGTAATCGCGTCCTGGTTTGTTTGAATCTTACCTAATCCAACTGGCTCTTCATCAATCTTGAGCAGGCTTTTCTGCTTGATCTGAGCACCGATTCTCGGCAATGGAAGCTTCTCCGCAATCCCTGCTCCTTTCGGAGTTGGCTCGCATTCTTCGTCAGAGTCAGCAAGCTCATACTTGGAGAAATGCTTCACTGAAAACGACCAGGTTCCAGTTTCCAGATCGAAATCGAGGAATCGCGCACCCATCTTTTCCGTCGCTCGCTCTAACTTGGCTGGCCATCCCATTTGCTCCATTCGCTCTGGATCCTTGATCATTTCTTGCGTTTCCTTGTTTCTTGGGTAGGTATGGACCAAACTCACTTCTGCTTTCTGATTGAGTCCATTTCCTTGCGGTGGCTTGAGATGTTCCAGCTCTTCAGGGTAGACAACGACAGATTTTCGTTTGATCTCAACGATTTGATCCAAATCAAGCCCAGCAATGTTGATTCGTCCTGGCCAAAAGATCCGTCCATAATTTCGTCGAGTGACGGCAAAGTCCTTAACCCAGCATTCTCCGTTTTCATTCAGCCCAGGAATGTCAGCAAGCGGCGGGCTTGTTTCGTAGCCTGGCCGGTTGAGCTTGATGCCAGCTGGGTGAGGTTCGCTCTCAACGATCGAGTTCTCAATTTCAGAAGCGGGTGTTGTTCTGTTCGAGTCAAGGAAAGAAGATTCGTTGAGTCGCTCTTTGAAGTCTCGTCGAATCGAGTCCAGCGAGTTTTGTTCATTGCTCGCTTGTCCATTTCGTTCTGGAGAAGCAATGTACGTATCCAAGCCGTTGCTGCTAGTCAAATCAGAAGTCGCTGGCTCAAGATTGAGCGGAATGCGCCCAGTTCGAGGAGTAGCAGGAAGAGAGCTCACTGTTGTATCTGTCTCTTTGGTCTTGTTGAACAAGACGGAGTCGTTGCCTCGACGAGATGTGTTGACTTTCACGGTGAGTTTCTTCACGGACTTCTTGGGACGGAGCTGAGAGCTGTTCAATGAAGTGTCGGCTTCTTCCTCAAGTCCGATGAAAAGAGAGCGGTTGTTAGATCGTTGTTGCTATAAAAATAATGAGAGTATGATCAGATTGAAGAAGTCTTACCTGCGGCTTGAGAACAGATCTAGTTGGCTTAGTCGTCACTTTGTAAGCTGGTTGCAAAGCAGCTTTCTGCGCGATCGGTGAAACCGGCTGCAATTGCTCTTGCAATTTCGCTAGAAACAAATAGGTCAATGCGATCAGCTTCAAAAGTTTTTTTATTACCTTTGTCGACAATTGTATTTCTAAAAAGCGGCGAGTCTCCGTAAGGATTGGATATCAGCTGCTGCAGAGTTGCATCGATGTTAACCTGTGGCGCGGGTTGAGCAACTTGCGTGTTGTTGGCGTTGTTGGTCGTGTTGCTGCTGAATAACGAGCCGCCAGTATTGGTCGATCCGCCGAAGAGACCTCCGCTTGCAGGTTTGTTCGCCGTGTTACCAAAAAGTCCACCACCGCCGGTGTTGTTCGTGTTGCCGAAAAGGCCTCCTCCAGAGGTAGAGGTGGAAGTGTTGCCGAAGCTAAAGCTGTTGGTCGCGGCAGGCTTGTTGTTTGTGTTTCCAAACAAGCCGCCTCCCGATGAGGATGTGGTCGTGTTTCCAAAGAGACCGCCGCTGGCCGGCTTGTTAGCGTTGTTATTCCCGAACAGACCACCTCCGCTGGAATTATTGGTGTTATTGCCGAAGAGAGAGCCGCCAGTATTGCTGGTGCTTGTATTTCCGAAGAGGCTGCCACTGGCTGGTTTGTTTGCGTTGTTGTTTCCGAATAAACCGCCGCCTGAGTTGCTGTTCGAGTTGTTGTTGCCAAAGAGCGAGCCGCCCGTGTTGTTGCTGTTGCCGAAGGTAGACGTAGAGTTGTTATTGCCGAAGAGGCTGCCACCAGAGTTGGATGTATTGTTCGAATTGCCGAAGAGACCGCCGCTATTTCCAGAATTCGAGTTGTTGTTTCCAAAGAGACTTCCGCCAGTGTTGTTGGTGCTCGAGTTGTTGCCGAATCCAAACGAAGACTTGTTCTGATTGTTATTTCCAAATAAGCCCCCTCCACTGTTGCTGTTCGACGTGTTGTTTCCGAAAAGACCGCCGCCGGTGTTGGAAGTCGACTTGTTGCCGAATAATGAATTGCTGTTGTTGTTTCCAAATGAGCTCGTGCTGTTGCTGTTCCCGAATAAGCCGCCACCCGAGGAGGAATTCGTATTTGAAGAGGAACCAAAGAGGCTGCTTCCACCCCCGATCCGGACTAAAAAAGTCGTAAATACAGATTGAATATTCTTGTAGCTGAAAGTGCTAAAAACTTCAATCTTTGCTTCGTAATTATTGATTTCTAGTCATAAAACGTGCACGATAATGAAATTTAATTTGTGCACGTATCGATAAAAAAATATAAAGGAAGTAATTTTCTGCTCAATTTTCTTCAATTTTATTACCAATAAAATTATATAATTTTCTTGATAAAAAAATTTTACTAAAATATTCTTTACGTTTGTCGCTCCCGTAAAAACGAAAATAGGCGGATTCATTCTATTCTCTTTTTATTTTCATTTTCAAGCGCAATTTTGACGTGTGACTTATCACTAATTATTCGAACCCTACTATCTTTTCTTGGCTACTTTGAAGCTCAAGGTTCACTCAAGGTCAAAGGTATTTTTAGGATCTTTTAAAACTTACTTTTCTGTTGGACATGTAGTCTTCTATTCTAAGTTCTTCCAAGGATTTGTTTTGCGCGTGAGACATGGCAGAGTAGCAGAGCATTTTGATGTTTTGCGAGCCGCCCCGTGGATTTGTATCGGTAGACATTTTCGGCTAAAATTGTTTGAAAAAGAAAAAAGGAGAAAAAGAATAAGGCACCTCAAATTTTTGAGCAGTTCCATTGCCAGAGTTGCCAAAGCTGCTTCCAGAATTGCCAAAAAGGGAAGAACCACTGGATTGATTGTTGCTATTGCCGAATAGGCCACCGCCAGAGTTGTTCTGGTTGTTTGAACTGCCAAAAAGCGACGAGGAATTTTGGTTGTTGCTATTGTTTCCAAAAAGACTGGAAAAAAGGCCTCATAAAACTGTATTTTTGCCGAAAGATACCTGGATGATGATGATGTATTGTTGCCGCCGAAGAGGGATGTTCCACTGTTCGAATTGCTGTTTCCTCCGAAGGAGAAACTGTTAGAGGTGTTGTTTCCACCGCCAAACATTCCTCCACCTAGAACTGGATAAAAAAGCAAAAAATGTGTAACTCTTACCAGAATTATTCTGATTGTTTCCAAAAAGCGAGTTGCTCTTGTTCTGGTTATTTCCAAATAACGAGCTTCCGCCAGAATTGCCGAAGCCGCTGTTACTGTTTGACCCGAATCCCCCGCCTCCGAACATGATTTCTTTTGATTCTAGCAAGATTAAACTAAGAAGAAGAAATTTTGAAAGTCATAAGAAAATAAGAAATCTTGAAAAAGTTGGGTTGTAGAAAAATAGATCAGTAAAGAAACACTTTGTACAGAAAGAGGAGGATTTTGAGGGTGGATCATCAAAAGTTGATGGATTAAAAGGTCTTCATGAGTTGATTCGATTCTAAAGAGTCTGTGTTACGGAAGTCGTTTTGAAAATCTTACGTAGTTGAGACTCGAGGAGAAGTTTTCCTTGATGTTGGTTGAACAAAGCGGTTATTTTGGAACTGCTTCCGCATTGAGCAAGATCAAATGGGGTCTGATCCTTTGCATTCTTCATCTTCATACTCGCACCGGCTCTATTTGAAAATTACATAAGAAAGAGATAGTTGACGTACTCAAGTAAGGCGTGAACGAGAAGAATATTGCCCTGCTCAGTTGCGATGTGAAGAACGGAATTGAGTTCTTTTCCGAATTTGTGGTTCAAAGAAGTGTTTTTCTTTCGAGGATGGTCTTCTTTGTCCAGAATAGCATTTATAAGCAGCTTGGAGATTTCCACGTGGTTGCCGCTCACAGCTAAAAATCGCTCGAAGGAAAGAAGAATAAGTTTTTCGTACCCAAATATAGTGGTGTGAATCCTTTCTCATTTTGGCAATTAATACTAGAAAGTTTTTCAAACTTGCCACTATCCAGCAAGAGCGCAACCTGGCCAAGTCTGTGCTGGCCGCGGGGGCCAACCTCAGCCAGCAGCATTCTTTCCTCGTGGCTGAGCGCATCGAGAATCTTTTCTGCGGTCGATTTCGGAGCTGCTTTCTTAGGTTTCTTCTTCTGTTTTGGCTTTGCCGTCTCTGTTTTCTTAACCGGTGATGTTTTGTAAAGCTCCCAGGCACTGGATGTCTTCGAGCTCGGATAATCCGGACTGTCAGGACTCGCGAAGGACAAAATAATCGACATGCACTGCTGATCGCTTTCAGGGTCAGCGCTCAATGCAATTTCCGACTCTACGACACTACCCATTCGTAAATCAGCGACTTTCTGCCTGTAAACTGAATCCTTCTCCGCCAAGTTTTCGTGGTGCCCCAAAATGTGCTCGAGCTGTTTTCTCCAAAGACCAGAGCCAGAAGAAATGACGGAGAGGGAGCGTTTCGGATGAGGAAGAGTTCGTGTTGATGCTCGAGCTTTGAGAATTGGCGGGGCTTGGATGGATTTATTCGCGAATTTTGGGATGATTGGTGTGGGAGTGTCTCGAGTTGGCCGAGGAGTTTCTTCGTATTCTACGAGAGGAAGTGGACCAGTAGACCATCTAAGAACAAATAGCTTTTAGGAGAAGGCAAAAAAAGCTTGCAAGTAACCTGGGAAGTTGTTCAAATGGCAGCGTGGCTATCTCGCCTAACGATGAGTTTCTAGGGTCTAGGATCGACAAGTCCCACCCGACACCCGATCGAAAACCGACGTTTTTGTCGGGTTTTTGTTGGATTCTGCCTTCCCTACAAAAACCCGACGCTGAAATTGTGACGACCCTATAAAATCGGGTTTTTGTAGGGTCATTTTTCGGATTTTTGTAGGGTTTTTTCGTCGGGTTTCTCTTCGGATCTACTCATCAGTTTCTTCACAGACAGCTCCAAAAATTCTGTAAGCCAAAACTTATGTCCATTTTCGCATATTTGGATTCGTTATATTTGACTCAACTTCAGTGTCGTGAAAACCCAACGAGAACTCGACAAAAACCCGATAAAAGCCCGATAAAAACCCGAAAAATACCCGACAAAAACCCGAAAAATATCCTACGAAAACCCGATAAAAAACCCGACAAAAACCCGACGAAAACCCGACAAAAACCCGATCGGAAAATTCCGACTTCAAGAAAACCCGATGAAAACCCGATCCGGATTTCGAGGGCATTTGTCGATCCTAGTCTAGGGTCTAATCTCGGCGGAGAATCAAAATACACCCCACAAACAGCGCAAAACGTAACAAATGGGGGAAGTTCAGTGAAACAAATGACGCACTGGATTTTCTCTGCAGAAGCTAAAAATAATAATAAATGATGATTGGCCAAAATCCGGATTATTGAGTACCTAAGGGGACTCCGCACCAATCACAAATTCGTGCCTCTGGAGCGCAACGTCGCTCACAACCCGTGCAAATTTGCTCCATCGCAGCGGGATTCATTTTCGGCGGGATCGCTTGGCCAACCATGACCGGGATCGGAAATTTTTATCGCAAAATTGGCAATGGGTCGCTTCGGGAGCGGATTTTCGCGAGCACGCATCGCAAATCCTATCACCAGAGATTTCATCATACTGGCAGCTTTCTACCGCTCGTTCTGGAATTGACTCATCGCAGACTGGACAGTTCGACGCATCGAGTGGAATCAGCGAGGAGCATTTTAAACAGACACCCGTGCAGCCGGGATAGACCTTGTCAGGTTCGCATTCGTTGTAACGAGGAATTGGCTTCGAACATTGCGAGCAAAAACGCGCTTCTTCAGCGGACAAGGCGTACTCACATCCGCAGTAGAGGCATTTCGGCAGCTCTGGTTCCAGGGGCTCCTCGAAGAACATTGAATTCTGAGTTTCCTCGTTCCAGCCGCGCTCGGAAAATGTGATCGATTGGATCTCATGTTTCTTTGGATTCAATTGAGCTTCCACGATAGCGTCCGCGCATTTGTATCCTTCTACGTTCGAATAATCGTCTCCTTCTGGCTCTGATACAGTAAACACTCTTGTAACGACATTACTTTCTCTTCCTTTGGCATCAATTGCCATCGCCTTTATCGTGCGCTTTCCTGGAGTAAGCCAAAAGTACTTTTTGTAATGCACAGTTTGTCGCTGAGAAACTGTCATTTTTCTCACTCTCTTCGGCAGCTCAAACGAAGCAGGTCTTTCTTTATTAATTGTATAGAAGATATTACAGTCAGGACTTGGCGGGTCGATTTCAAAAAGACAGTCATGCGCAACGATCATTTTCTTCTGATTCAAAATCTTTGACGTGTCAACCGCCAGGATCATTGGCGAGGCCAACTGACCGGCGGACATTCTGAGAAATTAAATCAAAGAATTTAGGATTTTATTTAAATATTAAAAATATCTTGAACATAGAAAAATAAAAAGAGAAGATCAGAAGTAGAAAATATAGATCAATGATTTTGGAAGACATAGAGGATTACTCAGGAAGATGATTGGATTTTAACAACGATTCATTTTCAGAAGCCATCAAGGACTGAAGAGCGATTGCTCATTGGTCGTGAGCGAGTAGAGCTAACTGAGCCAGAGCGAGCGGATTTAGGCTTGTTTGACTTCTCGCTCACGGATGATCGAGAAGAAGTGGAAGATTTCTCGGATGCCGGCTTTGTTTGAGAATGACTAGATGGCGGTCGGGAATTGGGAGTTGGTGATTTCGAGTTACTTGTAGCTCCTCTTGGAGTTGATTTTGTGGAAGGAGTAGCTGCTTTTGAAGCTGACTTGGACGCTTTTGAGGAGACGAGTTCGGGTTCAAGAAGCTCGAGAAATTTTGTGTAGCGATATTTTCTCGCAATATCGCTTGGAAGTTCCCCGGCCTTGTTCTTTCGTTCTGTAGCTCCCTTTTGCAAGAGAAGGTCGACGAGATAGATACTTTCGGGGGATTCACCGGCCATGACTGCTAAGTGGAGGAAGGTGTTCTGGTCTTCAGTCGAGCGGTAAGTTATGGAAAAACTCTTAGTTTCGATAATTTGCTTGGCCGCTTCAAAGTGATAGTTGCTGACGGCGATGCTTAGCGCGGGCGTTCCATGCTCGTCCTTGATGTTCGGATCGGCACCGGCAGCGAGGCATTCTTCTACGCGTTCGAGGTTGCAGCGCTTCTTTTTCAGCTCGTTGAGAAGAATCCGTTCTTCGGCAGGGATTTCTTCTTTCTTCGTCTTTTGGGACTTTCTTGGTTCCTCAAAAGTTGTTGATCCAAAAGCGACTTTCTTCGGCACTTCTTTTCTCGGAACATATTTTCCTTTCGCATCACGTGCGATTGGGAAGGTCATCCTGACTTGAATCACATCTTCTTCATCGTGAATTTCAGCGCCGATGATCTTTTCAAGTCTGGGTTCTGAAATCGCTTCCCTAAACGCTTTGTTCTGTTGCGCATACGTCTTCAAATGCTGATTGATGTGGTCGATTTGCTGGTTCCATTTTCCGTTGCCTGGGGAAATTGCTGAAATTGCTTTTGAATTAGCCAGGGCGGTTGTTTGACGCTCCATTTTTTGGAAGATTTCGTCGGATTCCTTTTGAATGCGATGGCCTCCAGGGTAGAAGAGGCCGACGGTTTGCGTTGAGCCGTTTCTAGTGACGAGAGTAGGAACTGCCCTTGGAGTAGGTTGCATTGGCTTGGGACGAATGGGGAAGGGAACGGTTTCCCATGTTTCCTGAGCGCCAGGAAGAGCTCCACACCAATCGCAGTAACGCGAGTCGGGGTTGTTGACTCTTCCACAACCAGAGCAACGGATCAAATTGCCATTCAGCTTTGGTGGTGGTGGCAGATCATACTGGCTTGGACCGTAAGAAGCTTGGAACGAGTGTCAAGAGAAAATATCGTTTGGCGACTTACAGTTGAAATTAGCTTGAATTGGCCCGGTAGATGCATGCATCTTAGTTTCATTCATCACTCTTGTGTTGGCTAGGGTGAGTCCAGGAGCTTGATTTGTCGTTGGCAGTCGCTCACCCGTTGCGACTCGACGGAAGAGAACGTCGTTTCCAACAGTCCTAGTTGTATCCATCATCGTCCTGAAAGTTAAGCGTCATTTGAACTTTTTAAAGGTATCCTACCGGCTTGTTTGTAATCTTGATTCTCTCGACGCTTCGATGATTTCGTGCATCTCGTTATCTGAAGTTATTGCATCAGTGAATTTTTTAATATTAAATTTTAACTGATAAAAATTTGAGCCAAGATTATCAGAAAGACATCGACGATAACATACCAAAGTAGAGTTTTAACATATTTTTTATAGCACTTACTTTCATTATCTTCCTCGTCAGACTCTGACGGTGCCCACTGGACCACAAACTCCTTCGTGATAACATTAGATGATCGTCCTGATGACAAAACTGCGATCGCTTTAACTGCTCTCTTTCCTTGTCGTAACAAGATGCCGGTGCCATCGTATCGGTAGGTGCGCGTGTTGATCGTTCTGCTGACTCGTTCGGTCGGTCTACGTAGATGATAATAAACAATAATTTGATTTAAATTGTCACTTTGATCCGTCGGTCGTATAGAAGATATCAGCGTTGGGACTTGTCGGGCAAGTAAGGTCAATTACAGTATTCGAGTCAATAATGCCCTTCCCAAGCCATCTGCGCGGAGCAATGAGAGGAGCCGCTACTGATACGACCATCAGGTCTAAATCTTTGGGTAAGCTTTGTTTTAGAGAACTATTCGGAACATTTTTTTGAATCAGCAGAATCGCAGAATTAGAATAATTACAATTGTAAGTTGTAGGTATTTTAGAATCGAGTAGAAAGAGCGCGTTTGAATTTTTCGAATTTTTCAGAATAAAATTCTTGCAGAGTAAAATCAGGCGCGACAAGGGTCCCCTTGGGAGACATGGCTCTTTGCGCAGCTTTCAAAGAGTCGAAGGTTCCTCTGGCTGTGGCTCCGAGCATCGCAGCGCCGAGTAGGACTCCGTTGTCGGTGTCGACGACGACGACTGGTTTTCCAGTCACGTCAGCGTGGACGCGTTGAAATAACTTAAAAATTGTAAAAAGACAAGTCGTCAGGGGCTACAAACTGTTTGTTACGACTATCGACATTATAATTACACGGTAACGAGGTACACTAATTGACTTCTGACGTCATACCTTTGATCTAGCCAGTCGACCAGTTAAAACAAGTTCGTTGACAATCACCTCAGATTTATTCTCAATTTGCTCGATTATCATCCTCGTACCCATTGCCAGCCCTTGAATAATGGAAAGGAATAATTCTTCAGCTGCGGAATGAATTGCGAGATTATGAAAAGATCCACGTATAAGAGGATTTGCGAGGGGACTTCTATTGCCATGGAAATCTGGTATGCATAATACATCCGTAAGAGCCGGTAGATTCTGAGCCTTTGATTCTAGCTCAGCAAAGGTTGATTTTGTAAGATTCACGAGCCAATCGATAGTGGAACCTGCAGATGTCTGCCCCCCTTCAAGTAAGAATTCGCCAGGAAGAATTGCTGATTCATAGGGTCCCCAAACACCGGGCACGAACTTGCACTCTGGAATCAACATCATGTGACAGTTAGATGTCCCAGCAATCAAAGCGAGTCTACAACTTGAACTGGACGAATCAACACTAGCTTGGAGAACACCGAGAGCTCCAGAATGCGCATCGATAAGACTCGCGCTGACGGAAACGTTTTTATCCAACCCAGTCGATTTCGAAAACGCTTCAGAAATATGTCCAATTGCTTCGCCAGGGAGCTTCACAACCCCCTGCGTTTTACTTTTCAAATCTTCCAGCCCAAAGTCTACCAAGAGCTTTTCTTCCCAATCTTGCATCTCCGCAAGCCAGCCCCATTTACAGACAAGCGTGCAGACCGAGCGAGCTTGAACCAAACTAGCTTTGAAGGACAAAAAATCAGCAAGATCAAACACATGTTTCGTTTTTTCCCAAGTTGTAGGGAGCTTTTCTTTGACCCATTTTAACTTGGGGAGCTCCATTTCTGGCGAAAAGCGGCCGCCAACGAAATCATGCGCTTTAGCTTCCAGATCATTTAGCTTGGAAGTTTCATTTTCCGCTCTATGATCCATCCAAACAATTATGTCCTCTTCGGAATCAGGATCATCTGGATGAACAGAAACACCATCAAAGTTTTCATCGAGGAATACAAGACTACACGTCGCAGCAAATCCGATTCCAGTCACATTCAGAGAAGCGGAGGAAAGAGTTTGTTTTATGACACTTTCGATATTTGCCATAATATCTTTCGTCGATTGTTGATAAAACTGTGGAGCGGGCGATGAAATGCGAATCGGAGACGTAAAAGCCTCTCCGTGTTGTTTGCCCGTCATGTCAAATGCGGCGCATCTAACAGAGCCCGTGCCGACGTCTACGCCGAGTGAGACTTCTACACCGGACATTCTAGTCGAATAATTACAGTGGACGATTCAGATTCAATCACGATTCATTTTTATGACGAATGAAACAAAACGGCAGTAGATAGTTTAAAAGGTATTTGAACATGTAAAGTAGACATAGAATTAAACTAAAAGGCGAATCGTGTTCTAATATCTTCCAGCTTTTTCGAAACTTCCGCAAGTTGTCGATCCATTTCCTAAAGTCTGTGGTGAAAAGAGAGCTAGAAAATGTCTGCCTGACCTCCGCAATTCCTTTCTGTTGATCTTGGCCGAGAAGCGAGAATGCTTCGCACAAATCACCATCAACGACGCTCTTCTGGGGATAGTAATATCCTCGGAATGCCAGATGATCACGTCCAGTCTTTTTTGGGTTCGTTTTACTGTTTCAAAAGATCAAACTTTAGACCGCAACAAGACAATCAACAGGAAATGAGCCCGTGCCAAAAATAAGTGTTCCTGTCTCATGTGCATCTCCAGATTTTGGAAAAAGTCCGCATCTTCGTTACTTGCGAAGGGCACTAGAATTCCAATTCTTCCTGACATCGTTGCGTACACGATGCACTCACCACCACCCGGAATCAAGATTGTTTTCTGTGGAATATTAAGCAATCGATGAAACGAAAAAAAAAAACAAACCTGAATAGAAGTAATCATGTCTCCCACAAAGAAGTTGTTGATAGTTTCCGCCTTCTGCGACGCACCGTTCAAGTTTCCTCTCGACCAGAGAGCCTTTGCTCCACTGGGATCGTCCTAAACCCTCTTTATCAAATGCAAGAAGCGACGTGAAAAGCACCTGTGTATCTTCGTTCGTCTCTGATGGCAGTCGAATGACGGAAACACTTCCAAATTTATCGGCAATGACTACAGTCGAATAATCCAGCATACACGCTGCTGTCACCCATCTAAAAATGATGAGCATTTGTATTGAACTCTTTTCTGCTACCTTGGATAAGTATCGTCAGCGAAGATTGTGAGCTGATTTTCTTTTATTCTGTATTTGATGAAAAACGCCGATTCTTGCTGATCAAATGCAATAATTCTCTGTCCGGCAGTAATAATCTTTGTCACTCTGTACGGAATCGATCGGAGCTCGCACTTTCGGAGCATTTTCTTCTTTCCAAGGTCGTAGATTCGAAGCAAGTTTCCGACGCCGATGAGAACACGGCCCTAAAGATTAGGATTTTCCTCCTTGATTTCAACTTTCAGAGTGCCCCTTTTAACAATTTTTGTGTCCTAAATTTTACCTGGAAGGGTGTGATCGCAGTTGGAGCATCCTCAGTGTAAGTTGTGTGAAGGTATTCAAATCGCTCACCAGCGTGTATTCGGTAAACATGAAGTGATCCTCCTTGGCTCTGGCGAGGGTTCAAAATCAACGAGTTACTAGTTCCAACAAGCAAGTACCAATCGATCATACCAACAGACTGGAACTTTGTCAAGCACATCGAGTGGATTCCCTGTCCTTGCTCAAGCCACACGTGATGAAGAGTACCTCCTGTTTCTGGCGAAATGATGGAAATTTTACTAGCCCACATGCCCATGCCAGCTCGTGGTGAGCCGAAGTCGGACTCTGGCAACTCCTCTTTGAGAAAAGCAGCGGCCATTTCAGCGGCCAAAGCTCGTTCTTCTGGCGCTGCCGAAGCAACAGTTTCTTCAGCGATAGCATTCTTGCGCTGCTTTTTCGTCTCTTCAGTGAAAGCGTTGTGATCAGACTCGGCAATGACTAGATTCGCCGTGTCAGGATGAATGACAAACTTTCTCGGGGTCAATTGAAGTGGATTGCGCACTTGGTTGAAGACAGCACCGAGTTTTTCGAGAGCGAGAATACGGAGAGTGTTACCGGCGATGGCGACGATTCCTTCTGGACACTGCTCGCTGCTGAAGCCAGTTGCGCTGTCAAGAGCTTCGTAGGATAGTGGAGTCAAGTGGAATCGCTGCTGATGTCTGTAGGAGAGCCAAGAACGCGAAGATACAGCGAGGACGGAGTTTTCGCCTTCGGTCATTACTTTGTAGAGCTTGACTGCCTTTGTTCCGAGATATCTGGTTCGAGTATCTGAAATTTCACCGGTGACAGAATCAATCGTGGTTCGCAGGAGAACTCCATTTTGAAGGCCGATTTGAAGGACATACTGGCCCTTGTGCTCTGTAATGGCCACATCCTGCGGAACAGTTGGAAGGGCTTGCATAGTTCTCGGCTGTAGGCAATCGGATGGGTCTAAAGAAATGATCCTCACAGTTCCATCAGAAAGGCCGACGGCTAAAAATCGACATCGCTGCTCGCCAGAAGGAACGTCTCCGACGTCGAGGGCGACAATTTCACTGCCAAACTCTCTTCGCTCAGTGTATTCGTTGAGCTGACCCGTGGGATCCATCTCGAAGTATACGATTTCTCCACCAGTTAGGGCGATAACAACTTGCTGGCGATTGCAGGCGCATCGGACAATCTGCTTGCGATCAGGTGCTCTCCACTCGTTAACGCGTCGATCTGATCTAATGTGGCGAATGCCTTCTGGATAGATTTGGACCAGAGCATCTTCGCCCATCAAACCAGTAGACAAAGTAGGCGTGGTTCCGAGAAAGCCGGAATCGGTGATTTCCTCGACTGTTTCACCAATGGAAAGTACAAGAGTAGCATTGACGAAGGAAACGATGATATAGGAATCATGATCAGCATCGGCCGAGGTTTTGACCGTCCAAACAGCGTTGGGATTCCCCGGAAGTTCGGAAACGGCCATTTCGGATACTTCCAGACCGTGTCGGAGGACTCGTAAAGTCGAGCGAGGTCCGCGTCCGCAAGTGACGTACAACTGTGGCGTATCTTCATTCGCCAAATCTGCGACTTCGCAATTAAGAACGGGCGATAACGAATCCATTTCGTCGGTGAGAGCGAGGTTTCGAAGCCCACGAGGAGTGAAGAAGAAAGTTTCCCCCTCTTCAAGAGGTTCTGCTGATGAAAACTCAGGCTCATCGTCATCCTCCCCGAGTCGAGTGATCTGGTAAAGATTGTGATTGCCAAACTCCCCGGCGACAAAGAGGAAACCAGTTCGAAGGACACAAAGAGACGAAGCAACAGGGACAGTATCGAAGTACTTCAAACGCATTTCTGTGACAATGTCTTCTTCGGTTTCAAGCGTAACCTTGAAAATGTCACCCTGCTCGGTCTGGAGCAAGAAGAAAAACATAGATCTGGTCTTGTGAGTCGCGTGGGCAACGATGATCATTCCTCGCTCAGGATCGTCCAGATCATTTCGTCTTCGTGGAATGGGAAAGCGAATGTCTGGCTGATCGCCAAAGTTCTTGTAGATCAAATAGTTTTCCGCGCAGACGATGACTCCGCCAGGACCATCAGAACCGCCAGGAACTGGGATGAGCATATTGGCAGCACATTCGAGCGGATCTGTGTACTTTCTGACCACGTGATTCAATCCAAGATCGAGCTCGTAAAAGGTGAGGGATTGTTTCGCTTCTTGAGCAGCTTCGCCGGTTGGATCTGCATCGGCATCTTCGTAGTCGAGTTCGATAACGGCAAAGACGGGATTTTCGAATCCAACGTCGAGTCCGACTGGGTAAAAGTGAATCGTGGAGCTTTTGTGAGCTTCAAGAGGGGACGAGATCGTTAGTCGAGCTTGCGCATCTCTGTTGAGGATGTAGACGAGTTTCTGTTTTTCACAGGCAGCGATCATAATTGCCCGACCCTTGGGATCATGAGCAAGGAACTGACCGGGCACGATTCGGCGACTCATCGACTTGCCGAAAGTCTCGCAATGAACTCGGTCGAGCGAGCCTTTTTCAGGGTTGTATTCGAGAATGCTGATTCTGCCGGAGTCGGAGCCGAGGACGATGTAATCCTTTGTACCACCAGTAAGACGGAAGGAGATCATGGATCGAATAAGTGAGAAACATTCCCGAGAGCAGATTGTGTGGACTTTTCCGGTATTCGGATCCGGCTGAAAAAAAATGAGATTGAGTGGGGATTAGCCTACAATTTTATATACCTTGATGATTTCCAACAGAGTACCGCGGGCGACGGCAATTTCCTGCTGCTTCTGCCCCGAGTAGTTTCCATGGACGGCATGGGTTATATTCGTAGATTTCTGTAGCGTCAAGTTATACAGATGCATGATGCATAGATCAACGTACCGGCTAAATCAAATTTTATCTTTATTTGATTTTATGATTCTAGGGAAGCGATTCTTTTTTTCACGCCTTATTTTAGGGTGCTCCTAAAGCGTTTTTTTGTTGCTCCAATCGACTGTCTAAAAGGGCCGAGGTCAGGTTATCCGTTTCAGTTGTCACTGACAGTAACTGGCAGAGTTTTGAGCAAAAAATGAGGAATGAAAGATACAGTAACTACTGCAGGGACATTGTTGTGTCATCAAGGCTCATCGCCGACTTTTCCAATCCAATTCGCTGAAGTACGTTGTTGCCTTTTTTCGCTTTCATGGAAGTGTTTTTCTTAAAAGAAGGTAAGTTCTCACACTTTTCAAGAAACCCCTTAGATCAAATTTTCTTATCCGAGCTAGTATCCTCCTTATCCGAGGCCGGCTGGAGCTTATTTGTAATTTCGAGGGGTCGATAGTACTGGTCGTTGCACCTTGCGGAAATTGCGAATTGTCGCAAGCTGCTGGGGTGCGCTCGTAGGGTGGTGCTAGGTGCGCTAGGGTGCACTTACGCTCAGAGATTATAAAAAGAGTCACGGCGACTTTTGTCGTCATAAACACACATAAATCGTAACAACGAGACAAAAATAACACACTCAGAGACCGAAAAAATAGAAAGTGAAAAACATGATTCCTAAAATTGATGCTCAAGTTTTAGTCATCATTATTCTCGGGGTTTTGCTTATCATCACAATGGGACTTCTCGTATTCACCCTTTGGCAAGCAAACATCCTAATCGACAAGGAAAAGAAAGAGAAGATCACGAAGCGAGGCCGCGAATACAAATACAGACTGCGTCGATCTTTAGAGAGCAACTTTGGCAACTACATCAGAACCGTCCCATCAGAAAACATCGTCAGAGATCCGAGCAGTCTGTACTCCAGTCGCTGCGACACCTCTTGGTCTCACGAAGATGACCCGATCGACGCAAGAATCGAGAGATTTTCGAAGCACTCGCCGGACATGAGCTCTTTTTACGCCGACAAATGGACCGTTGTATGATTATTACGGTATAAAACTGCCAATCTGTACAAATTTGATGTAAAAATAAACAAACAGCAAGTACCAACCTCGTTAGTTTGATTTCCCCGAGCAGCGTGCCAGGCGGCCTCGATTTCTCCTCTCGTAGGAACGAGTAATGTAGGTGCCCGCCTAATCATTCTAGGACGCGGGAAATTATGATTACTGAACACAATTAATCAAAATGAAATAGAAACACTTATGAGTGTAAGGAAAAATAGATGGTTTTATTGGTTATAAAAAGAAAATGGAGTGGATTCGACTCTTTTGAGTCATCTTCATATTCGTGCTTCCTAAGCAGTCGCCGCTGGAGTCTAAAATTGCTTCTTAGAAAAAGACAGGAAAAAGGGATGAAAAGACTTACCGATTGGGCGCGGGCGTGCTGTCTCAAAGCATTGGCAAGCCATTCAATGGGGTCGCTGGGCTGCACCTGCACGAGTTCGGAGAGAAGATCGGTCAGAACATCACCAAGCTGCTCCTTGACGTAAGCGCTGTCCAAGCCAGTGTTAGCTGTCTCAGTCATCTTTGGTTTTATTTCAGTCTGAAAGAGAGGCTTTTGTGAGCAGCGAATGGATGAATTTGAAAAGTGCGAAAATACGAGAATTGAGAATTGCAAAGTCTGAAGAAAGGACAATGGGTTTCCGAAGCAAACGATTTTTTTTAGAAATAAAGAGCTAGTCAATATGGCGCTTGACTATGCTTTTGATGATGTACAATGCGCTTTTGAGGTGCAAAAAGAAAGAGCTTTTTGAGGAGACAACAATCTTGAGTCTCTGAGAAGTATTTTGCCTGAATTTATTATTCATACGGACACAACTTATGAATTTTAGATCAGTAGTTACCCTCGCCGATTCAAAGTTATCTCTAAGAACAAAACTAATACTCAAAAGTCGTAAAAACAACATCTTTCTTTTCGCACCATTCCTGTCAATTTGTTCACTGGTTCCGGTGACCTGAATGAGTCTTTGACCATCCTGCTCCGGGCCGTATTTTATCAGCGTGTTTGTCCCTTTTCGAATCTCTTCTATCCTTGCCCCTGCGTTGCCGACAATATAGATGAAGTACTTCGAAGGGAGTGTAAATTTCTTGATCCAAACTTGATCCCTTCCAAATTTGTCTCTGACTGGCTGTGGGGCAGATATTTGGACGGGCTTGCTTGATTGTTGTTGATTGTCTCGGACTCGCTGGTCGCGTAAAAGATTGTCGTTCATATAGCTGCCTCCGAAGCCGCCGTATTCTGAGTTGTTCCAGCGGTCGGGATTGTAAGGCTGGAAATATGTCATTGCGATGGTAAAGAAAGAGCTTTTGATACCTTGGCATTGCTTTCGTCAACGTTAGATTCATGAATCGTATCGAGAATGTACCCAGATGAGCTTCCCTTGGCATTTGGAGATCCTCCAATGATGATCAATCGATCTACAGATGGAAGAGACAGTTCAATATCGCTACAGATAAGTAAAAGTACCTGTGGAAAATGGGCAATTCATGGGCATAATTCTGATATCAGCGTTCCATTCACTTTTGCAATAGCTTTCAAGATCATCTGGCAGTACGGATAGGGCTATTTCGGAGACCATCAAACGAATTGGAATGTTTTTTCGCAAGAACTCGTCTAGTTGCTCTGCACATCTTCCAATCACTTTCCCTCCTAATAATTAGTAATAAGCATCATTCCGTGGCTCTGTCATTTAATTACCGAGATGATAGTTTTGCGTTCTGATTGTGAGAATTCTTTCCGGACTATTCGAATCTGGAATCATCACTGAGCAACCGTATTCTTCCCTGAGTTGCTTTATCGTGCTCCCGCCAATGCCAATCACACTGCCAGCCGTTTTAGCTGGTATCAACACTCGACTCACCACTTTCCAGTTCATTTTTTGGAAATCAGCTGAGCCGCGAGTTTGATTGTTTCTTCTGTCACCCTGAACTCATTTTTAACCGCAAATATTGCTCTGAAAAATTACCTGTCTCGGAGAACCGTTTGGACTTTCTGGTCGCTCAGGCTCGATGTCCATATCATCCGGGCTTTTACGAGGGTCATCTCTGTAGTTTGTCCTCTGTTCATCATAACTCGGTGATCTCCTCGAACTTCTCCTAGGATCCCTCGGATCTTCAGGTTCTCGCGAATGATGTCTTGAATCTTCATCTGGATATGATAATCGTCCCTCATCATTTTTGTAATCGTCATTTTGCTCTCTGTCCGACATGTTTTGACTGAAAATAAATCGTTCTAACAAGTTCTAGAAAGAAAATAATGAAGAAGAAATGTTGAATTTATGGAACAGCAAGTTTAAAGCCAGTTTTCGCCGCGATATCTTCGGGTGTTTCCTGACCAGTAACAATATTAATCGGGTGAAATTGCGGGGAGATTTCTAGTGCTTGGGCACCATCTTCTCGAAGCTTTTCTGCTGTTGTTTTGATGTCCAATGAAATGTTTTTCTCCTCGCATAGAGCTTTCATCGTGCTTATTTGCTCCAACTCAGCTTCTTTTAAAGATTCCACATGCGCCTAAACAGAAATTTAATCAGTTCGAAAGCGCTCAAAAGTACCTTTAATCTGGCAAGTTTCCAGCGAGACTGGCTCATCAGATGTTCATCAATCGTATACCACGGATTCAAGTGTGCAAAGCAAACACACATGGTCGGAAGAAGGCAAATTAAAACTGTTCTGAACATTGCCGACTGCACCGCGCGCAAATATTTCTTCAGCCTCAGCGTCGTAAAACTGATTCCTCCCTTCTTTACATTACTCGGTACTTCTTTTATCGCTTGCTCGATTTCTGAAGACAACAATGATAATCTGCTGCTGTTGAAAAATTCTTACCATATCCGGCTTTGCTATTCTTTGGAAGTCTTCTGTGCCACGGAAGCTTGAAGGGTTTCTTCTCTGGTTCCAGTATTTCTTTTCGGAAAAGCCCGGAGAAAATATTATTTTCTAGTTTTGGCTTTGTCGAGGCCAGGGTCAAGTCTTCTTGAAAGTTCTGTTTGACCCATTTGTCCGATACCGATTTGAATCGTCGACTGACTGTGACACGCAACATTTTCTGATCCAAAAACTTGTTGTATTTCTTTCAAATTAGAGAATTTATGAATCATTTGGTTAGATAGAGCAGTGTTATGCATATGCAATACAGGTAATTATGTTCAATGAAAAACGGGGGACTGTAAAAGTGGCAGTAGACGGTCAATTTTTACTAAGAAAGTGAAAGAATAGGAATAGAAGACATGTTACTTGTTTTGCTCATTAATCGCTTTTTCCAACTCGGCGCGGCGGGTTTGAATCTTATTGTAGAAATATCGCATGACAGCCTAATCGATTTCGTTAGGGATAGGGAGAAGGAGAGCGAACAAACCTCATTGACCCATTCTTCTTTGAAGGTTTCGCTTTTGCGTTCGTTGTCTGGATTACCCGCCATGTCCTGCATTCCTAAAAAGAAGGATTATTCAATCTAGCCTTGACCAAATGACCAACCTCTAAGATCCTTAGATTGAGAAGCAATCCAGTCAGTAATGAACTCCTGTGGGTTGTTTGAAAATCCAATGTAAAAGTCTCGCGCAACGCGAAGCTCTTTGATCATTTCAATATTTTGGAGAATCTTTCGATCTTGCGTTTGAATTTCATTCTGAAAAAAATGTCGTCATTTGTTCTAAAAATGGATAAAACTACCGCTGTAGCTGTGTCTCGAAGGAAGTTGGACTGGACTTGACGAAGCGGATCGTCGATTTCCACCTCGATGTCGTAACAAGTCGTCTTGTTTCTTGTCGATTCGTTCGGATCGCAGCTGATTTTGTGGTGAATAGCGATCGGGTCAGGGGGTGAAAGGAGAGGATGCAATCGGCCGGGAATATCGGCGAAGCGGATCTTTTCAGTGTTGAAAATTTGGCGCAAGTACTGGTCCAAGTTGATCCAGATTCGATCATTTGGATCCTGAAAGCGAGGCTTTTCAATTGTAATTTTTAAGAATGTACCTGGAGCTTGTTTGTCTTGATATATTGCCACAGAGCATGAACAATGACGCTTCTTGTTGCCGTGTGGATTCCCAGAAGCCTTGCGAGTCGCATGTCGAGCTACAGTAATGTATAAATTGACTGAAAATAAAGTAATTTCATCTTCAAACCTTGAATTGAGCTGGCTCGTGATTGAGCATAAACATCATCGTGCATTTTACATCCTGGTCTCCTAAAAACACATGATTCTTTGAAATGCTGTTCGAGTTTTACCTTGTCTTTTGACTTGAAAACCATCGGTCTCCTGAGTATTCGACTGTCTGTGCCACTCGACCAAATGATTATCGGGGCCGTAGATGTCTTTGTCGAGCTCAATGACGAGCGATTTGAAGAACGTCGAGAACTTTCGCTTGACTTTACCAGATGCTGCTTCTGGATTCTTATTGCTTGTCAACGCCTCTGGCTCTGAAAGGGAAAGATAGAGAGAAGAGCACTTTATTGATGGTTTACCAAGAAGTCGGCCTTCTACTCGAAGCTCCCAAGAACCAGTTTGGTGGTTCTGATCCGCTGGATTTGCGGGAGAGAAGGAATTGGTGATGAACAATCGAAGCTTCTTCTTGATCTTCTGTGGCCGTTTCAACGCTTCTTGCATTTCTAGTCGCTTTCGCATGATAGTGTAGTCTACTCGCCGCTCGAGATGAAGAAGATCAGCGTAAGCTACAATTTTTGAGAGGATGTTTTCTTGCGAAAAAAAGAACCTTGGCTCTCGGGGACGAGATCTCTAACACTAGGTGGTAAAACACGGTCACCAGGCTTTTTCTGCTTCATCGGCTTGATCTTTTGGTTTTCGTTCATGATTCCTTGCGGCGCTGGCCTTTTCACTGGTTGCTGAGGTCGGGAAGGCTGAGCGGGACGAACTGGGGGACGATAACCGACCGGGGGTCCTCCTCGCCACTGACCGGGTGGTCCTGATGGAGGACCGCCAAAACCAGGTGGTCCGGTCATTCCTGGACGAACCATCCCTTGAAAGTTCATTCTAAAAGAGGAAAAAGGGCTGGTTAGAAGAGAAAAATTTCATTATGAAAATATTTGTCGAACATTTTTAAATAAAAAAAATAGAGATTTCTGTAGTGAAAGAAAAAAATTGAGAGAAAAAGGTTGAAAAACTAGAGCTGAAATTCGTCGAGATCAGAATACTGCGCCTTGAGCTCCGCCGGACTGAGGCCGAAATCGAGCAAAAGCGAGCCATATTTCTTGAGATAGTCGAGCCCGTCGTCTTCCCACTCGACTTTGAGGGCGGAAATCTTGTGCGAGAGGTCCATGAAGGCATTGTGAAGGACACTTTGGTAGTTTGCTTCCAAGCTTTCGATTTTGGTCGTCAAGTTTTTGATCTTTTCGTTTTTCTCGTTCATCGCTTGCTAAATCATTTAGAATCGAATTCGCACAGGAAAGGAAATTACCTCGTGGGCTGATTTGGACTCAGAAAGATTCGTCTCCAAATGCTCGATTCTTCGCATCAACGAATTTATCTGCGATTGGTACTCTCCCTCTTCTGTGACTCTTTTTAGCGTTTCTTGCTTCAAGGAGCGCTGGAAACTCTCTGCGACATCGGTCAGGTACTCTTGCTTCGTCACTTGCTTTGTTTCCTCTTCCGTCAGTTCTTGAGCCATCTTTTGCCGCTCTAAAATGACATTTTTCGAATGAATAAAAAGTACTTTTACTTACCATCTTGGGCCTTTCTGGCGAGAGAAATGTTTCTGGCGACTTCCATTTTGAGCATTTCATTCTCCAATTCTAGTTTTTTCAATTCCTGTTCTTTCGTTCCGCCAACTTCTTTCGTCTTGGACGTTTTCTTTCCTGCCTTCTTCTTTTTCGGTGGCATTTTCTTTTCTCGGAGGGTGGAGGTGGAGGAAAAGGGAAAAAACGCGCTTTTGAAAAATGGCGGAGCTCACCTTTTTCTTGATCCTTATTGGCTCCCGCGCCAGTTCGTTGCCCGAGAGAGAATTAACTCATCGACTGCAGCTCGACCATTTTTGGCGAAGGCGGGATTTCTCGAAGAAAATTACAATGCCGAAAGTTGGTATCATTGGTGCAGGAATAGCTCGAAATTTATGTTTTCTGTTTTTAATTTTTGATATAAATTTTTGTGATTGTGGGCCAATCAAAAGGCTTATCTGATTGAACAATAGTATTTAATATACAATAACAAACATACAATAATAATCTTATTGGCTTAAACTGAGTAGAAATTTTTTGAGCTAGAAAAAAGGCATCAGTGGACTAAGCGCAACCTACCGCTTGGCACGATATTGCCCGAAACACCATGTCCATCTCTACGAAAGCTCAAGCACCACGGGTGGTTGGATCAAGACCATGAAAACTCCATCCGGCGGTTTATTCGAAACAGGACCTCATTCAGTCAGAGTGGCGACGAATTTACAGTCTTCGGCTTATGCACTGTCTTTGATGACAGAACTTGGTCTAGGAAAGGTCCCGGCTTTTATACTTTTATACAAAAATCCATTCCGAAAACTTTCTTCTCAGAAAAAAGCCTTGGCAAGAAAACGACATCATTTTACGAACCGCAAAGGACCCCGCCGCTCGATTCCGCTTCGCCATGTTCGACGGCCAAGTCACCCGCCTTCCTTACTCTCTTCCCAGCGCGCTTTTGTTCAACAAGCTTACCTGGGCGGAGAAGGTGCAAATGGGCCTCGGCCTTTTCAAGAAGCAAAACCACCCGAGAGATGTGAGCTTGTACAATCTTATCAAAAAAACCTTCGGACAAAAACCAGCAGATTATTTTATGAACGGTTCGATTAATCCATCGTCTTCTTCGTTGATTTCAAAACGAAACGATTGAACCTCTGAAAGCGATTCGATGACTCGAGGAATCTATGCCACGAGTTCCAAAAACCTCACAGTTCCAAATACCCTGGCGGCGGTGGAGAAATACTTCATGACTGGCATTCCCGCTCTGAACATATTAAAATCAATTGGGAACACGGACTATACTTTTCCGGCCAAGCCGTTTTTGGAGCCTTATTTTTCGCAGCCGATGGACAGTGCGAAAAGTTCAAAGGCGAAAGTTTGGAGTTTGAAAAACGGACTCGAAGACATGATTCTCAAAATGAACGAAGAAATCGACCGTGCTGAAAATGCAACGGTTCATGTTAACACATCCGCGGAGCTGATCAGAAAAGAGGGAAAACATCTTACAATAGCGGATAGCAACGGCGAAGAAAAATCCTTCAACCAGATTTTCGCTACTTCGAGTCCCAAAATCCTCAGCACTCTTCTCCACCCTGACGACTTTCCCCAGGAGCTTTTTGAACTCCTAGAAGGATTTGAATCGACGAATGTTTATGTGACCCTGGTCGAGTTGAAAAATATGATCTTGCCGAAGAATCCTGGTTTTGGCTTCCTCGTGCCCAGTTGTGAGAATCCGGATATACTCGGCGTCATTTATGATTCTTGGGACGGGATGTAACTTATCATTAAGTTTGCTCAAGGCAAATCTAAAAAGTTTGATTTTATATTCTACTTTCTATCCTGTGATACAGTAATATGCCAGAGCACGACGGCAGAGGAGCCAGGTATACAATCATGTCTACTCGTCCTCAAAAAGAACTGCCTAATCTGGTGCAAGATGCATTAGGAGCAATTCTCGATGACTCTTTTCAAGTTTCTTGGACACATCAAGTTACTGGTAAGACCCTGGGCTCGGCAAACTGTGTTGAAAACCTGAGTCAGGTTCTGCAGAGCCGCGTTGCCTGACTAAGGTTTTCAACACAGTTTGCCGAGCCCAAGTAAGACCCTTTCAAGGGTGTCAAAAACGATCGAATAAAGGGGAAATCGTTGTTGACACCCTTAAGTCTCAGTTTTCTACATTTCTTTAGCCGATATTCCTCTGATGAACAAGTACCACCTCGAAAACTCCGAGAAAGTTCAACAACTCGCGCAAGAAAATGGCATCAAACTTTTAGGAAATACTTTTACAGGCGTTTCCGTTAATGATTGTATTTATTATTCAGCACTTGCTGCTCAAAATTATTCAAACTCTCTCGATTACAGGGAACGCTTTTCTCAATAAATATGTGTCTCTTGAATGAGTGTGTCGAATAGACTTTCCGAGCTAGTAGGCAGTTTACAGTTGCATTACAGTGATTGACGAAAATTCAACTGCCGACTACCTGGAGCTCGAAAAACGGAAAAATCAGTTTCTCTTTCTCTCTGTTTCTTATTTCTGAATGGCGAGGGGGAGACTCGTTCTCGCGTGAATAGCACCGGCAGCATATAAAAACGCAAAAGCTCAAATATGCCACAAAAGCAACGCAGTTCACCGTTCGGATATAAAACTGTGTTTCCTATTTAAACAGGCTCTCATTAAATTTTGTTTCGGCGCTCCTCTCACTCTTTCTCACACGCGAAATATTTGTCACACATTCTATCTCTTCTCACTTTCCAAAGGAAAAGGCCAATTCAGCATCGTTAGGAAATTAGTAGTTGTACGTAGTATCGTTTTATTATTATTTTCTGATTTATTCAGCAATAAATGCGCCATCTTGGGACCAATTTCGAAACATTCATAGACCATCTTTGAACCAGAATGCGGATTTCAAATGAATGATCTTGGATGGAGAATCTGTTTTATTCTGCCCGAAAAAGCATTTGCTTGAATTCTCGATACGATTAAGTTCCCGGAAAAGATCAACTCATTCAAGAGGAATCAAATGGTCGATTAAATATTTACATCATTGCATAAAATTCACGGTTATGCTCGATGAATAGAGATTCGGTTGCGTTTAATATATATTTAAAAGTATTACAAGGGTAGTACAATAGGTAAATTCTCATCGGAATGTTTGCAAGGCTAAAATAAGAAAGAATAAGAAAAGCAGGATTTATTTTCTGAGCGCGATTTCGGTCCATCTTCCGCTGATTTCATCAAGTTGTGATTTCAGGTGATCGTTTTTGATTCTTAGATCTTCGTTTTCCACCAACAAGGCTTCGTTTTTCGCAGACAGCTCTTTTATCAGTTCGTCCTTATTTGAAGCTGCTCTTTTTGAGGAAACAGAATATACCTTACATTTTAAAATAGCAACTATCGATATCTAATAATCTTAATTGCTTATCAGTAATTAATCTTATCAAACAATTGATCTCGCTAATGAACCTCATTAGCAGCAAAATCAGCTGCAGTTTTCTCCCACCTGCTCGATTTTGGCGGCGCACCAGATCCAGGCTAGCATAAATACGCGGATCAAAATCAGTTCACCATCAAATCCAATCATATCATCAAAAACCAACAATGATCGCCACTCAATCTTCTCAACTCTCCCTCTCCGAAATGGATGCCTTCTTCGCTCGCTCGCTGAAAAAGGTCGAAACTTCCCGAAAAACACGAAAAGCATCAACTTCTCTCCGACCGAAGACACGAAAATCCCATGCCGAAAAAAGAAAAGTTCAAAAAATCGAAGAGTATCGAATTCGACAAGATGTTTACAACAACAACTTTTCTTCTATTTCAACCCTCTTCAGGAGGATCCTTTCTATCGGCTGTGTTGATGAAGGAACTCCTGTATGAACATCTGTAACAAATATTTTGTAAATAAAAATATTAAATTTTACGAAAAGTTTTTCTGTTGCCTCTTCCTTTTGCATTTTGATCGTTGCTGACTCCAAGAATGCTCAATCATAATTCTCCTCCATCGCTCCAATCTACGGACCGTTCAAAGAGGAGACTTAAAAGATCTCTTACCGGAAGCCTCTTGCAAATCGTAAAAATTTTTCGCTGTGTTCGTAATAACTCGGCCCGTCTCCATCTTCCGGGAGCGTTCGAATGGCGAAATGAGCCGGCAGAACTGATCGGAAATAATCCATAAAGTCGTCGATCTCGCACTCGAAGATTTCGCTACGGTGGAATAGAAGCATCGAAGTGGTTAGCTTCATAAGCAGTTCTTGTGTGTCATCTGGTTTCAGGAGCAATAAATCGAGGATTCGCTTGGAAAATGCAAGGGGAAAGCGAGAAGTAAAGCAGGAAAGGAGCCACTGAGTAGCGTACATTCCTAGGTTGGGATCGGCAACCTGTGTAGAAAACATGAGTCAGGGCCTGACACAGGGTCCGAAAAATCTTTGATGAAAAGCTGCCTGGCAAAATTACCCCGGATTTCTGACACTGCAGCTTTTCATTGGTAATTTTCGGACCCTGAGTCAGGGCCTGACTCAGGTTTTCTACACAGGTTGCCGAGCCCAATTCCTGGTTCGATCATTTGATCATCCAGGTGTGTTTTTAATTTGCTGCTCTTGATTCGAACTGTTTCGGACAAAAAATGAAGCTGGCGTTTCAACCCTTCGCACTCGTTCAAATAGAGTAATCGCAAGCTACAAGTAAATGGATGGAGAAGTGAGTGATGAATTTACTTGAAACGCTTCATCAGTGACGCGAAAACGGCGAATGCGCGTTCTTCTGGCATCATGAGAACAATCGTGGCGGCGATAAAATTCGTACCCTGGCTGTAGCCGAGTTCGGGATCGTGCAAACTGTAAGCGGTTAGAATTCTGAAGAGCTCCATCTGTGCCTCGTCGCCTTTTGCGAATTTTGGGTGGCCGGGAAACGTCCGCGTTATGTCCGCTGCGATTTCCGACTGCCAGCTTGATTTCTTGCCCCTTAATCGCATGTATTCTTCCTGAAGCTTGAGCAATTCGAACTCCGACTCTGTTGCTATCGTCGGCCAAATTTCGGACCTCAAAATATTCGGAATTCCATTTTCTTCAATTTTCTCGTAAATCTCTTTCTGTAGTTTTTTCTCTTCTGAAGTTCGTTTTGACGGGTCTTTTGACCAGACGTTTTGCCAGAGGACCGAGTTCTTTGACCAAAAAACCAGATCTTCTGGGTTGATTTCTTCTTGTTCTCCGAAATCTTCCCCGTCGCCAGAGACGAACCAGAGCTCGACAGAAGAGGAATCGCCTTTCTATCATTTTTAGTTAAAAGTTTCTTTGTCAATTATAAATATTAAGGACCCCCCTCATCAAGAATTGCGAATTTGGGCTTCATAGGAGCAAGTTTTACTCCGAAGCTATCTTAGATACACCCTTAATCTCAATAGACACTTTTAGATCCAACCCTCGACTTCAATTTAAAGTCATCTTGACGAGGGGGGATAGTAGTATTATCCTTTTCGTTTTGCGCGTTCGCACTATTCTTCGGAAAACAAACATTGCTCGCGCGCATTCAATTTAAGTCGCACCTCTGCAAGAATGTGTTTGTATACTGATTTTACTCCCATGTTTCTCAATATGCTGAGTGCGCTACTCTGCTGAGCGCGTCGCTCTGCTGAGCGCGTGCATGTAAGCTCAGAATATTCAAGCGCTACGCAAGAGGCGCGCGCTTAGCATGGGCACGCGCTCAGCATGGGCACACGCTCTGCATTAAAGTGCGGCTTATTTCACAGAAGATTTTTTTAGATGATCGTCTCAGAATTTATTTGACCCCTAACCTAAATTCAATAGAATCAACTTTGAGAAATAGGTCTTTCAAATTTAAGCAGCCTAGAAAAAAATAACGGCGCTGTTTTATTGAGAAATTTTCCCTTATAAACAAATCCAACTTGCGATTTCAATCACACTAAAAATATGAAAAAAAATAAAAACTGATTAGAAGAGAGATCCATTATCGCCAATTACAATGAAGCCACGACTTCAAGATCACGACAAGAAATATTTTAAATGATTAAATGAATCGTAATCCTCTGCAATTTCACGATCATAGTCCGGCATTTATCAAAACTAAATGATAAAACTTATCAAACTAAATGATAAAATGAATCGAAATCCTGAAGAACTTGAACTTGTTAATCGGCATCATTGTCCGGCATCTTAAATTAGAAACGAAGTACTCGATAAAATCAATCAAAGTTTCCCTATTATTTTTTAAATAAAATGAATCGAAATCTTCAACAGTCTCTTTAAAAGTGATTAAATGAATCAAATTTTTCTGCGTGTTTATGATCAAGCAAGTTTTTTTGCACGATTTGATCAATCATTTTTTTATTCATAAAATGAACCAGTAAAATGAAAACTCGGATGATAGCCTTTCAGGTTTAATCATTTTAAAATTTTCTAAAATTCCTTATATGGTTCATAAAATGTCAAAACTTTATATTTTATTTTCTACTGAAATTTCTTCCTTCCACTAACATATTGTTAAAAATTGTTTCCATCTATGAAATTATACTGCAATAAAATAATTACCATCAAGATTGTATTTCTTAATATGCACGCATGAAAACTTGTAAAAACCTCAGCCAAAAAAAAGTGTCAAAAATAACACTTTTTAAGCGAAGAAAAGTTTCTTTTTTTTTTAATTCTTGATATCATTCCATTCCGTAAAATGGAAGAGACACGTGAGAGAATTCTTGCAGGGATTATTCTTTTTTTTGTTATCATTTTTAATCTCGGCCAACTTCGCTTAATAGCGGCAACTACCACTGCCGCTCCGACGCTCACGGAAGAACAGCTGAATGCAGGATGTGAAGCAATCATTTTGCCGAAAAATGAGACGGCTTATATCACCCCGGTAATCAAATCAAAAAATGCTTTTGCCGTTAATTTTTCTTAAGGAGAACCAAGCACTGAAAAAAATAATCGATTTTATCTTGTACGAAACCGAAATGGAACAACGATCAGCAACTTACATTCGAGATGCCTTCAAACAAGCTAAAAACAAGTATTACGGCAAAAAACAAAAAAAGACTAAGCGTGACGCCCATAATACGATCATCAGTTTCTATGAGCAAATGTATCGATACCACTGGGTCGATGGGCGGTCCTCAAGCGTCGATGGTTTGCTTGCATTACGTTTGACTGGAACTCTTCTACGAGTCATCGAGAAAGATGGACATCTGAATAAAAATGACGCTGGAGAAATCAGAAAAACACTCATCAAGAGAGCGACGAAAAAACTTCGAGCTGACCTTTTCGATCGATCCTGTGAGAAATACTGCTTCGTACTGAAAATTTTTGTTCTTAGCTAAGTTATTTTGATAATAAAGGAAACTCTTTAGATACCAATTTGAATTTTTATTTTTATGATTTTGGCAGGCTAATCGCGTAATTAGAATTTAGTGCCAGAGTCCGAGCAACATGGATTCTGTTGTCTTGAGGGTGGCCGTTCACACCCTTTGCTCCGAACGCTCAAATTTCAATATCCTAATCAATGCTTTTTTAAAATAAATGCATAAATAAGGGTCAACATAATTTTTTTTGGATAAAGCTTTATTGATGGAAAGTGACAGTTTTTGGCTGATCCCAGAGACCTGCGGAAAAGAGTTGTCCGATTTCACTCTCTGAAGTAATGACCATATCTGGGAGGTAAGAATCAGTATGAAACAGTACTCGTAGATTTTTCAGAATTTTGGTCCGATCTTTGCAGACATTTGATTCACAGTTATGTTCGAAAACTCGCGCAGGAATAGCAATCTTCAGAGATCCCCTATTTTTGCGAATAAGGAGTCGTCTTCGTGTGCCTTCATCCAATCTTTCTATTCTGTCAGAACGATCGACTGTGACATATATCGGACGAACAAAGTCAATGGGCGCCGAGAATAGAACACAGAAGCCAGATCTCTGTTTAAAAGAGAAATATCCTTTTTTGAGAAAGTCGCTTCTTATCAGCTGGACGAGTAAATGGTTTCGCAAACAATTCGGTTGCTTCTTGCATTTGGTAATAAAAAAATTATATGGAAAAATCTCTCTTTTCATTTCTTTCTTTTAAACAATTGAAGCGAATTTCTATTCAGCGCTATAATGAGTTTTTCACATGATGTCTTGAATTTTATTTAGATTATCTTGGCAGACAAAAAATTTTGATGAGGTGTTATTTTTCGCATGTGTTCTGCATAAAATGAAGCCTTCGGACAAATTTAGCATCACTCAGAGCTTTGAGAGAATGAATGACTTTAGCGCTCGAATAACTCTTCGAAGACTGGCCCAGACTTACACTGGAGTCAAAAAGGCATCAGACTACGGCTATGGAGAGTTAGTCGATCTCCTTAGAAATCGTATCGCTGTCTTGATAACACAGGATATCGCCAACGAGGAGTTCTACAACAAACGGTTTGATTCATATGTGAAACTCTGCAATTCGAGCAGAGATTTGGAATTTGACCTTCTGGCCGATGACCTGATCGGCCACTTTGAAGACGTGACAACAAAAGCAGGAACCTCCGTTGAGCGAGCTTTCTTGACATATTCTTATGTTATTTGTAAGTGCTCAGAATTTTTATCAATAAACCAATTTATTTAAGCTCTCGGATACAAAATCTGCCAACGATATGACGTCCCAACTTTTGAGAAGAAATCATTCATCGGAGGTCTCAAAAGACGTAGCTGTAGGGCGATGCAGGAGTTCTTCGAAATGGCTCAGATTTCGATTCAAGGTAGACGGTTAAAAAAATCCTTGGAAACTTATTATAAAATCAATTTAGAAAAATTTGGAGACCTTGCAATCACCCCAGACCTCCTCGCTGACCCCGAATTAGGATGGCTCAAAGCAGAAATTCCAAGTCCAGTCTACCTTCCAGGATACGAATCGGATACCGAAGATTCGTCCTAAATTTGAAAAAAACTGCTCATCAAAAAATGATTTATCAAATAAATACAGTAAAGCAAGGTTAAAAACAGAGGATGATTTATTTCAATGATGTTTTTGAGTGTAGCAGATCGGAAGTGAGGGTTGCAAATAAGGAGAATCACCAAATATATTTGACATGACTCTTAAGTTTTGATCTTTGAGTTTTATACTGCCATTTATAACAATATGGGCATGCACATCTTCAGGTCTTGATTTCATGTCCTTGACAGCTTCTTCTAACTCGCGCTCCACGCCATATTGTTTGCCGAAGACTTTGAAATGACTTTGATCGGCGTACATTCTTAGCAAGACAGTGATCTCAGTATTACGCCGATTTCCAGTCGTAAATTTCCCTTTTTCAAATGGGTTTTGAGTAATCAAGATGAGATTAAAATCAAATTTTCTTCTGTCGTTAGTAAAAGCTCTATTGATATCAGGTGAATTAACAGCGTCACTGAACTGATCATCAATCACGATGACGCTTCTTTTCGGAACATTTATGAAATCTGAAGTTGTAGGAAGCCCTTCTTGGTACTTTATAGTTATATCATCAGGCAACTTGTTGTCCCAATCGATCGGTAAATTATTGATGGCTCCAAAATAAAAAACATGTCTGATTTTTTTTGTAAAAAATTGATGTCGTATCAGCTTTTCAACAAATTTTGTTTTTCCAGTTCTGAAAATATTTTTAATTCTCGAAAAAAGATAAGAACTTTACCCGCTTGCGCCGATGACTTGAATAGATGCGGGGTGGTGAAATTTGATGTCGTCTATGACTCTGCCAGAGAGAGAACGCATTTTTTTGCTTCAGTGACGATAAGCTCGTGAGTAACACCGTTTTTAGGGAATTTCTTCGGCTCCGCACGAACCGCTTTAAAAAAGCAAATTCTGTTTCCAATGAGCCAAGAAAATTCTCCTGCAATTTCCGGTGAGAATTTTATCGAAATTTTATCTCCAGCTTTGTAGTTTTGGAGGGAATCGTTTGGACGTTTCAATATCTCTGTTATCTGACCGTCCAAAAAGAAATTTCTGTTCTTGTGGTAATAACTAGTTGCCGTAAGCTCCGCGAAGAATTCCATTGTGGCATTTCAAAACTCTATTCTGAATTTAATCCTGATTTGTGTAAATAAAAAGGCGTGAAAAAATAACTTCATGAATTCATCGGATTGCCTCGGCATAACTCATTCAGAATTATGCCACGAAGTGTTATTTTTCCACTCGCTGAGATAAAACGCCATTGCAAGGTCTACAAGACTGAAGAAGGAATATTTACTGGTAGGTTAGATATAAACTTTAGATAAATGTATGACTTTAAGGAAAACTTGAAAAAAAACTAAATGTCCAAGGGTACTTCGGAAACAATGACAAGAAAAGTCATAAAGCTTCGAAACTACTCAAAAAAGCGGGACGAAGACGAGAACAACGCCTTGGAGAAGGAAGCTCCTCGAGTAGCGCGTGGAAACGACCGCTCGCAAAGAGGTCGGACGAGGACGGGTATCCAGATGATCCAGAAAGCAAAAAGAAGCAAAAACTCACATGCGATGACAACAAGGAAGAGAAAATCGGACAAATCGCCCCTCCAAACAGCCCGGCAAGTCGAAAACAATTTGAATCAGGTGGAACCACCTCAGGAGCCCGATATTCGGATTCCGGATCAAGTGGAAGATCAGACAGCGAGAGCGACAGCAGCGGCTCCGACAGTGGCAGCGCAAGCTCCGGATCAAACTCCTCCTCAGAAGAAGATTAAACTTGACCAGCTTTACATTGATCCGAAACAGATCACTGCTTATTCAACTGATCTACAGCGTTATTTGCGTGAAAAAGAAACTCTATCTCGACATCGGCGTATCATTAGAAAATTTAAGCGTAGACGAACAGTTGTTTATGGCCCTTATACTCAAATTCAATCTGATACTATGTAAGCAAATTTCTCAATAAAAACTGAAAAAAAAAATTGTTTTAGTGATTACAGTATGTATGGTCGTCAAAATCGCGGATATAAATACATTTTAGTCGTGATTGATGTTTATAGCAGTAGAAACTGGGTAAAAGCTCAGAAAACACTTACTTCTGAGGAAACTGCGGCCTCATTGAAAGAAATAATTGAGTCGATGGAGCATATACCTTCGACTTTTTCGAGCGATGGTGGAAAAGAATACGCGCCGCGTGTCGAAGGCAAGCGTCAACTTCTCTAGTATCGATTATAAGTTGATTTTTTAAGGATTCATTAATAAAGTTCTCGTTGAACAATTTGGAATGGTCCAATACAAGCTCGGAGGACCTCACAAAGCTACGATGGCTGAGCGCTTCATGTAATATCAATATTTTTTCGTTAATAGATCTTTATTATATAGCCGAACTTTTAAAAAAATGATCCAACAGTTTATGGACGAAAATAGAACTAAAACTTGGATAAATGTCTATCTTCAATTAAGCGATAACATAAACAAACGGAAGCATAGCCGGCTTGGGATTGCCCCAATAGATATAACTATCGACAATTTTCGTGAATTTTACCATAAAAAATTTCCAAATGCAGAAACTAAAAACTTGATCTGTAAGTTTGGAGTTGGCGATAAGGTGCGAATTCCAATTATTATTGCGAGTCCAAAAGCAAAGCGAAAAGCAACATTTGAGAAAGGCTACATGATGAAATGGACAAAAGACCTCTACACGATTTGGAAAGTGCAAAAATCAGGCGACATTTGTTACTATCGTGTCGAAGGACCTCGTGGAAAACTTTTGCGACCTCTTTATGAGAATGAACTGAATCTTGTTCTCCGAAAAAGACCCTCATGAAAGATAGTTGAAGATGGTTTTTTTAAGAATGCGACTGATCCGTTTAAATTCTGACTCGGCAGATATTACAAATTTACCCGGAGAGAAGATGATTAAATGGTGGTTCAGACATCCTCTCCAGGGATCTTATGTATCAGTTATGAGCTACTGCTGCCGATCAAATGACGATCAGCTTGATTTTATGGACATTCGGTGCAATCTGATCAATCCATCGGTTTTTAATCCGGATAAAATACTTCTAACGATTCCAAACGGGGTTCAATTTGACTCGCCATCAGGAGCTGAGCAGTGGGATATGATAAGCGGAGGAGAATTTTATGTCTCGCTCAGGTGATATTTTTTAAAATAAATTCTTTTTAAAATAATATTCTAGGCTACCGAGTCATGTGACCTACATTTCGCTTGTTCTAAAGATCGATGAGTGATCATATTCAGATCATTCTCGATGATTTGTAAATTTACCCAGTGTAAATATTCGAACGTGTTAGATTTTAAATTTGTTTCTCTCATTATTCATAAAAATTGACTGAAGAGATGCCAAAGAAAGGGCTCTGGTAAGGGGAAATAAAAATTTATTGATAAAAATAAGCTTAGCCGTAAAATTCGATTTGTCCCAAAGAGGATCAGAGGCGCCGGAAAAAAAAGGAAATCAAAAAAGAAATCAGGAAAGAAGAGAAGATCAAATGGACGCCGAAAGGTCTGAAATAAGTTAATCGCTGATTCTTTAATTTATTTAGCGCTGAAGAGCTTTTGCACGGTCTCGCGAATTTTGGGGGAATTTTCTTTGCTGACGATTTAATCAAATTCACAATTCTTTCTTTTCCTGTTGGCTTTCTAATTCATACAAATGGAACGCATTGGATAAGTCTTATAGTAAAAAATGATGTTATCGAAATAATGGACCCTCTCGGCTACATAAAAAATAGTGCATACGAAAATCTCCACCTATTTCTCAAAACTGAGATGGGTGATCGAACTCTCATCACTTCCCCGAAAATTCAAATGAGAACTCATTCTAACTGTGGTCTTTTTGCCATCACTTTTCTTTTTTGGTCACTCGAATGTGAGAAATCATTGTTGTCTTTTATGAAATTATTCACAGAAAATGCAATTGAAAATACTGCGACAATTAAGAAACTCTTTTCGAAAATAAACTGAAAAAATAATATAATTTTATTTCTATTGGTTTGCAGATAAGCAGATACAGAATTTATTTGTTTTTTTGTGCGGCTTGGTAGTTGTTTGGTGCAAAGCTCTTGACCGAGATTTAAGCTTCCTTTAATACTTTGCTCTCCAAGAACTAAGGTTGCAAATATTGGTTGAACGAAATTTTAAGCCTAAAAAAAATTTTGATTTTTCGAAGGTGATTTTTGAGACTTACTTCTTCTTCAATACTTTGATATCCCAGAACAGCCTGCGTAGTGGTGCTGACTGTGAGCAGACATCGCATTTGATCTGAATTCATTCCTTCTTCAATATTTCGCTATCCAAGAACAGCCTTAATATCACTTACTTTTCTTTTTGTCATTTTCATTTTGATTTAGCAGCTGAACAGGATTTAAAGCCTTCAAAAATTGATTTTAAAGTTTTGTAAGTGATTTTCGAGACTAAAATACCTTCTTTAATACTTTGCTATCAAGGAACAGCCTGAATATCTCTTGTTTTCTTCTTAATTTCCTGATATAGTTCATGTTTGTTTCTGCTGGTTCGGATTTTTATCAGATGCTCCTTGCAGCAAAACTCGAAGGCGAAAAAATTCGCGTGAGAAAAACTCTGAAAGACAAAAATACCTTTAGAGCAGCATGAACATCGTGCTTATGCTGATTTGGGTTTTTATCACATACTCCTTGCATCAAAACTCGAAGGCGAAAAAATATTCGCGTGAGAAAAACTCTGAAGGACAAAAATACCTTTGGAACAACAGGAGCATCTTGATTTTGCTTTTTCGGATTTTTATCAGATACTCCTTGCAGCAAAACTCGATGGCGAAAGAATATTCGTCAGAGAAGAACTCTAAGAGAATATTGAAAAAAAAATTTTACAAAAAGGATCAAACCTGGGACCTATAGTTTGGTCAAAAAAGTTCCACTCGTTTCTTCGCAATAATGGATTCCGGATCCTGAATAGAGTTAAATATATTTTCCTTGCATAACATACCTTAATTCGATTTCTGATGTCAAACACACCGGTTCCGATTATACCCTACGATCTCATTGTCCTGTCTGAAATCTCACCGATCAGATCATTTTAGAAATATGTATTATTTGATTTAATTTGTTAAAAAATTAGTTTTGGTAATAGGAGTATCTGATAAAATACGGTATCATTTTAAGAAACAGTAACAAAATTAAAACGAGCATAAATGCTGTTCAAGGATAACAAAGTTTTAAAGAATAATGAATCATTTTAAGGTTAATAAACTCTCGTGGGTTTTTTCAAAATCGTCGTCTCTTATTTCTTCCATGTTGTCATCTTCATTGTTTAAAAATAAGAATATCTTACAATAGAAATTGACTCTTACTCGGTTATATACGCCAAGATCAGAAAATTTCATACTCACTGAGACATCTTCTGACAAAAGATAAGATCATATCTTTGAACGCCGTAAAATCCGTATTTTTGATCGGATCAAATAGGTCGCAAGGGAAACAAAATAAGATTTCATGGTCGGATGAAAATTATAACAATCTTTACGGTTGAGATTAAATCAGATTTATTACACAGCTTCTACAGTAACATCATTTTCAGGAGTAATTGTCAGTTTTTTTTCAATTATAGGCATGAACAGAAGAAGGTGTTTATCATCAAGTGACTGAGTGAATTTTATTTTGACCACGAGTTGAGCAGCATTGCGTCTTCCGAGCATTTCAAAATTGATCAAAACAAAGAAGTTGGTTTTGAGATAATGTGGTTGTGGCAAAACACCGGAGCTCCAGGGATTGAGATATCGTTCGCTCATCATAAGGAAATTTTCGTAAAAATCCATATCTGTTTTAAGGGGGTAACCAGGGAGACTCGAACCATCAACGAGAACATCAACTTGCTCTATGTTTCCACGTTCTAGTTTTGTCAGTGACTGCTTGTAATCTCCATGTGAGCGTTTGAGACTGGTAACAGAAAGAACCGCGTATTTCGGGAACGCTCCTTTAGTAAGATTAACAGTGTAATCAGTATCGCCTTTGTCTAAGGTAGGTCTTCTTATACAGTAGTCCAAGAACGTGGTTTCGAATTTCGAAGTCGCATACTTTTTCATTTCCCTTTCCAATGATTCAGAGAAAACAAACATTGCTTTAAAAACAGGCCTGACGAGCTTAACAACTGGATCCGGAAAATCATAGTCAATCTCAACCACATCACCGACATCGTCAGTCGCATCAAGCATACTCTTCTTTTTTAAAAGCGAAAATTTTGCTGGAGCACGCTCAAACGAGAGATGGATTCCAAGTCCAGCTGGTAAAATAATTGGTGCTCGAGCGATTCCATGATTTATTGGGATTTTGAATTCGTATCTCAGCCATTTAGTGTTGTAAGTTTTTCCTTCGAATTCGATTTCTTTTAAAAACTCCTTCGCATACATTTTTCGATTCTCAATAATACTTCTGCCGATGTCGTCTTGGTCAGCTTCGAAAATATCATAGACGCCCATAATCGGAAAAGTTGAGTCGATTGTTGTTTGATCGAATAATGACTTATTCAAGAAATGAGAAGAAAACGCAGAGTCTAAATCACATGATTTGCTTGTAATTGGGTCTTCTGCGATTTCAATCTTAGGAAGCCCTTTGAAGAGCTTCGCACAAAAGTCATTGTCCAATACATGATTTTCAGGAATTTCAATATGAAAATGCAGCCGAGAATCACACGCCTTGAAATATCTCTTTTGCGGAACAATGTGAAATTCAAGAGTATCATCAGTGTTGCAATAAGGAGCAGCTTCTTGGATTTTACAGT